TTATGAAATCAATTTCTCTATTAAAATATAGGTCTCGATAAATCGTAATACTATTTTGATTTAATTAATTTATTTATTTTGTTAACCAAATAAATTATTTTCATTAAATTGACAATGAATCTTAATATTATTTAGAATTTGATACCCAATCAATAATTATGATGCATTAGGTGGTCAGCAAATATAATTACCATGCAAATTATAATCCAAAAAAACATTTTCTTTCAATAAGATATTTGTGGGGTTATTTTGAGTGATGTGTTACGTCATTGATTCACGCGTAATTTGAACATAATTTCCCAGGAGAAAAACATGCAGATGCAGTCAATAATGTTGACTAATTTTTGAAGCATCAAAGTTCATGTTGAATTTATTGTGGCACTTCATCATTCACGTGAAGTGAAGTGAAGTGAAAATTACGTAACATAGAGTAAAAGTCGAGCATTATTACTTCAATTTAATTTATTAATTTAATCACTTACTATTATTGAATTACCAGTAAATTTTTGAAATTTTAAAACATGATATTAACTTAACAATTGTGATAAAACAAATTAACAAATTTAGTTAGCGTAAATAATATTATTATTAAAAATGTTTGTCGTTTTCTCAATTGGTCCATTGAATGAGGTCCTATGACCCATGGTCTGCACCGTGGCAGCATTTGTCATATCTAATTATTAGTTATTATTTGTTTCTGAAGGTATAGAGTAATAAAAAATAAAAAATAATAAAAATATTTGTATTCATATCCAAAATCAAATTACAAATATAGAGAAGAAATAAAAGAATTTAAAAATCAGTCTGTATTGAGGGTAAGTAGGGATGTCAGTGGACCGAAGCTTGGGTGGGGAATATAGTTTTTATCCCCGTACCCGCTTAAAAAAACTCCGTCCATCCCTGGTCCACTCCCGTTAACGGGTATAGTTTTCATCCCCATCCCTGTCCGCGGATAAATTTCTAATCCCCATTCCCGTCTCCGCTTTCCCTGTATCTGCCTAAGCATATGCTCAAGTAACATAATACAAAATTCTAAATAAATATAATATTTTAAATAATCTAACAATATTTTAACATAGTCTAACACAACATAATGTAGATTACAAAATGTAAAAGCCAAAACAATATAATATTCTATTTAAAGTGTCATTGGACCACAAAAAGACAAACAGAACTATTAAAGAGAAATGAATAAAAGGAAAATAAAATTGAACTAAGAAAACGACAACACTACACTTGAAGTTTCTAAGAAGAATTTTTGTTATTACAATTCATATTACAGTCATAAAGTGTTAAAAGATGAAAATTTAAAATTTTGCTGATTCAATAATTCTCCCTATTTCTTAATTCACTCTAGCAGAGAAATTGAGCAACCTCTATTCATAATATTTTTTACCCACAATGAAATACAAAACTATCTTACTTTGTCTTATCTGTTTTTAGAGCATGATCAATCTAAACTCCTAACAGTTTTAATCAGTGAACACAAAAAAAAAAAGAACAATTAAGGAAAAAAGTTGATAAGATTATCACATAGCAATGCCACTTTTTTAGTTTGATTACATATTTCTAAATTAGTAGTTACAGTAAATATGTTTAGTTAGGGATTGAGAGTATATATATATATATATAACGGGTAACAGGGGCGGAGGTAAGGATAAGTTCATCCTCGCCTTCATCCTCGTACGCGTTTATATCGGGTATTTCCGTATACGTCTACTGTCTAATATATATAGTCCATCCCCGGTCCCAACGAGACGGGTTTGGATGAATATCCATTTTTTCGCGATCCACTGCCATCACTAAGGGTAAGAGGTGGTGGGCGACAATGGTGGCGGTAGAAGACGATGATGGTGGTGGTGAGTGACAATGATTATGGTGGCGGTGGTGGCAGTGAGGGCTGTGATGGTGACGGTGGCAGCGATAATGACGATGGTGGTGGTAACGGTGGGGGGTGGTGGTGGATGGGGCGACGGTGGTGGTAGCGATAGTTGTGATGGTGATGGTGGCGATAATAGTAGTGGCGGTGGCGACGGTGGTGGTGATGGGGGTGGTGGTGGTGATAGAGGTAGTGGTGAAGCGGTTTCTAACACTATTTTTTTAAAATAATATTTATGAAAAATAATTACTATAAGTATTTTTAAAAATTCATTCCAAACATACCCTTAAAATCTTATTTTTTCTATTAAATTTAGAGTGTTAATATTAACCGTTATATTAATTTTAAAATAAAATTTAAAATGATTTCAACCGCGAATAGTAAAAATTATTTTATTTATCTTTTAAAATTTAAATTATAAACTATTTTATTATATAAATTGTGTAATTCCCAGCTTCCTAGTGGTCAAGAAATTGCAGGTTCTTCTTAGATGTATGTGGTCGACCATAGTTACAACAAACGTGGAAAGGCATGACTCCACTTGTCAAAATCATTGCTCTTTACTAAAAATTATCATTAAATCAATCTCTAATCTTATGTTATGATCATTCTACTATTTAAAAAAATTTGTGAAGTATAACCCCATCCTTCAGTTAGAGGGATGTAAACAATATCCGGTTTGGTTATTGGGTTCGTGGCAGCCAATTTCAAATGAACGAATTTGAGTTTAACTTGAATTGTAACAAAAATTAAATCTAATTTTATCATAAAGCCTGGCTCGAGATATGCATTTCATGATTAATTAAATTTAGATTCAATCTAAATTCCAGTACAAATTTTGTAACCAGAAAATCAGACATGATTTTAATATCAATTGAACCCAAATTTTAATAGTGTAATTTAAATTTAAGAATTTAAGCTTGAACAATGCTAGCATCCAAGAATTCAAATTTGAAATTAAATCCAAATTTATTACTCCATCTACCAACCTATCCGAATTACGAGTAAATATCCACTATAATAGTTAAATCACGTTAACATTGTAATGTGATCCAAACTTAATAGGAGATAAAGAAAGCAAAAAGGCTTCCATCAACGTGGAACTGCACGTTCAAAAACAGAAGAATAAATACACTGGCATTGCCTACAGCCAAATGGAAAGCACAATACCAACTTACTTTTCTGCTCATTCACCGTCCTCCAGCTTCATTGAGGAGTGGGAGAACTAATGGAAGATGTAGCCAGTAGTTCCTTTCTTGCTTGTAGGTTGAACTCCTCAAAACAGAGCAAGCAGGTATCATTCAAGGAGCCGTGAAAAAAAGAAAGCACTTCCAGAAGTATCCAGGATAAAGGCCTTGATGTTCCCATTGATGAGTCTCATCACTGAGGTCACATCTTCAGACATGCCAAGCAAAGAAACAAGGTGATCTTTCAAACACAAAAACACAGACAAATAAACTTCCCCAAGAGTGCACCTAGCTCTTGAATCAGCATCCTAGTCTGACCAGCCTCATCCTCATTCATAGGACATCCCTTGCACATTAACATTTGAACTTAAGCCATTAATAGACGCTGCCAAGCTTGGAGGAGTGACAAATTTTGGGGGGAACTCTTGAATTTGATTGTGACTAATCTATCTTTGATGATTTGCAAGGCACACTTCACAAGACTTCTACAATCCCTAAACTAGTTTGTATGGAGCCTTTTATTCCTTTCCTTCCATATTATGTACACCATATTATGTACACAGTAGTTGCCAAGCACAACCTCTTTAACATCTTGCCAAGTGATTTACCTTTCCAACTTTGACTTTCATAAGCTATGAAATTTTGCCAAGAGCTCGGTAGGCCTTGTTCACTACATAGTTGCATTATAAAAAGTCAAATATCTTGTGAGAACTAGCATCTAAAAAATAGGTGAGAATGAGATTCCATGTCATGCCTGTATAGGATACATGTCACATCAACATCCGGCACAAATTTTTTCATTCTATCTTTAGTGCTTAGCCTTTTCTTTATTACTAACCAAAGAATGAAGCTCATCCTGGGTATGCATTGTCCATACCACAGCAAATGGTGCCAAGATACCTCTTGCCTAGGGGACCTAAGGTGATTCCAAGCAAAATAAAAAAAAAATTGTCCATTTGTTGCTATAGTCCACTTCACCTGGTCTTCCTTATTTGACAAAAGAATATATGTAGGCATATGATTTGAAATCTCCAAGAGATCAAGTGTACCAATGAAAGGCCATGACCACCTATTGTTGCCATCTATTTTTATCATTTTTCGCCCAAAAATGGAGGGGTAAAAATGGTGGGCAGCATGGATTGTTTTTCCCTCCATATTTCCTTTTTAATCAAACAAAGAAAAATTACATTTTTCATCCTACTTTTCATTCACCATTTTCCATCCATCCTATTTTTTCTCATACCAAGCAAGCCATTATTTTAGAAGATAATTATTTGAATGAGTGAGGTTCACTATGATTATTTGATGAGTTATCAATCAACATTTACACCACGTCACAATACTGATGTTGTGTAAATATTAATTGTAAGGGGTAGAACCCTCCACTCAGGATTTCGGCTTGACCTGGGTTAACCCACGCGGGCGACCCCCAGTAGCCTTTACCTCTCTTCGCCAATAGGACCATTTCCTAAGACAATCCCACATCGGAAGAGAGTCGTCTTCCCCCCTCGCATATAAGTCCTTGCACTCAAAGGAGGAGGTACCCACTAGCGACCTGATCAGGTGCCTAATGGGTACCTCCTCCTTTGAGTGCAAGGGCTTATATGCGAGGGGGAAAGACCACTCTCTTCCGATGTGGGATTGCCTTAGGAAAGGGTCCTATTGGCGAAGAGAGGTAAAGGCTACTGGGGGGCCGCCCGCATGGGTTAACCCAGGTCAAGCCGAAATCCTGAGTGGAGGGTTCTACCCCTTACATTAATAAGAATATTTTATCCCGAGTTACACCCTTATAAATGACATTAGTGTAATTCAATATGCAACGATGTTCTCCGAGTCTTCTAGCTTCCGTGGTCCAACCTCCTTCTCCTTCTTTTTCTATCTCTCTCGCCACTAGATTGCCAAGAAAGAGGCAAGACAGCAGTCAAAAAAAAAAAATGCAAAGTGCCGGCAGTGTGGAGGAACCAAGTACAGCAGTACCTTTGTTAGACGATTCATCTTCAACATCAAAACACGAAGAAGATGATCATCTAGATAAGAAGCTTTCACAGAAAGTGTGGATTGAATCGAAGAAGCTATGGCATGTCGTTGGCCCCGCCATCTTCAACCGTGTCGCAACCTACTCCATGTTAGTCATCACCCAAGCCTTCGCCGGCCACCTCGGTGACCTCGAGCTCGCCGCCATGTCCGTTGCCAGTAATATCGTTTTGGGGTTCAACCTTGGCCTCTTGGTATGATACTTCCACTTTTTTTTTTTAATTAATCCTCTTTCTTCCTGTAAATAAATGATTCTATTACCGGAAGAGAGGCATATCCAAAAGTACAGCTCGTTTACAATCAGCACCAAGCATAGGATAATAAATGCTCAAGTAATATAGACAGAATAGACGCTGGGTGGACAAGCATGACATGAGAGAAAATACAAGTTTTTAAAAACTACGCAGAGTGAATAGCAAAATTTTTTAGAATCAGATCATGTAAAATTATGAATACCCTAATTTCATCGTGGATGATCTGCTTGATCAGATTAAAGATTTATTTTGCTTTGATTTCCAAAAGAATGTCTTCTATTGGTCTTATTTAATGTTTTTTTCTTCCTATAATCAGCTGGGAATGGCAAGTGCCTTGGAAACACTATGTGGGCAAGCTTATGGGGCCAAGCAGTACCACATGTTGGGTGTATACCTTCAACGTTCATGGATAGTTCTCTTCCTCTGCTGCATATTGCTTTTACCACTCTACATATTTGCTACTCCGATTCTAAAGCTTTTGGGACAGCCAACGGACATGGCGGAGCTATCTGGGTTTGTGTCTTTATGCTTCATTCCTCTTCACTTCTGCTTTGCTATTCAGTTTCCTCTGCAGAGGTTCTTGCAGAGCCAGCTGAAGACGGCGGTGATAGCATGGGTGTCGGTGGGGGCGCTAGTGGTGCATGTGGTGGTGAGCTGGTTGTTCGTGTATGGATTTGAGCTTGGACTGGTGGGAGCTGCTCTTACTATAACTTTCTCGTGGTGGATAATAACGGTTGCATTGTTTTGTTACACTGTGTTTGGTGGGTGTCCTCTTACTTGGGCTGGCTTCTCAATGGAAGCATTTTCTGGGCTATGGGAGTTTGTTAAACTCTCTGCTTCTTCTGGAGTCATGCTTTGGTATCTCTCTCTCTTTCTCTCACGAGTCGTGTTTGTGAGTTGACATTCTCTCTTTCTGGATTGAGTCGCATGTGTCATTATGATTCATGTCGAATTTTAATTAATCTTAATTCAAACTTTAAATAATCATATCAAATGATTTGATATTTACTCCATTTGTTCATAAATTCTAATGTGTTCGGATTGCTTCTCTTGTCAATAAAGAGAAGTAAAAAACTCTTTAAGTTGTGTCTAGAGTAAATAATTTATATTTAATATTAACCCAACTCATTTACTATTATATTAACATGTTGTATTATTTTCAAAGTTCTATAAAGAATTACTCAACCCTTACAAAATAATTTCGTTTTTGGTTCAAACTGTTTCGAAAATTGTCACGCCTAGTGAGTGGGCCGATTATGGTGGACCAGTGGCAATGCTAATTTAAAAAATACTGAGTTCTACCAAATTAAAAATTAAATTGAATAATTCCAAAGGGGATTGAAAGTAATGGTGTTGAAGTTCTAAAACAAGACAATACTTTGAATGATTATTTTGTGGAAAATGATCATGTTTGTACAGAATTATTATTCATTTTTTTATGTCCTGATTAGGTTTATTTTCTTTCTTGTTTGAGACAGTTTGGAGAATTGGTATTACAGAATCTTGATAGTGATGACTGGAAACTTGCAGAATGCAGAAATCGCGGTGGATGCTTTGTCCATATGGTATGCAATATTAATCTCCATCATTATCATCCTTTTTGATTTATTATTATTTGTTAAGCATGAAATGTCTGCATATCTAAAAAAAAATAGACTGAATTTTTCTATATTATATTGAGCTTATATGATTTCGTCTTCTACTTGTCCACTACATCTTACTTGTTTATTCTCTGCAATTTGTGTTTGGTAGTTTTATTCTTTTATCATTTTACAGTTTGTCCATTGTCAAAGGTAGGTAATCAATCATTATACAGAGACAAATGCTGTTTATATTTAATTTTGAAACTAATTTGGAGACCTAACTAATTACAGATGAGAAGTCATAAATTAACGATCTCAAATTTTACATCAATTCACACAAGTGGGTATGATTTAATGTGTCTTTGCCCTTCAAATTGTGTACCAAATTCGACGGAGAACTATGAGCCACCTAGTTGTTGTTGTTTATTACTATGACTTCCAGAAGTTGAGAGTGTAATGTGATATTTTCAATTTTTCTTAGGCATAGAGTAAAAATTTTGAAATCATTCAAGGGACAAAGTGACATTTTTACTAATAAATAAAGGTTAAATTTCACTGCCATGTGATATTACAAACCATTTGAATTGCTGTTTTGTAATCCATTTCCGCTTTTGTGGTTTGAAGTGTATGTTCATTTGTTGGTATGTGTCATTTGCCCTTTGTTGCAGCATGAATATCAATGGGTGGGAGATGATGATACCACTTGCCTTCTTTGCTGGAACTGGGTAACAATTCTTGACACCATTTACATAATTATATCTTTTTTTTCATTTGTAAGTAGGTTCCTCGTTCAAATACTGTAGGTAACCTACAATTGAGTCAAACAAATAAGAACGTAAATAACAGGATCCACTTGAATTTCTGGTATATTATGTACAATTGACTGAAATTAAATAGAAGTGTAATGAAGAGGATATACTGTTTGCCCATATTAATGTGCTTTTGCCCTTTTAACTTCAACTTGATTACGGTCAAAAATGTTGAAATCAGAGGTGGATATTGCCTTGAGGTTGGCCCTACCATCTTGAGATGGACATCATCATGTCTTTGAAGAAAATATTTATGTAACACCTACATTTGAAGGCTTTGATAGTTAATGATAAACAATATTAGAATCGTGGATAGACCAGTCCATCGTCTCTCTCAGCAGAGAAAGACTTATGTTGCACTCCTCTCAATTAGCTTAAAAATTTTCAAAAATTTGGTGAGTAATTAACAGGTAATGACTCCCTTAGTAGTATATAATCATGTTATATCGTTTTCTATCACCTTTAGTTTGTGGACTATTAGGAAATTAACATGTCTTGACTTTGATATTGACATGAATGGTAATCGTTTGAGCACAAAAAACTGTATGCAAACAAACAATGTGGACAGCAACATAAAGTGATCGTGAAGAAAGTTGAAATGCAAAAGACAATGAAGGCAAGCCTTTCACCTTGTAGCTTCTTCTTGCATTTTTTGGCTTATTTTGGAAGACCTGAGTGAAGGGTAACACACTGGTATCTTTGATCCCGTTGGGGACAGTTTGGCTGTTCTATGGGCTCATTGGGTTGAATGTGTCATGCTGTGTTAAAAATTTGTCAACTCATTTATACAGTTATGTACTTCTCAGTTCATATCGAATTGGATTCTTATTTTGTATAAATTATGTTTAGCTGGTTGATTTCATTTGTATAGTAAGGGTCATATCAAACAGGGTTGTGTCATTTTTAAGTTGTGTTATTTTAAAACATGTCGTGTTCGGGACGAGTAGTAAGGGTTGTAATTAAGTTGATTAATAAACTCGTGTGTAATCTTTTCTCCTGTGATGCAGAGTAAGGGTTGCAAATGAGTTGGGTGCAGGCAACGGAAAAGGGGCCAAGTTTGCAACCATAGTGTCAGTGATAACATCTATAGTGATTGGTCTCTTCTTCTGGTTGCTGATTATGATCTTCCACAATGAACTTGCCCTAATATTCTCATCCAGCAAACCTGTCCTAGAAGCAGTAAACAACCTTTCCATTCTCTTAGCCTTCACCATTCTCCTCAATAGTGTTCAACCAGTTCTTTCTGGTAATAACATTACTTGATCATTTATTTCATGAAAGTTCATTAATTTTCCCCTTCATTCTATTAGTATACTATAGATAACCCATAGATTCATTTGTCGAAGAATGGGTAAGTTGTAAACTTGAACTTTCTGAGTTTGAGTTCCAAACTAAACCTATGCTAATAGTTTTTGGATAACAATGAGCAACTGATATTTGCATTGTAACTATGAGTCTAAAAAAATAAAGTAGGTACATTTTATACACTTTTTAAAATTTTCCCTAAATTTGTAGGGGTAGCTGTTGGATCTGGATGGCAAGTGTATGTGGCATATATAAATGTAGGTTGCTATTATTTGATCGGTGTTCCTCTTGGAGTCGTAATGGGATGGGTTTTCGACCAAGGAGTTAAGGTACGTACTTGTACGAGCAAATTTAAATAGAGCTATGATCATAATTCCATTGTCTATGTATTATTAGTCCTACATTGAACTCCCATCAACAATATCCAACGTTATCATAGTCGAAATCTGAATAGCATCATATTTCTCGGATGTGGATCACCTCAAGCATATTTTTTTCTTTTATGAATAATATACAACTCTCCATGCATTCAAGTCAGATTCTTGGTATATAAATGTGTCTCCCACCAGTACTCGGTAGTTGAACGTGCACTGGAAGAGATCTAAATCTAATAATTCTTATATCGGCATTTTACATTTTTCATCTTATGAAACTAAATGTGATTAGGGTATTTGGGCTGGCATGATATTCGGTGGAACTGCGCTCCAAACTTTAGTACTAATGATCATTACCATTCGATGCGACTGGGAAAAAGAGGTAAGAGCACACTAATCTTATGCAATTTTCATTCTGGATTTAAGTGTGCTGAAGCCATTCAATCTGATCTATTGGACTTTGAAAATGCAGGCGGAGAAAGCAAGCATGCATGTAAACAAGTGGTCAGAGAGAAACGGATAGAACTCCATTTTGTGAAGATAGCAGAACTGAAGATGGATTTGTTAGTCCAAAACAACGATGTAGAATGCTTTCATAGTTGCATTCATCATTCATTATATAATGGCAAAAGGAATTATTTAACGACTTTATCTTGCTTTTTTGCACTTTTCAACCAAAAAAAAAAACCCCATATCTTTGTAACAAAAATGATGGAAAACATAGTAAAAATGCAAAAAGTAACTCAAGTCAACAATGCCTTATTCTCAACAATTTAGAATCGGCTTCAAGCTAAAAGGGCCAAAAAAAAAAGGCGTTTTGTTTCTTATCTTAGCAAACAAATGAGGCAACAGCATAATACCTCAGTGAATGAAAAAAATATTGGGTATAACTGTGATACTCCCGTCAGCAGTCCCATGTAGTGTAACCGTCCAATAATGTTTTAAAAAGTTTGCAAGTAAACCTCACAAAAATTCATAACCACCTAGTCATGTAATGCATAACCACTTAGTCATTATAGAAAGTGAGTCTCATTTGATTCATTTTATAGTTTTTTATGTTGGATAGTTATATCACATCAGTATTATTGATATAGTATAACCATTACACCCAATATTTACTCAAATAAAAGTGAGAATCACTTCACGATGTGGTTTGGTTCGGGTGTAACATGGGATCAACGATCAATTGATTTCAAGTCAATTTTTGCCATGTGATTATAATTGGTTTACCACTTTATCCTATCTTAACAATATGATGTTTTTGTTGAAGGTTTGGATAGGGTGTGGATCCATTGTCCTGATATCAATATCATATTGCATAGCACATTAATGTATACTATAACTCAAAAAATGTAAAACACCTTTATTTCAATGCATAACTCTCTGGCCAATATCATGGATAGTCTAATATTTTGTATACTAATAACTATCGAATCTTATTTAATACCACGTGTTATATAAACAATTAAATTTGAGTAGTCACGCATCGTTATCTCGTGAATTATCATTTTGGGTGTAAGCAGAATACTACGTACCCAACAATGAAAAATTATATGGTTACTTGTTTGTGATTTTGAAATAGATATTTTTGTTTTGATAAATAGACAGAGCATGATATAAAGAAGCTTCAAAAAATATGCTCAAGAAGAAAAAAAAAAAAAAAAAAGATAGAAGGTTTACTCAAAAATTAGAAATTTGAGTAAGATAATTAGGTCTAAATATCTTTACCCAAAGTCCCCAAGTCTTTTTCAGAGACAAAACATTACGTAAGGATATTGCTTAGAAAACAATTATCTCTATGCTTGTAAGAATAAAACTGTAACTAACTATTTTCAGATCTCGTAATAATAGATGTCTGGCATAGCGAGTACGCCTATTATATTGGTTAGAGAACTGTTTTGCCATTATGCTGGAATTTCATGAGAGTAGCTATTAGGGAATCTTGTTGGTACCAGTATTTATTACCCCCCACACTATGAAAATTTGGATGAGACAGGCAAAATAGAAAAGTTGGTGGGTCTTAGTAAATTATTGTTTCATTTGCTTTTTGAAGTTGATTGCAGTACCGGAATTTATAGTAATTTTTATTATTTTTGTAGATATTTTTATTATTGTTATGATATTCAAAAAAAAGATAAAAATAACTACTAGAATAATGGTAAAAATATTTACAAATGTGATAAAAATATCCACAAATGTGATAAATTACCCATAAAAGTAATAATTTTTTTGTAATTAACAAAAATAATAAAAATAGTTACCACAAATATAATAAAAAAAAACACCCACAATAATTGTAAAAATACCCACAAAAGTAGTAAATTAACCACAAAAATAATAAATTATTTAATTATAAAATAATCCAAAAAAATTATAAAAATAATTTTTAAAATAATAAATTTTAGAGGTATGATATTAAAATTTTTTGGCCGTACAGTAATCAACTCACTTTTTTGTCCACATGGTTTCGAATGTCAAAGGACTGTGATGGAAAAGAAGGCGAACCTTAGAAAATCATTGTTTCTTTTTCTTTTTATTTTTTAGTTTTTTATTTTGTTATTATTCATAAAAAAAACGTGATTTAAATCTATCCATTTTATATAGAATATTCAGTTTGTAAAAATAAGGTTTCAATTGAAAAGTTTCAAAGTGTATTATGCTAATACTAATTTAGTTTAAAAAACGTGAAATCCATTTAATGCGACTAGGAAACTGAAGAAATAACTTATTGACTGCGACTAGGAAACACAAGAAAGGACTTGCAAACTACTTGCATTTCATTATCTTTTATGCACAATATAGTCGAAATAAAATCTCCTCCAATACACTTCTCAATTTTATTCAATGATATATCACTTATAAAGATCAAAATTTTGTTTCGATACATTATTTCAGTCATCTAAGAGCATCTTCAATAAACTTTTTATTCTCATTTCATTCTTTATTTTAGAATGTCAACCACATAAAATCAAGTTTCAATAGACTTTCTATTTAGACTAATTAAAATACAGAGTCTTATTTAGCTCTCTACATTTTGAGAATCTAATTTACTCTTTATTCTATTCTAAATGAATGAAAATATGGCACATATATATTTTTCGTTAAATGTTATTGATTATAATACTATTTTTCGTCTAGACTAGAGAATCCATTAAAGTTGTCTATAACTATTTTTAGCTTTCGTAAAAAATGCTCTCTATTTAAAAAAAAATGTTTTCTAAATAGAGAGAGTACAACTGAATATACTCTTAAGTAGCAGCTTTATTTTTTACATATTGAAATTGCCTTAAATTAGATAATAAAATTGAATTTAAGTCTACGTGAGAAAGTACAATGATAAAATAGAATTCACATAGCCCCTCCAGAGTAGTTGGGAAAAAAAAACTTTTTGTATATAGTTGAGCTTGATATCATCCTTTTGAATTGGTATCATGGTTTACTGATCTACCAGCCTAAAAGAGAAAACATTAAGATCGTATTTCCTAGTATATGCAATGTGCATCACCGTAAAGATGTTCGAAAGAAGAATATAATAAAACTCACAAAGAAAAGGACAAAAAATAGATCATCACTTAACTCCAAAAGAGGCCCATGAGATATCGATACTTATTTTTAGCAATGATTTACCAGACTTTTTGATATCGAGAATTCGTATTCATGTCAAATCAAAGGAAAAACATTTAGCATTTCAATTAAATACGCTTTTGAGGATTACAAGAAAGGACTCATATTACTAGAAAATTTTGTACGTTAATTCACTTGCTCAAAAAATAAATACCTTACTTCTTTTTCAAAACCCCATCTTAAAAGAGATTCTTATGTGTTCGTACTCTAATACCATGGAGCAAAGTTAACCCTTATTATTGATCAACTCTTGCTGTTTAATTTGAGATTAGAAATCATACTTCTCAACTTATGTGTGGACACCACAATCTGGTGCCTGCGAGTGGAAGTTTCTGGTCTCTTTGCTGTTTTTATGGGGCCAAACTCTTGGACTACATGGTGGGTATATGTTATTTTTGTTTGATTTTTTTACTCTCTCTTTTCTGCCTCTAATCATTAAAAGGATATTGAAGCTTTGCATGCTGATCACTAAACCATAAAACCTGATGACGCTGACTTAAAACCAAACAACTAGGTGCACTATTTCTTCCTCCTCTCTCTCTCTCTCTCCTTCCCCAAAGTTCCATTTTTTGGTGGGAGTTCCAAATCAACTTTTCTTCTGATGCCAGAATTCAAGTTTTCTTCTGATTCACTTATTTGTCTTCCTCTCATATAACTAGCTGCTTCTTTCTTGGGTTCAGGATATGCATGGTAGCTTGAAACATGTAAATTCCTAGTAAGAGCACATATGGTTACTTTTGTTTTCTAGAAACAGTAATGATATATTGGTTTTATTGCACTATGAGCCAACCAATTTCCCAGAAGAATTAGAAATGCTTTTACTTAATTTTCTACATGATTATTTTAATTTCAATAAGCTCCATTGTGTGTCCGTTAAAATCAATTTTTTTAAAATTACCCACATAATTTTCGTAGAGTGAAACTCACATGTAACACAGTGGCATATAGTTAATTGACGACTACCTATAAATTTGAGCGTCATAAATTCGGCGCTCATTGATTACTTACGAGTTTATTATTGATAAAAACTCAGAAATCAAGTTTCATTCAAATTAACCTAGTTAATAGGAAGTCTACAATGGGTAAATTATAAAGGCGAAGGGTCTTATAAAAAAGATTGCTAATCGGATTTGACTCTAGCCATATATATGGCCCCATAAAAACCCATTAAATTTATAAAAAACACATGAAGTGGCAAATGTAAACGGTCAAATAAGGCTGTTATATGAGGATGAGTCTACTTGATCTCTCACATGCAACCGCGACCTCTGTCTGAAAGCGAAACATAGAACACTGAATAGTTGTAGAATCTTGTCGTGTTAAACTTTGATTCAATACATGCGAATTGCATTTGTTAAATGGTTTTATTAGTACATTGAATCGGGTCGACAGTTTTCTTTCATATAAATTAGTATATCACTCCTATATCTTTCAAATAATATATCTATAACAGATGAGAAAGTAATCACAAAGAAGTGAAGAAATATTCAAAAGACACATTAAAATCTTTAAAGAGAAAGACGTAAAAAATCAATCATTAGTGAACTAAACTAAAACTTGGTGAAGCATGAGTTTTAAATATTTTTACATTGTGTATAGTTAGTCACACGTCATATCAAAATTAACTCGGCATATCAAAAAATCGGCATTGTACATTCGTCAATCTCAACCACTGTATTTTGAAATTAAATAATTTATAACCATTGATAAAAAAAAAAAAAAAAAATTTAGGCATGATGCGTTTTTATTAGTTAAAAAAATAGAAATATAGTAGCAAAAAAGATTTTCGGTGTCGTAATAGAACTCTAAACTCGTATTATAATCTTGTACTGAAATAGCAAATTGTAACTGCCAGACAAACGATGACAAGTTGTGCTTAATAACTATTACATTTGTTTATGTCCAGCCAAATCTCATTAAAGAATATGGTTAGGAAACAGGTGCTTACCACTGACTTGGCTTTCATAAGACACGTGGTCAATTCTCATGGTCGACCGGCGTTATAATATATCTATAGGATTTTGTTATATTTCCATTATTACATAATTGCTTAGCTTCACGATGACACTAGAAATAGCTGGACACTTGTGTGTGCTTCCAAGAACCTCCTACGTGGCCTAATAAATTAGTCATGTTGACAAGATATAATAATAATAATACGATACGAATTAAATATAATACAAACTTAACAATAATATGATCAATTATTATAAATGATAAATAAATGGATAATGTTATATTGGTTTAAAAATACAAGCCAAGAAATATTAAATGATTCATGTCATGCTGTATCAGTTAAGTCTTTCTTTTTTTTTATTTGTTCTATTTTTGGTTAGCCTTGCATCATCCTAAATGAATAGGGTTATTGTCGAATTTGGATAAACTGATTTTAAAATAATAAATCTGTTTTAAGTGGTACTGTAAGAAAAAAAAATCTTATTTTTTTTTATTTTTTCATCTTGGATTTAAAATTATATGTATTTTAGCCAAATGTAAGTTTTTTATTTGTATTTTAGAAGATAGATCAAGTAGTCTTTTAGATATGAAAAATTATGTGTGGTGTATTTAATTAACAATGACTGTTAGGGCTGATAAGGACTCCGTTCAGATAGGACTCGACTCTAAATGAGTTAAATTTAAATAATTTTTTTAATTTATTTTAAAAAACGAGTCTCAAAAGCTCGGCTCGAGCTCAAAAAATTTGAATCGTTTATGTATAAAAGAGTTGAGATACTCGGACTTAACTCTAATTTGACTCATTCTGGACTTGGCTCGGGTTCATCTTATTTTTTGAACGAGTTAAGTTTGAATAATTTTTTAAATTTATTTAAAACAATGAGCTCGATAAAACCAATTCCAACTCACAAAATTTGACTATATTATTGGCCCTAATGATAGACCACGTAATCATAATCATCTTAGTATGACTTATATATTCGAAAAATATACCATAAAACCGGCTATATATACTAGAGAAACCAAGCCAACGTTCGCATTCTCTCTCTTATTTTAGAGTTTTCCAAAAGAAACTTAGGGAGGAGAGGAGAGGATAGCAAGAAACATGGGGAGTGAAGGGAAGCTAGAGGAAAGTACAGCACCCTTATTGGACTATTCATATTCGAACGTAAGTTCAGAGTATGAAGAAGAAGAAGAAGATGACCATGAAAAGCAAGATCTGAAACGGAGGGTCTGGATTGAATCAAAGAAGCTTTGGTACATCGTTGGCCCTGCGATTTTCAGCCGCATCACTTCTTATTCTATGAATGTCATCACCCAAGCTTTTGCTGGTCACCTTGGTGACCTTGATCTTGCTGCTATCTCCATTGTCAATAATGTCATTGTTGGCTTCGACTTTGGCCTGTTGGTACTAAACCCATCTCTCTCTCTCCCTCTGTTTTTTCTTTCTCCATGTAGACATACGCATATATGTATAAGTTCAGGGAGGGATACTATTAATTCCACGCACCGAGTCACCTGAGTTCAATATAAATTCATAACTAACGAATTTTCACAAAATTGTATGAAACTGTAAACCTTTTACAAACCTTTCCATTTTGTAAGTTTGGTCCGCTTCATTCGTTCATAAAATCATTTAACTTAGACATTTCTGTAACACCTCTGTTAGAAGAACAAATTTTCAATTTTAAAAGAACTTATTGTCGGTCTCTTTTAGACATGAATCTATCTTATCCATCTCAGTACATTTTCTTTGAAGAAAGGAAGGATTCTAAAGAATCAGTCTTTCTTGTAGTCGTTGAATTTCTCGTTTGAAATTCTTGATTAATGGAAGACCAATATCGCCATTTCTGTTCAAGAAGATGCATACATATAAACATCTACATATATGTATATATTGCATATGAAAGTTAATGTGTTACCAATGCTGATTATGATTAATATGTTGGTGTTATCAGTTGGGGATGGCAAGTGCTTTGGAGACTTTATGTGGGCAAGCTTATGGGGCAAAGAAATACCACATGTTGGGTGTATATATGCAAAGATCATGGATTGTTCTCTTCGCCTGTTGTCTTTTGCTTTTGCCCATTTACATATTTGCAACACCAGTTTTGAAGCTACTGGGACAGCCTTCAGACGTAGCTGAGCTCTCAGGTTTGGTGGCCTTGTGGATGATCCCACTTCACTTCAGCTTTGCCTTTCAATTTCCGATGCAGAGGTTCTTGCAGAGTCAGCTGAAGACGGCGGTGATTGCTTGGGTGTCCCTGGTGGCACTGGTGGTTCATGTGGTGGTGAGCTGGGTGTTGGTGTATGGGTTGAAGCTTGGGGTGGTGGGTACAGCGGCGACTTTGAACTTTTCTTGGTGGGTTTTGGTGGTTGGGTTGTTTTGTTACACTGTTTGTGGTGGGTGTCCTCTTACTTGGACTGGCTTCTCATTTGAAGCCTTTTCTGGTCTTTGGGACTTCTTCAAGCTGTCTGCATCTTCTGGACTCATGCTTTGGTATTGCATATCTCTCTCTCTCTCTCTCTCTCAAATTTTATGATTCATTTTGAGAACTAATTATATATTTCTTGAATTTTCATATAAAACAGTTTGGAGAATTGGTACTACAGAATACTAATTTTGATGACCGGCAACCTGAAGAATGCAACAATTGCGGTGGATGCCTTGTCCATATGGTCAGTAATTTTTACATGTCATCATCATTATTACCATTAATATTAGACTCATTATCATTTTTTTTTCCGATATCATAGTCAATTCTATATAATTAACTTATTTACCGCACAATATCAAAAAAAAAATACTTTTTACGGCACATGTGTTTTTTGAGCACGAGCATATATGGTAATGTCTTGTGCTTTATTGGATCACTAAATAATTTTGTGCAGGATTTATCACAATTATTATCACTGTGACTGTATTATTTCTTTGGTTCCTTTGTAATTAAGTCTCCAAACTAATTTAGCGTTCTCAATTGTGTGGTGTTTTGTCAATTTTGGCAGCATGACAATCAATGGGTGGGAGATGATGATACCTCTTGCCTTCTTTGCTGGAACTGGGTAAGACTCTCTTGACATCATTGTTTTCGGTCATTTATTTCTTGGGTATGGTTTCCTATGTCGTTATATTATGCTACCCAAAGCAAAATTTTATACCATACTAAATAGTAAAAAGTAGTCCGAAAAATAATAATTTTATTCAAAAAGTGATCAACCGTAAAAAATGATAAGTGAACTCAAAAAATGAGTGCACTTTAATAGTTAGTAAATTTCGCCTAAAAAATAATAAGTAATACGGTACCAAAAAAAGTTCGGTACCTTAATCAAACCCGTCTACATTAATACTTTTGTTTCTTGCTCAATTTTTTTTGGTCCAAACAGAAACAGATGGCCACTCTTCCACCATATGAACTCATTATCTAGTGTGTAACATGTCCCAGTCACTTTTGTCCTTATTGTTTAACAGGATTATATATATATAGACTTCCAATCGATTATTACCTTTGACGCAACTGAGGCTGCAGCTTAAGTCCATATACCAACAACCATCAGCCCAATGCGACTTCCAAAAAAAGTAACCTGTGGTATGTTCATGGGGGATGTCCAATAAGTAAACTTGAATTTTGTCATTAATACATCAATAGCATTATTCTATTGAACACCAAATTAAGTCCACAAATTCTGTGGTTAAATCCCAGTTAATAGAGCAAGCTTACTGTCGCTCCACGGCCTACCTTCGTAGCATCTAATATACCCTATGTATGTTAAACTTTGTGCTAAGACCCATATATCCTTATCTCTTTACAGAAAAACCATGCCCCAAAGTTGTATGGTGAAGATAAAGATAAACACTGTTCCAGTTTGTAATGTTGTGATCGTATGTGCAGGGTAAGAGTAGCCAATGAACTTGGAGCAGGCAATGGAAAAGGAGCCAAATTTGCAGCAATAGTCTCAGTGATAACCTCTATAGTGATTGGACTCTTTTTCTGGCTACTAATTATGATTTTTCACAATGAAATTGCCATCATTTTCTCTTCAAGCAAGCCTGTCCTTGAAGCTGTGAACAAGCTCTCAATCCTCTTGGCCTTCACTATTCTCCTCAACAGTGTTCAACCAGTTCTCTCAGGTATATACTGGACGGGTCAATTACATTTTTCCCCCTCAAACTATGAAGTTTGTGGCACTTTGCCCCTTCAACTATTACGTTCCTTAAATTAGACAATTGAAGGAATGTTGTTTCACTTTGCCCCCCAAAATGGGTGATCTTGTGTTTACTTTGTCCGGACATAATGACGCTTTCTGTCCAAAAGATAATGAACGTTGGTCTTTTTCTCGTTCAAGTATTTTGCCAAATAGCATGTCAACAATTTTTCTACAGGGGTCGCTGTTGGATCGGGGTGGCAATCTCAGGTGGCGTACATTAACGTAGCATGCTACTATATGGTTGGTGTTCCACTTGGATTTATGATGGAGTGGGTTTTCCACCAAGGAGTAAAGGTACGTATTTGTGCATTCATGTTACTATAAAATGTAGCTGATGTTGTTATCACATGTGGTCAGGGATTGTAGTGTAATATGAATGGATCAAGCAAAATCCAATTCGAGTACCTCTAAGTCAACCAACTCAATTCCTCTCCGAATTGCACCGCTATTCAGGGACAGAGTTTTAAGAAGTCAAGTTAGAGGGTTGTCTTCCAAATTGACAAAAAAAAATCTATAATTTAAGTGTTTAGCTAATCCTCTTATGATTCAGAGGATTTTCAAAATTTTCTTTTATTCTTTGCAAGAGGACGTTTGTCCCCTCTGCGTCGTGCCCCTGCTAGATCTGTCGTGTGATCATTTTAAAATGACAACCTTACACTTTCAAGGGTAATGTTGAGAGTAGTGTATATATATGCATGGTGCTAATTATGTTGAATTCACATAATTAGGGTATTTGGGCCGGGATGATATTTGGAGGAACGGCACTTCAAACTTTGATATTAGCTATCACAACCCTTCGATGCAACTGGGAAAAAGAGGTAACAGCCTAAAACACAAACTTCTTGCAATGTTGCTGCTCTCTTTGTGTACTAAATGGCATCTTATTTGATCAATTGTACTTAAAATTGCAGGCAGAGAAAGCAAGCAAGCATGTGAAAGAGTGGGCAGACTCGAGCTAAATAATTATCCAAAATGCAATTCATGCCAATTTTGTAAGCAAAAATTAATAGGGAGGGTAATTTGTGCTCTGCACATGTTGAGGATAATAACTGTGTATATGCACCAAAATATATCGATTAGACTTCGATTCACCCCGTAAATTGGCGAGAGGGTCAAATCTTTGTGCCTCCAAATTGGCAGCAACAGAGCAAGTAAAGGGAAAATAATAATATTTTTTAACTTAATTTATTGTTAACAATATGTCGTAATTTAGTAATATTTGATATGAGGTGCGTTTTTAATTCAACAATAATAGTAAATTAAACTTATGAAACTTTAGTCCAACGCAAAAATGGTACACATGAGAGTCCGTGTGCCATAGGCCCATAAGTCCATGAAAGCAGGCCCACGGACTTGAAAGCAGCCTCCCGCTCCTCCTCACACTTATTTATGCCTCAATAAAATTGACGGAAAGTTTATTGGAGTGGATCTGACTCACTTTCGTTCTGGCCCTATTGCAGCACATCATCTGACTCAATAGGTGCAAAATTCAGATGAATTAAAATTATTTTTATTTAAACACTTTTTCTTAATTTATGTAGTCATCATTAACAGTTATTTGAGAAAATAAATATGTAAAGATTATATATTTGTTATTTTTAATTTTTAAATTTTGAATGAGTAGTTTTGTAGACAGTAAAATTGTGTGTTCAACTAATTTCTACAATAAGAAAAAACGTTTATGCAATTACACAAAAAGTCTTCAAACTTCTCTGCAGTTTGTTCAAAAAAAAAGAGCAATGTTATTGGGACATAATTTGAGGACATAATGAGTTTTCACCAATGATATGATAATAAATTCATTAATACTACAATGAGACCCATCATTAAATACATTTCACTATCATTTCATTGGTGACAACTCATTATGTCTCCAAATTATGTCCTTCAATTATGTCTCAATAGCATTAGTGAAAAAAAAAAAATTGATCTTTACAGTAAGAGTTTTCTTCAACGTCTGTGTTCATCTGATCTCGGCAGTAAGAGTCTTATTCAACGTTCAATTTTGTTTTATGTTTGTTCGTTATTGGAATGAAGGGGAAAAAAACTACTTTTAGTTTTAATGGGTGTAACTATTTTTTCGTATAAACATAATAAGTATATTTTTTCTTTTATTCGGTCATTTTTTTTTTGAAAAATTCCTATATTCGATTTTGTTTTTATGTTTGCTGGATGTTGGAATGAAGAGGAAAAGAAATTGATTTTTTTTTAATGGGTGTAACTATGTTTTAATTGGTGTAACTATTTTTTAATTGGTATAACTGTGTTTTTAATGGATGTAACTGTGTTTTAATGAGTGTAACTGTGTTAATAGAGTTTCAACCATTAATTTTTGAATATTAATAGTTTGTAATTTGTGATCACAAATAGTTAGTTAAAACAGTTACGTAACTATTTTTAATTAAAAAATCAAACAACACAGATTATGGGAAAAAAAATTAATGAATGACAAAAAAACAAAAATGAATGTCACTTGCAATTTTTGGTGAAGAAGTTGTCGAAGATGATTCACAGTTACATGATCGTAAGACACGATGAACAGTAACTTGTATTCTTCTTTTTTTTTGGACGATGAATAGTAACTCAGATTCCTCTTCTTTTTTTTACGATAAATAGTAACTTGTATTCCTCTTTTTTTTTGGATGATAAACAGTAACTCGAGTTCCTCTTTTTTTTTGGACGATAAACAGTCACACTTCTGGCATTCCAATCCCTCTGCCGAAGAAGATGGGTCATGATAATTAAACTCCTTATTTTACCTCTCACTTGATTTTAGCCAAAAAAAAAAGAACAGATGAAAGATAATATGTTTTCATATATTTATTGTTTACCGATGACAACAGTGGTATTTTAAAAAATATTCACTTTACCCAAATAAGTTTTTGAGTTGTATTTTTGCCTAAATAGGTCTAAAAAATTGTACTGGCTTCTAAATTTCCCTTTATTTAATGGTATTCAGACCATTTTTATTAATCCAAGTAAGGATGACGGCTAGGGGTGCAATTTGGACAGGTCAACTCGAGCTCAACCCAAAAAAAATAGGGTTTGAGTTAGAATTTTTAATACTTGGGTTAGACCTGGGCAAAAAAACTCCAATCCGAATTGAATTTGGGCAAACCTTGGGTTGAGGCCTTGAGTTGCCGAGTTCAACCCGAATATTAAAATCGGGTGGAACCCGATTATTAAATCAGGTTGAACCCGAATATATATAAATATATAAAGATATTTAATTAGAGTTAGTATTTATATTCACTCTTTAGAGTCCTAATTTTTACTTCACTTCAAGTCTTCATCCGTGCACCTCCATCACTCTCAGATCTCTCTCTCACTTGTCACTTCTCCCTCTCTCTATTTGTGTCTCGCCCTTCATCACAGATCACATGAAAAAATCAGATCTACACTTTAAAAACTCAAATCTACACTTCAAAAAATCAACCCGAATTAAGTAACCAAAGTTCAACCCTATTTTAACCCGAATTAGCCTGAATTAAGTAATCTGAATTCAACACGAGCTTCCCCGAATTAAACTTAGCCAGTACTCAGGTTGAGTACCTCGGGGTTAAGATAAGGTTAGAGTTAGAGCTGAAAATTATATATCTAGGGTTGGGTTAAGATTGACCTCTTAACCTACCCAAGTTGCACCTCTAATGAAAGTGAACTGGACAAAATAGAGATTTGTCCAAAATCGTTTTATTTGGACTGAGAATGGACAATACATATTGAACAATGGACATAATATCAGTATAAACTTGTGCAGTTCTGGAGGAGGAGTTGGACTGATACTTATCCCCACTCTGTTAAACTTTTTATATATCTATATCTATACTACTTATAAATGTTAGCATCTGTAAAAAACTTTTGATTCATATTTTATCTATAATTATTATGATAAATCAATTATACCCACCTGTATATTTTTAACGAATTTTTATTTTTTACTCTTATTTAACTTTTAACTTATTTTCGACTCTTTTATAAAGACGTCTAAATTATTTTGAACTCGTTTATTAATAGTACAGTTACATATAATTTTTTACATCTATATGAAAAAGTAAAAGTCCTATATATGTTAAATTATTATATTTATGAAATTACCTGATAGAATTTTTCTATCAAATATATATTATATTTTATTTTTTGGTATGCAATAATAGAATAATATTATAAGTGATCTAATCAATCTATTTAATAAAATAAAATTTTATAATTTTATAATATAATTAGATGTGAAAATACCTAAAAGAGTTAGAGATTCCTAAATAAATAATAAGTTAGGTATAAATTAATAATTAAAATACAAATTAATTATTTGGCACTTAGTTTATTAATTATTAAGGTGTTGTTAATAGAATTAATTTTTTGCCTTCTCATAATTTGTCGCGGGGCGAGGCTAGGTGCAGGATTGGGGATCAAAATTTACCCGCGAGACTAGGGTGAGGATTAAAACTTCCCCTATTAACAAAACGGACCGAAGATGGATCGACATTTTTTAAGTGGGTACGGGGATGGAGACCACTCCCCGGCCCCCCATCCTAATCCACTATTATTCCTAGATCTAAGTAATTTTACCAAATCTACTACTGTCGTTTATTAATCATTACTTTCAATATTAGATGAAACTTATCTTTAATTCAACAACATCAATTTAATTTGATCTGCAAATTTAGTTCAAATAATATTTTTGTCTTGTATACTAATACAAATTGTCCCTCCAATTTAATTCTGGCTTTGGTGTTTTTTAGGTAACAAGACTGTTTTGGGGTTTAATTACACTAAATGTTCTCAAAATATAGAATTTGTCTCATTTTAGTTCATAATATTTTAATTACATTATTTTGGTTCCTGAAGTATTAAATGTATTTTTATATGATTTTTCAAGTAGACAACATCTAAATTGTTAACCATTTTTTTAATAAACTTATCATGTAATACCTATATATGGACAAAAAAATAATTTTGATAGCTCTTGACCAAAAATGTATAATATGGGTAGCTCTTAACCAAAATGTGGATAACTCATTATCAAAACTGTGTAAATTGGAAAGCTCGTCCCCCAATTTATCCCAAGTCATCCCATCTATGATCGGATCCATCATGTTTAAGAGTATAATTTGTACAAAAATACTCTGAATCCGATCTTAATCTAACTTGTAAATTCAATATATGGGCGAATATTTTTCATACACAAGTTGGGCTTCACTAAGAAATTCCAACCCGATTTTAATCTGAATAATATGTGGGCTAAAGTTTTTGGGTCCTAAAAACGCAGTCTAGACCCAACTTGAATTACTGAATAAGTTTTAATTCGAGTTGAATTCCAGCTCAACTCAATTTAAATTCAAATTCTGAAATTAAGATTCAGTTTAGAATTAAGATTAAGATGCGAGAGAATATACTAATAAAGTTAATATAGATACTAGGTTGATGTATTCGGGTTAATGAAACTTAAAAGAAGAAAATAGAGACAGCTCACGCCCAGCCTTTCAATGGTGTCCGGCCTGCCTGTCCGCCATCCCACTATACAGCGACTTAAAGACAATCACCTTTTGTTTTGAGTATATAGAATTTATATTTAGATCTAAAAATCTGACATAAGACATAGTCGAATAGATTTAATTCGTGGAAGAAAAGTTGGACAAGGTGGATAGATATGCCTTGTTGCGACCTTGGCACAGTCGAGTCGAATGAAACATTTTTGAGTCAGGACAAGTTGAGTGAGACTCGTGGTTTACATAAAACGTGTATCTGTCTCGAAACAAAAGATTTCGTGCCAAATACAATTCAATTGAATTACATCAGTATCAATTAATACTTTGAACCATCCAAAATGTGGTCTTCATCTCTCATTATATGTCTAGCTTGTTTTATATCTAGCATTTCATCTATATCATTATATACCGATTGTGCAATGTTGAGAGTGTGCCTTGGGGTTGTTTGATAGTATCATTTAATGTTTAAAACTGAATATTTTAAACACTCAATGAATTAAACCTGTTTAATAACCTAAAACTCATACCACTTAATATTTTATGCACTTCTTAAAAATAGGATAAGTAACAAGCTACTTACTTATCATTTAATGCTGAAAATGTTAGTTAGTAAAAATTTTATAAATTTTCATAATGAACAACTACATGCTCAATGTATTTTATACTATTAAGTTTTCAATACCCACAATCCACCGTCATTGTGTCATTGCTGCCGCCACCACCATTGTAATGGGGATCACAATGGTGGAAGTAAGAATAAAATAGTTGTGGTGAGATGGTTAAAAAGAAAGAAAAAATTAAAATCAAAATAATTTTTTTAATTTCAACTCCTGATATTTATCAAACAGTTTGATTCAATTTAATAATTAAATTTCAATTGATATCAAATAATTCACGAATTAAAAAATTTAATATTTAATACTTAAAATTCAGCATTTAATTTTCAATATTCAATTTTTAGTTTTATCAAGAAAAATATTAGATAGATTTTAAATCTTGACTTAATGAATTATTATCATTGAATATGTCGAATAATACCAAAGTCAACAACAAAATCAATAATAAATATAACACCTACATCATCAAATAAATTTTTTAAAATCTAAGTAACACTGCTCTTTTATCAAACACAATCTTAGGAACTTCTGACAGATAACTTGACCTTACACCATATCCCATCAGTTTCTTGTTTGTCTTCTTTTTTGTGTATAAATCTTTTGCTATTAGCAATGCACTCTGGCCTCTTTGTTATTGTTACCATAATAGTCTTTGATAATTGTGACTTAATTTAAATTATTATAATCATTGAATTAGTGAATGGGGACCATTGTCCATCAAATTGTTGTAGTAGATTGATGAGTCAGCACATTAAGTTAAAAAATTAAACATGAAAGATAATTTGTGTCAGTCTCGACATATCTTGAATTTTCTCGTAGTTAAAGTAATTATCAAATAAAATAAGTCTTTTTATAGAAATTTGTACATCCAAGGGTGGGATGATTGATTAGTCTAGACCCTTGATTTCTAACTTCCGGGTCAAACATTGCTAAAGGAAAAGTTTTTCAGCTGTTATTTGGAAATTTAATCAAGGGCCAAATTTAATATATTTATTAAATTAATTGAAAATTTCAATAAAAGATAGAAACTAACTATCAATCTAACGGCAGTTGTTAATTAGGTTCTCAAATTAAATAATATTACTTAGTTTATCAATAAATCTATTTTTTTATTTCTCAATAACATTACTTAGTTTATTAAATATCATGTCAGTATTCATGATATAGTATCACTAACTAATAATAAAATCTTAAATAGACAAAGTGAATTTTTTTTAAATAATTATTGACTAATATGAAAAAATAACGAATAATTATCTGCTTATATGAACAAATAGTTATTAATTTAAGTAAGATACACTTCATTATTTGTCAGGAGATATCACAATTGCAATATGGATGAACTTTAGATAAAGAGCAAATATCAAACTTTACAAACGCAAGACTGTTGCAACTTGCAAACACTTATTATATCACAAGAAAGGTCAAAGTTTCATTCTAAAATCATATGCGAAAACTTGTCTGATCTAAAGCTTCCTGATGAAATGTGTCTGAACGGGTCAGCAGATTTCAGAACTTCATCAAACCGAGTCGACTCACTTGCCCTCCTCCTCCTTCCTCTATTCACCATCTTCCCTCCCTCTCTATCCACCTCAAGCATCCCAACCCTACCCTTCAACTCTCCAATCGAAACCCACAAAGTCTCCATCGAAGGCTTCTTTATTTTAAACATCTCCGACAATCTCTCTCTACGATCCTCTAATCTCTTTAAAGCACACGTTAACTCAACCGATTCGCCAAAACTCAGACAACTCAGTCTCTCCTTGAACTCACTGAGTCGTAACAAAACCTCATTGACCGCCGACAAATAATCACCACGCAGTAAACCCATGACCTCGTACAATAATTTGTTGTCTTCAACAAGGAGAGAATCGGGTAGTTTGCACAATTCTTCGATGACTTCAACTAAGGAATCAACGTCTCTGATTAAGTCTAAGTTCATGGATGATGAAACTCTCTCTTCTTCCTTATCTTTGTCTATGTTCCATGGAGGTGAGCGTAAATAGTATCCCAAAGTTCTGGAACTGGAAAGTAGGGTTTCGAGGTAACGAGCGTACCACCTGACCCATTCGGAGAGGGCCCACTTGCTGGCGGTGGCGCCGTCTCGAAAAGCAGAGAGTTTGAGGTAGTTCCGGCCACCGGAGGTGGGGACGATGGAGAGCTGGTCTTGGAGGATGAAGGGTCCACGTTTGAGGATGTAGTGAATGGTGAGGAGGCACTTGAGGGCGACGGAGGCGTCACGGGTGCGGTGGAGGCGGTCCATGAGGGTGTTGATTATGACAGAGGCGGTGGCGCGTGAGCTGTAACCGAGGGAGAGGAGGGCGGAGAGGTGGTGGTGGTGATCGTTGGGTGTGGTGGTGGGTGAGTGGGTGGTGGCTTTTATGACTGCGAGGTGGAGTGAGAGTTTGCTTGGTTTGGAGAGAAGGGCTGCCTTGGATTGTGAAACCTTGTCCTTGATGACTCCTATGAGATCTCTCAATGTCGTTATTCGTCCCATGGATAGAAGAAAGAGAAATGGGGTTTAGACCTGTGAGAGAGAGAGAGAGAGAGAGAACTACATTGATTTCTTTTTTCTTTTTGGGGTTGATACCTAATCCGAAACACCTAGTACAATGTGCTGTGTGAGAGAGAGAGAGAACAATAATGATTTCATTAAATCTTTCTGTTTTTTTATTCATTGCGGGTTGATTCTGTGTGATTTAAGGAAGGAAACCTAATCACAAGATATTTATATTGCCAGGTTGTTTTTATAAACCTACAAGTCTTTTTCTTTTTGCATTAAATGTTCATATTTTATACCTACTAGTGACCCTACACCCGTACTATAATTTATAATTCATCATCTACTTTTTTTTTTTTTTTTAATTATTCTTCCTTATTTTGTTTTATCTTTACCGACTTATACGATAAGTTACAAAGATATAAAAACTTATGCAATAACAAAAAAAAATTTCCAAAACTAATTGTAATATATTATAGTTAGTGAAAGAATGGGCGGTGTTTATTAAAAACACAAGGTAGAAGAATGTAACTAGAAGTAACCTTTTATTTTTACTTTAATAATTTAACACTTCAAAACATTAATAATAAAGAGGAAAGGCACGTCATGCCCACTCGAGGAGTAATCTCTTTTTTTTTGTTACAAGGTAAAAATTTCAGACTTGTGCCAACTACTCTATCAAATTCAACGATTGACCACCGAGACTTGAACTAGATTAAAACATGTCCCTAAAGAGGCAAAAGTGATTAATCCGTGAAAAGAGATTGAACCTGATATCTCTGACTTACCAAAAACTAATCTTAACCACTAAATCATTCCTAAGAATTATTAATTATTTCACATACATCCTAATTTTATTAGAATAAAGGATTATTTTCTAGCAAATGCCAAGCTTTACATCCTAATAGGTTCAATTGAAATAGAATTGAAATAGGAGGGGCCAAGATGATACCCAAAGACATGTATAAAAGTGTGCTACCAAAAGTAACGTAAAAGAGGATGAATTTACTTTTTGACTCTTGACATTTGAACTTACTCTACAATGGCAGCAGTTAAGGAGTCAAATTACTTTTCTTTTTGGAGTAAATTATACTCTGAATTATTACCTTTACTTTACTTTATACCTTCAACTATAAAATTTTTTATATTATATTTTAAAATATTAATTTTATTTTATATCACTCTAATAAATAACAATAAACTTAAAATTCTGTTAAAAGAGGAAGGAAAAACCCAAAAAACTTCATGTCAAGTACCTAATATCACTTTATTTTACTTCTTTTGTTCTAAATGGTTGCTGAGAAAAAAAAAAAATCAGTCAGAGTAAAAAAAATTAGAACTTCGAAAGAACAAAGTCATGGATAAATTTTTTTTCTTTATTTTTAACTTGGCACATGTGCAATATACAATTACTTATTGATAGTACAAGCTACTCACATGTGCATTTATCGTCAAAATATTGACAACCATTATCTATTAGAATGATATGAAATAAAATTGATACTTTAAAGTACAATGTAAGAAATTTTTATAATTTAGGGTACAAAGTGAAACAAATGTAATAGTTTAATAGGATAAAGTATAATTTGCCTTCCTTTTTGTCAACCTATTCTTATCAAAATCTACTTTTATCTCTCTAAGTCATGCAACCTATTTTTCCTTATCTTTTTCTGGTCTTTCAAGACATTAGCATCATGAACAAAAACACAAAAATCCCACAGAATAGACATTATCTAGGAAAATTACTTCGATTAGATTAGATTAGATTTTGTTATTCCAAGGCTGTTCCTTTATCTGTTCGTTGTCAAGTGTTTTGCATTTAAGAAAATCCTGAAATAAGACATTGAATCACACACACAATTGCCCAACAATCCCCATTGTCGAAGAGATTCAACTTACCAAATTTATCACCAACAGTATGCTTAAGAAGCGTTTTCAGACACGCCATGAAGATGTGCATAGCTGTTGTAATACCATTCTCATTAATCTCAATATTTATCAATTCGTTTAAAAAATAAATATTTTGCCGCGCCTCTCACACAAATTTGAAAAATACCTGAGTGATGTTTCAGAGGCGAATAACAAAGAATCGCAGTGTTCATATTGTCCACCATATCTGGGTTGTGGGACTACTTTGGCTGTGATGTATCACAATGTGTGATGCAGCAATAAGCAACCACATACCAGTCCAAGTAGAAGTACACGGCTAAAAATCCGCTCATCGGGTGAATAACCTGCACGAAATATATTTCACTTGCTATTCAGATTCTGATGAATTCAAAAACAGAACGCGAGTCTTTTCAGATTCAGGAATTTATTGTATTTCTCCCGGTGGATCGTAGGTGAAGCTACAATCTTACCCAGTTGGAGATAATTGTTTTGAATATTCCATTCGAAATCCCAGTGCTTTCTGTCGTTTTTAATCGTCCAATAAGCCCATCCAAAAGAGGCAGCACCATATACCTCTAACTGGGCTCTCCCAAAATCCTGGTAGTCTAATTGGGATCCGCTCATGACGTTCCATTCATTCACCCATTCCCCTGCAATCAATCCATTTCCAAGTCATAGTTCATATAATTTATCCGAGTCCTCCTCAGTTCATGTATAAGATGCATAAATGACAAATCAAGGTTAAGTAAAATTTTGGAGGTTCTAATAATATGTCATTTTTGATGAACCAAGAAAAATGGGGATCATTACTTACCAATAAAAACAAGAGGCCCATTTGCACCATTCAGAGCTTGTACTTGGGACTCCCTGCTCTTGTATATGTATTGAATATTATCAACAGTACTCATGTTTACAAAAAAATTGTCAAAGAGATTGTAGTAATGCAAATCAACTACTGTATTTATCGAGCCTAAGTTAGCTTGATAAAGTTCAAATGGATCTGTGTTGCCTATTCTTTGGCAGAAAATCACATAAGCTGTTGATGAGTATTTCCGAACAATCTGGTAGCCTTGTTTGTAATATGAAACTAAAATGTCCAGTGGGACGGTGGCAGAAGATGGTTCGTTTAGAAGCTCAATTCCCAGCAAGGCCGGATGCTTGGCATACCTGCAAATGAAGAAGTCATGAACTATGAAGTTAAATTCAACAACGCCATATCACATAAGGATACACTCAAATTAGTTCTGTTTTCTAACAAGATTATTAAAACAGCATCTTTTAGAAAGCATTAATCCACTGCCAATTTTAATTTTCATGTGACAGGAAGCTTAAACGCTATCAGAACTGAAGATGAAGCATATTTCTACTCTAAACTATCCGAAAACCAAACTTCTTTATTATGTTTTCAGCAACAAGGACATCAATTGGATTTTCTTACAGTAATATGTAGTAGCTCAATTGTGAAACATACAAGATATTCCTTGGCACAAAACATGACTAGGTTTTCTTACAAAGGATTGACCATCAATATGGTACAATTAACCATGCAGATGAACACCAATCTGAAGTCTACCTGGAAGCCAGGAAATCAATAACCACTAGCGTCTGGGAGATGGAATCTGGAGATGTAGACCATCCAGTTGTACCATCTCTACTAGAACTATGTTCCATCCCATTTTGGGAGCCTGGAGCTGCATGAAGGTCAATTATGCACTTTATGCTATAGGCTCTGCACCAAAGTTTTTACGTAGGGTGTAAAACAAAAAGCAAATGCAAACAAACCAACAATCTAGAAAGTAAAAAGGTCAAAGCAAGACCTACTGTGCCCATGAGAACGCATTATCCAGAGCTTCTAACGATCCTCCTATAAAAGGGGCAGGAGGATTGGGATCAAAAGCAATCCACCAGCCAACAGGGATCCTCACAGTATTTATTCCGTGTCTATACAGAAAATTGAAATCATCTACAGTGATAAAGCTGTTTCTATGCCTCTGCAATGTCCAACAAACATGTATCACATAAAAAAGGAACCACGCTGAGATAGGGAATATTGGCTTACTTCTGCCAAAAAAAAAAATTCAACAACAATTACATTTCTAGGGTATGTCAAGTTAGTATCAACAAATAGAGCAAAACAGAAAAATTAGAGGAAGTTAAAAAAAACATTACAAAGACATAATCCTTATGCAAATAGACTTCTGACAGGTCAGGAGTCAGCTGTGCTACACATCCCTAAAAATCCCATCCTGGAAGCTCATAAGTAAGGAATTTGTGATATAAAAATGCATTCCAACAAATATATAATGCATTGGGTAGAACCTCCTTTGCCATCTCTAGAATCCAAAAGAATTGGATATATGCAAAAAAGAAAATAATATGTTATACAAAAAGTCTATCCCCAAGAATTGCTCTTAAGTTTTTTCTGGATCTGACATACTGTACTAATGTAACTGTTGGATCAAAACACCCATGTCATAGAAGGTATAGATCATCAATTACTATCAGTTATCAAGTGATGACAAACAGAGCCGCGCTTGGAAATTAATTACCTTGAGAACTTCTTTGGCTTTGGCATACCCAAATCCATTGGCAAGCTGATAATCTCCGTGTAAATTATTTGCTATAATCATCATCTCAAATGTGGCTGCATTATTATCCCATCCTGGTGTCCCCCGATAGTCTGCTGTGATCTGGCTGGCTTTTGAAGCCTAAACGAATAGAGTATAATATATCACTCAAATTAAAGGGGGAAAAAAAAAAAAAGCCAAGTTAACGGGTATAACAACCCTGAAATAGGCTTCAATAACAACCGCATGGATGGATAACCAGTAAATTATCTGGTTGGGTATTGGGCGCACAGTGCACAAGCAAATTGCATTCAAAAATCACTGTGAAAAGCCTATCCCAACCCATTTTGTGCCCAATCTTTTCAGCAAGCATAATAGCTCATAGCTAACACATATCAAAATCAACAAGCATTATAACTGGCTTTTCCAAATTCAAATTATTTCCCAAACTACTACAGATTTCCTTCAATTTCTTATAAAGTTATTTTTACCATGGGCAGTAACTTTATCCACCCGGAAGATTAACGGAGAATTTTCAAAATCTAAATTAGTATTAAAACCTAAGTGCGTCACCATGAGCCATCAGCGAGATCAATGAACTGAACCATAGAGACAAAAGGCATCTATTGATTTAAAATTTGAACCAGCAGTTTTGAGCACCAATACTTCGGCATGCATGCCAAATCACAAATCTAGCACTCTTATCATTATTGATAACCAAAGTGCAGCTGAGAAATTCTTCCCTAATCAAGATGTAAACCGATCAGAAATTATACCTGCAGATAGGTTCCACTTTTAAGTCTGATATGAACTCTAGTGTTAAAATTTCTTTCAATATAAAATGTTTCTGTTGCCAATGGTGATTCTGCTGTTGCATAGACAAAGCCTCCATCACATGTTAGAAATTGGCCTTGAGAGGTGCGAAACTGAAATACTGAATCGGAAACTCTCCATAACTGCAGGTAAAAATATATTAGTAACCAATCTCCACGTATATTAGAAAGGAAAAACAAAGGAGAATGGTTTGATAATGCATAAGTTTATCAAACAAAGATGAGTTCACACTAATGATTGTCATGGCAATTATTTAAGTACATCATAAGCAACAAAAGGGAAAATTGTATTAATATATTATCATGCTTTGTGATCTTCTGCAGATAAAAGATATTGTTGGTTTAATGGAAACTTTAACTATCACTGTGACATATACCATGAGATCTCGTATACTAACTCAAGGCTCAAACCAAACAAACTTCAATATTAGCAAAAGCCTAACCAAAGTAATTCTATTACTTCCAGGTAGGCTAGTTCAGTTTCAGTTCAAGCCCTCAATGATGTTCCCAAAAGCATACCAAATTCTAATTGTGGAACACACCAGATATCCCCAAGAGTAGCCATTATTATCTTTTCTTAAGATAATGCCAGTTTTCAAGATAGGAACTATCACAAAAAATGTTCCAGTGCTCAGTCAATTGATTACAAAAAAAAGTTTCTATTACAACAAAAAGCTTCTTAAAACCCCATCAATGGTAGCCAAAAAGAAAATAGATTCAAGTTTATTCATGACTAACTGAAACAGCCATCCCACAGCTGGAAAGCAGGAAAATAAAGAAATGTGTCATGCTGAACTAATTCTCCAATTAGAAGCATATTTGGAAGTCACAAGATTCCACTTGCAACTAAGTTTGCTTACAATTTAGAATCACCTTGCCACCAAAATGATCAGCCATAAAGTGATATGAGATTGCAAATTACAGTAGAATCATAAGTAATTATAATGATTAAATATTACAAAATATATTGTTGGATGATAACTCAATAAAACTCCTTATAGTTGGAAAATCAAAGCTGATTCAAAAATCAATACAGGACCAAGAGGATATCATAAAAGAAGTATAAGCAATGGGTTAATCATCTTACCCTAAAAGTTTCCCATGATAAAGGAACATCCTTGTCCACTGTAACATTCATGCCACCCCCATTGTCTGCGGACACATATTTCTGCAATGTCACTGACTTGAATTGAACCTCTGTTCCATCCTACATTTCAGACATATGTTTTGACCATATAATCACACCAAAACAACAAAGACTCCTACTTTGCAAAAGCAATCATATTATGAAAAGAAAACTCACAAGCATGTCTCCATTGGGAATACCGTCGAACAGAGAAGGTTTAATCCACCCTTCCACAACCAACCATCCGCCCAAATTCACTCCTCTTACTTTTGAGTTTCCAGGAAGTCCCTCCACTAATCTCATAAATTTGAGGGGGGGGGGGGGGGGGGGGGAACTCAACAGTAAGCTCTTTATATATAAATCGTTATCATAATCCAAAGGCATATACAATTATATAAGTAGTGAAGTTGGAGAAATAGAGAAAACCTGAGAATGCAACAGAGAAGATGAGCCAGAAACAGAGTAGAAACGCAAATAGCCATTTGCATAAAACAAGCTCCATGCACAATGCAGGCCACAATGGCATAAAAAAAAGCTAAGATATAGAACCCATCTGCAGCAAGAAGTAAGAACCCCAGTAAAAAATTCAAACCCTCCAAAAACACTCACCTGAGAGAGAGAATCTCAGCAATTTCTTTCTCATTACTCAATAAATTCCAAAAAGAACCTTGTAAACAACCCTAAAAAATGAAAGATCTTAGTGGGTTTGTTTAATTACCCCTTAGAATACAGAGTATTCACACAATCCCTAGAGTGGATGCAAAGACAAAACCCACAAATAAAAAACTTCAACAGCAGAACAAAAGTATAATATTTTAGAGTTTAAGAAAGAAAAGATAAAAGTGATCAGATGTTATCATACATTAATAGCAGATAGTATAATGCAAAAGAGAAAGAAAGGGTGTCCTTTGCTTGGAGTTTTGGTATTTGTTTGGTGGGGTTTGGGTTTTTGATTGATGAAGCAAACAGAGGTACTGAGAAAATGTTAAAAAGGCATCTTTACACTGGGAAAAGGTGGAGAAGAAGTCGTTGCACCATGTTATTGTTTGGAATGAGAATAACGTTTTTCATTGATGAAGTGACAAAAAAAAAAAAGGTTAATTGTAAGTTGTACTTTGAAAGATAGTTTGAATTTTAATTTAGAGTTTTAAAAATTAAAAATTTTAATTTATACCTTCAAAGATAGAAATTTGTATCAATGTGTACCCCAAAAATAAAAAATCTCAATTTGCACCCTCAAGAATAGAATTTGTATCAATGTGCACCTAAAATTAAATTTGATAAATTATACCTAAATCTCCTCATGTTTGTCATTTAATCATTTGGACTCCTTCACATTTAGAATATTACTCCTACATTTTATGATGTTTATGCACGTGTAACATATAATCCCTTTTCGTTGATATCGGTTAATATAACTGTTAAAAAATATGATTTTATCCTAATAAAAAATTATAATTTCATATTACCCTTTATTTTGTGGGTCCGATATAATCTAAAGTTCAAAATCAAGGTTATCATTTGAATGTCCAATAGAATGCCGATATTTATATAATATTTTTTATATCCAATGTAATATGTCACTCAATGTGCAACCCTTTATTCTACTAAACATTCAAATGATAAACTTGATTTTGAACTTTAGAGTATATTAGACCCAAAAATAAAGGGTAATATAAAATTATAAATTTTTATTATGATAAAATCATATTTTTTAACGGTTATATTAACAGATATCAACGAAAATGGATTACGTGTTACATGTGCACAAACGTCATGAAATGTAAGAGTAATATTCTAAATGTGAAGTGGTCCAAATGATTAAGTGACAAATATAAGGAGATCTAGGTATAATTTATTAATTTAGTTTTAGGTACACATTGATACAAATTTTTATTTTTGAATGTGTAGATTGAGATTTTTTATCTTTAAGACTGCACATTGATACAAATTTCTATTTTTAATGGTGTAAATTGAGATTTTTGATATTTGGGGGTGCACATTGATACAAATTTCTATTTTTAAGTGTGTAAATTGAGATTTTTTTATCTTTGAGGGTACAAATTGAGATTTGAACGATCGTTTAAGGTACAATTTATAATTAACCCAAAAAAAAAAAGGTAATTGAGAAGCTTTTTTCAAAAAGATATCTTTAGATCGGCTATAACCCTTTTTTTTTATATCTAAATTTAAATTTAATTAAAAATAATTTAAAATATTTTTTCAATATTATAAAACCTAAATCAAAGGAAATTTTTTTAAACCCAAATTTTTAATAGTGAGATTATACCCTATTTTAAAGATTTAATAATTATATTTTATCCTCTTTTAAATTTAAATTTGAGTTTTTTCATTGAGAGTTTTATATTAAATCAAATTTTTTAATTTTTTTTTACTCAAATTCCATTAAATTTTCGGAAAAACAAGGTAAGGAAAGGAAGGGGGATAAACCGGTAAAGAGTAAATATTTATTGCGTCAATAGCATCCGCAGGCTAAAGGCAACCGACCCGCCACGTGACAGGTCACGGATAGCCTGTAACCCAGACGGATAGGGCCATGGACTGTAATCTTAGCCCAATAGACTAGATGGGCCAACCCGTTTGAAGCCCCTTAAGTGTCCTACTGTGTAGGTCCGTGGCCCGGGTCACCAAAAGGTCAGCTAGATTATGTTTTTGAAAAAAATTCAAATTGTCCACTAGATTAATTTTTTTGGAAGTTTAAATTACGTGCAACAAGTGTCATTCAAAAAAGGGAGAATCTCATTTCGCAACCGAAAATTTTAAGATTTTTCACTACTTTCAAAGATAAATTTTTTCACATGATATCCTTAATGTATTAAAAGTGTTGTAAGGTAGTCTTTCTGCTAGTTTTTGTTATTTATTCTGTCAAAATTATTTAATTAATGTTAATGAAATGAGTAATCAAAACTAACAGAAAGATCATATTACAATCCTTTTAATACATTTATAATAAACTCTCGTCCACAGTATAATACATTACGAATATTATGTGAAAAAATTTATTGTGCGAAACATAAAGAGTTAAAGAACTTGTATTTACTTCATTCTGGTAGGATGTCGGTATTAGTCGTATTAGGATTGGCCCAATTTTTGGCCCATTAAGGGGCTGTCGGTAGGCCTTGCGTGGAGGTCATCGTGAGAAGAACTAATTGTGGCAGACATAAGTTTTAAATAGTTGTATCAGGATTGGCCCAAATTTTTGCCCATTAAGGGGTGGTCGGTAGGTCATGGGTGTAGGTTTTTCTGGTAGGCTGGCTAAAGCCTAATCTATTTGACAGTCAAGCCCGATAACCTCCACCCATGAAGGATCTGTAGGCCTAAAAAATGGATCATGCTGGGTTGGCCCAGCCCATTATCAAGGTTTCTGTTGTGCTCGGGTGTTGTCGATTCGAGTCGAGACTTAAATAACAGTGAAAATTCGAACCAAATAGAATACGAGAATCTCTTTTGCTAATAAATATAGACACATACTCATTGTGTCGTGCTTAGGTCAATTAACAAAACTATGATTTATTCATTCTCAGCTAAAAACCATCATCCATATGCCCCCATAAAAAATAAAAAATAAATCATTCAATCTAAATGCAATAAAAGCACTCAGGAATAGAATACTCGTTGGAGACAAGAATGAGTGAATCTAATTTCGAGAGCATGCTTTACTCCCATAGGAGCATAGAGTTTCTAAGTAAAGGCAGGCACAACTCTCTCTTTCATATCCTACGTGTCAATAAGATAAGTTTGTTGTAAAGTTTATTGATCAGAAGATTCTTAAGAATGAAAAAGTCGACTAAAAGACTATTTCATAATCAACTCTTGTTGCCGAATTGAGGGGGTTTGGCTTGTACTAGGATCTTCTAATACTACAAGAATTCATATTTCAAAAAAAATCATATATTTTCTCTCAAATGAAACCATTAGAATATGTATAGTCGGCCAAAATCGAATTATTCCTAACTCAAAGCAGAATTTATTATCTATTATTATTTTTTGTGTTAGTGCATCGAGTTATTTTTGGATATGTACGAAGAAAAACAAACCTAATCACTCATTTTGTTTTGAATTCCTATTGTATTATTGTATCACATAGGGAGTTGCACCACAAAAAAGAAGAAGATTATTTATGATAGTGATAGGACTAATAATCGAGCTGAGTCTGTCGAATTTGTTTTTTTAAACGAGCCTAAAAATTGTTCAAGCTCAATTAATTTAAAACATGGGCCGAACTTGAGTTGAGTTCTATTCGAACTGAGTTTAAATAACTTAACTCAATTATTAATCCTAAATAGGGAAATGCTTAAATAGACTTGCTCAACTCTTTTCACTGTAAGGCTCTTCCCATGTCACGGTTGGGCTAAACTTGGATTCCTTGGAGTGCTGTAACATATTCTTGAGAACTACAATCTCAAACCGAGAATAAAATATAAAATAAATAATTCCTGGTGCATGATGTTGAGAGAGAAGTTTTCATGGTTATTGTTTAGTTTCTAAGTAGTGAGTCGCTACTTAACTCGATGCAAGCTTGATTTAGCCCAAGGAATGTCTAAGGCTCTCATGCCTCTCTTGGTCGAACCAACACAACAGATGATTTTGAACAAATTTTTCCACATTTTTAGAGTAAAAAGTGAAACAACAAGAAAGTTTTCTTTATATTTATGAATAAATAATTTTTTTTTTAAAAATAATAAATAGATCAAGCTAATAGATCATAGGTAATAAGCGTGCTTAATTGGAGTTGTATGAAGAATATTTTAAAATTTTCATTTTGTGACATAATATTTTGTATGTTGTTTTAAAACTAAATACTTTTTTATTTGGCTTCATTAAAATTTATTTATTATAGATTAAGCATATTTTTTATTTACGCCACCACCTATATGTTGTGCATATGGTTAAAAGAAACAAATTTTAGTCGCAAAGTTTCAGATTCATATAAATTGAACATTACAATGATAGGATAGGATAGGACTCTACTATCACTGTTTGCAGTAACTAGGTGAAATCTTATTCATTATATTTTCACTCAATAGTAACTTACTTATTATCATGAATTTAAGATTGATTTATTAAACCAAGTGAATTTCACTTGAACAATTATTGATTTATTTGGAAGAAAAGCCAATATTTATAAATAAGTATTTATTAATTTATATAGAACCTATTTTATTTATTTATTATTAATTAGTAATATCGTATCATCAATATTAAATACACTCCCTCGTTGCACACAATAAGGGACCTTTCATTAAATAGACGGCAGTTTTTGCTCAGCCGTGGTTTTCTCACCCAAACAATGCAGTTTTCTTTCTGGAAAGGCCACGTGTATGGCTAGGAGTAGCCGACCTGGTCGTTATCAAAGGCAACACCTCAATCAAAATACTGCTAAATACCAATCCATTGTTTTACGACTCAAAATTAGAGAATGGAGACAGATTTATGGCTTGGTTAAAGTTAAAGCAGCAACACCGTGCGTGGGGCAACGCTATCCCGGATTTGCTGACCCAGACAGACCCCTCCCTCCTCCGACAGTGGAAAAAAATAAAAAGTTAGAGCGACAATACTTTTTCTCCTCAGAATAACGTTACAGGGATCTTTCTTAGTGGCTTTGTGTGATGATCTGATCATTCTTTATTAGTAGAAGATTGACAATAAATTTCATTATTAATAAAAATTTATTATCAATTCAGTGACTATGATTAAGATCATTAAATTAGGTATAAAAAAGATTTCATTTGATTAATCTAAACTACGATATTTTGTAAAAAAGAAAGTTGCTTGGACTATGTAATCAAAAAAAAAAAATGTGATTGTCACTTTATATGTTTCATAAATATTGATTGCAATGTGACTCACATTAATTTCTGTCAAATTCACGTTTATCGCGTGTCAAAGAAAATTATATTAAAACTATTTTGTTTGGAAGAATAATTAATTATAATAATACTAAATATTTAGAGTAACAACAGTAATAAGCTAGCAGCCCGCTTCCCACCGAAAAGTGTGGGAATAAGGCATACTAATAAATTAACACATAAGGAAAGCAATTAATTAATTAATTAATTAATGATTAAGAATCAAATTGTACGTTCTTAAAGACTTTATAGGCATCGAATCTCTTAATGATCAATAATTACATAATAGATTCAAAGGATGTAACATGTCTTGTTGGCTCTCACTGAAAGTTACCGAGCTCACTTCAAGCGGTCATGGTTGTTTGGCGTGACAGTTTTACACCCGATTTATAAATTTAATGTGAGATTTATATTAGGTTTAGCGTGTTTAAACAAATGAACATGTTACACTCGCTATGTAAATAATTTGGACACGATGCTGACTAAATATGGTTTATACATGATATATATTAATGTAATTTTGCATAATTATAAATGAGTTGATCGGGTACGAGTTAAAAAAAATTTTGCACGACACAATTTAAAAACAATACGAATGTGACTCTTTTGCCACACGATTTAGGGGTGTCCTGTCGTGTTACTTTCAACTGACTTATTTTTGTGTTGGATTACTTTAAATACATGTCAAGTTCGTGTCAATATTTGTAATTCGTGTTTGTGTCGAAAGTGAAACGAACTTGTTAATTTCGATAATATTTGTAACTTGTTAAATACTTATGTATTATATACGAACCTCATTAATTTTGTTATTCGTATCGAACGTTAATTTGATTTATTTATTTTTTGTGTTAATTAATTATATTACTTTTAAATTTTGTGTTAAATTAGATTCACGTCAAATTCGTATTAATAAATAAAGTTGACACCCCTGACACGACCTTTTGCAAGCCTAACGTGAGACTTGTTGAACATATGGTTTTCATTACTTTCTTTATTCACCTTTCCATGCTAAACCCAATTACGATGAACCATTCTCCCTCCGGTCTGGTTAAACATCATTTCTGCAATTTAAATTTTGGATGTATGCAATCATTTAGGATTCATGTGCAGCAGTCACCTATTCCTATTTATGTGAAAAGAGACTCAAATTATGGCCGCACGAAGGTTATATCTGGACTAATGTTATTAAGGTTTAAATAATTGACATAATTTATTAATATAATAATATATCAAGATTAAAAAAAAATAATAATAATGTACATAATTTCAACCGTATATAGAGAGCTTCTTTCATACTTTTCTTTGTTTCGATAGTTAAAAATATTTGGGTCAGTTTATGCGTATTTCGATTAATCTTCTTTTCAATCTATGACTTGTCATCTATGTCAAAACTGAGGTATTTATGACTTTGAAAAATTGCTAATATTGTAATTCAAGACTTTTAAATTTGTAATTCGTCCTTCTTTTTCCCAGGATTACGCCTATGTTCCTTCTCTCCTACTTCAAACGTGTGGCATCGTTATAAAAGTGGATCTCCTTAGCCCCCTTTCTCGCCCTCTCTCTCAACATGTAAGATGCTGTAGAGCTGTAGATTTATGTGATGTTTAAGTTATTACAGAAGATTTAACTTAAATATTTATTCTTTCTTTGAGTTACGGTTGCAACCCAAAGATATCTCCGCCATGGGGGCTTACAGATATAATCGCATGAGCTTTGGAGCAGAGAAGGTTAAATCTTCTTCTTCGGGAGTTCGCCCATCAGAACGTCGGAAGAGACGGTCGAACAAAGTCTTCAAGAACAGGGAAGAGATAGAGAACCAAAGGATGACTCACATTGCCGTTGAAAGAAATCGCCGGAGACAGATGAACCACTACCTCTCTGGCCTCCGGTCCTTGATGCCACCTTCTTATTCTCAAAGGGTCCTCTCTCTCTCTCTCTCCAAATTAGTGTAGATGTATGTATGATCATATACTAATTCGTACATGTGTACTGCTTTGCATGCATGGGTTTTGATGATATAATAAGTAATTAGTAGGTCATAGGTGGAGTTTTTTTTAATCATTTTTCCCTTTTGTTGTTACAATTTTGTTCCATATGTTTTATAAATACGTATTTACATTAAAAATGTGTATTTAAACCACTTTTTAATATAAACATAATTAGAAAAGTTCATAAAGAAACAATTAAATGGGAAAAGAAACGATAATCTAGTAATTAAGTTGTCATATGGGTGTGTGTATAAGATTCATATTCTCTCAATTACAATTTTATTAAATTTTATATCACCTACCATGTATAGTTGAGCGACCCGTTTACAAATAGTAGACTCAATTGAATTTATGATAAATAATTTTATAATTAAGTAAAATTGAGTGAAGATATTTGCACTTAAGTGACCATTCGAAATTATTAGTTTTTCTTATAAATCGTTGGTTTTTTCTTTTATTTTTTTTTCAATTGCGAACAGGGGGATCAGGCATCAATTGTAGGAGGAGCAATTAATTTCGTGAAGGAGCTGGAACAACTCCTCCAAATCCTAGAAGCTCATAAGCAAATTAAGCAACAATCAAACACTTGTAACTCTTCTCTCTTTGCCAATTTCTTTACTTTTCCACAATACTCAACCTGTCCGACTGGCCACAACTCGGTGGTTGCCACCGAGTCGATGGCTGACAAGTGGTCTCCGGTGGCTGATATCGAAGTGAACATAGTGGAAAATCATGCCAACATCAAAGTACTATCAAGAAGAAGACCAAAGCAACTCTTGAAGATGGTTAATGGCTTTCACTCTATAAACCTTACTCTCATGCATCTCAACATCTCCACTGTTGAGAATATGGTACTCTACTCTTTCAGTGTAAAGGTTAGTTGATGACACAGCTCTTGATTTTTTTTAAAACATATAAGTCTTTATTAAAAAAAAATTTTTTGGTTTTTTAGCTATAAAAAAAAAATACCAAACAGGCTTTAAATTATTTTTAGGGTACAATAGATTTTTAGTCCCTAAAGTATGTGTGTAGTCTCTATTTGGTCTTTAATCTTCCAATTGTGTCTATTTGATCCCTAACGTTCTTAATTTGTATCTATCTGGTCCAATGCCAAAAGTTCGTAAAAAATCGTTAACGCCTTTGGTCACATGTCAATCACATGGGACTAAATCAACACAAATTAGGAACTTTAGTAGAAAAATATACACAAAATTAGGAACCACGTGATTGATGCGTAATCAGAATCATTACAATTTTTTGACAGACGTTTGACATTAGACCACTTAGATACAAATTAGTAACTTTAGGAACCAAATAGACACTAAGCGCATACTTTGAGGGACAAAGTGTATTTTACCCTTATTTTTACATGTCTTTGTTTCAAATAAAAAACCAATGTTAATGTGGAATTATACTTTGATTTGAGACAGGTTGAAGATGACTGTCATCTGACTACTGTTAATGAGATTGCAACCGCAGTGCATGAGATGGTCGCCATGATCCAACCAGAGGTGTGATATCTACTTGAAATTGCATAAATATTTGCAAACAATATCCACTTCTTTATTAGGAAAAACATATGAAGTCGATTTTAAATAATTGAGATAAGATTTTGCTAAATCGAGTTAAATTATATGAAGTAATGCTAATTGGCTCTCGCATTAATGAATCAAATCATCTATCGTTGAGATAGTAGTAACTTCCAATAGTCAATGAGATCCACTGTTAATCTGACGGCAAATGTTAATTCTAGCAACAAATTTGGTGTTAAGTAGTACTATTGTTTTGTATGATATGCTGTACTATGAAATGGCTCGAGTGTGAACATGTTTATCCAAGGATTAATTGCATGCAGTGTTCGTCCCCAAAATTTGTATTTTGTCTCATTTTGATCTTCAATATTACAATTGTATTACATTGGTGTTTTATGTATTAAATTTATTTTTAAGTGATTCCTACATATAACGTCATCTAAGTTTTTAACGGTTTTTGCTCATGTGGTTCAAATATGCTTTCAAATGAGGGTATTTTAGACAAATTACTATCTACTTGATCTAAAAATTATGATAATAGTCTCCAAAATAAAATAAAGTACAAATTTTGAGGACTACCGCTGCAACTAACCCTTTCTCCAATTTAGTCTTCATTTGTCAATGAAAAGTTGGATTGTTTTGGAGACAACATTTCCAATAGGGGTCCCAAACAGATTACAAAAGTACTAGTTTATTATTGGCCTATCTAGGCCAAAATTCAGGCCTGTAAATGTGGTCCGTGTGGACCATATTGATTAAGACTTGGCTCACAAAGTCATGAAATGAACTGCTGAGACCTAAATATTTTTCATCTTTGCTTGAATTAAATCGAAAACTTGCGGTTTCCTAATTTAGAGAAAAAGATGTGACAAATATCCTTAGAAAATTATTCATTTGTAATTAGTTAAATCCATGAAAATAATCTCTACCTAAGTTTATGATCATGATGCTTCAAAGATGAAGATCTAAAAGTTTCAAAGAAGGAGTTCAAATTTCAAAGCCGAATCAAGAAAGCCTCCATTGCAGTTTTAAAGTTTTAAGAAAGATAATTACCTAAATACTTAAAACCTTTGGTTTTTATACTTTAGCTCATTAGGTTTTTCGTGAATGACTCTTAGGCTTTCTTATGAAAAGATTTTGTAAATATTAAAAGTTGTTTTGAAAATATAGTTGGAGTTATGTGTCGGATCTTATTTGTACAATACTCTTGAGTGCTCAAAAGGATTAACTTTTCCAAGAGTATTCAAAAGGACAAATTTTTCCTTGATTTCTAACTTGAAAATCAGCTTGGATTGTCGTTTTATGAGTCTCCTAAATTTCAATAGGTTGGTTTTCCTCCCCGGTCTCAAGGTACTACAATCAATAAGAAATATTACACATGGAGTCATAGCAGTAAAATGACACAAAAATGGAAGAAATAAAATATGATAAGCAAGTAATTGCAGCAGAGTAGTTGTATGCCTTCTTGAATGATGACTAGTAGAAGAACTAAAGCACAAACATGTAGACAAAGAGAGACTCATAAAAGAACACTTTCAGCTTAAAGAATACCAAGTTAAATTAAGTTTAACCTTCGGGACTATTACCTAAGCAACCCACTATTATATCAATTCAAAAATTCGCATTCTGAAAAAAAATCAAAACAATTCAATGATCATTCCATCGCAATACAAAACACAAGAATTTCACGTTTCACCGCATGAAATATTAGAATTATAAGGTCATAATCATCTTATAGTATAAGGTCATACTATATAATATGTGCATGCCAAATTCTAGAGAATTTAATTTTTTGCCACCATGTGAAGGAGAATGCAACTTTAGATTTTTTCAGGAGTAGTTCAGTCCAGAAAAGGTCAATACATTGTTATCACACATATTCATATATATATATATATATATATATATATATATAAATGGCTATATCAAAAAGAATAGGAATCACAGATCTAGCAAGAACTAATTGTTGACTTACGATATATCATATTGCATCAAACTCAAATATACCAAGACGCAAGTTGGATGCAATTCAATCTCGCCACATGTCAACAATGACCAACGACAGCATTTCCACTTTCCAATACAAGAAATTCGAAGAGAAAACTTGTCACATTGAAAATATGAAAACAAATTCAGCAAAATAAAATTTTGAAATTAGACCCAAACAATTTGATGCTTGACTCAAATGCTATAAAAAAAGAGGCAATACTTGATTCTTTATCACACCGTACCAGATAAATGAATTTTCTCAATATTCGCCTTCTTTTTCTTTCTATTATCATTGTGTTTTAAACTCACAAAATATTTAGACCAAAAAACTCGACTTACTTTACTACTATAACAATAGGAACCACACTCAGTAACCCCCTTATATACTTTGAACTAAGGTTTTTTAAGGAGTACCTGTACTCATACCCACGTACTACTGGTATTTAAAATAAATTCTTACCCACTTAACAATTTAAGAGATTTTCAAGTATGATCAGAGGCCTTATGATCTCCATCAGTGAAAGTCTATCGGGATGGTTATTGGACGCTCTTCCTTACCCCCCACCCCTTATTTAACCAGCAAAAAAAAAAAAGAAAAGTCTTTACCAGTGGAGTTTCTCTTGTGCTAAATCATACTTTTGAAGTAGTTAACAAATATTATACAAGTGTGTTAATCCAAACTTCTCCAAGGACGAGGACTTAGAAATATTCCTTCTTGTCAAAACACAACAAGAACCACTTACCTTCCAAAATCAGGATAATTAAAATTTTACAAATTATTTTAAAAAGTTTGTAGATTAATTGTAATATTTACCCTTAATTAATGTTGCTTCGGCCTTTTTGGGGGTTTTGTAGTGTTTAGTATATTTGAGCATTGATTGAAGTAGATTTCAAAGAGGTCCAAGCCCAATCAACTAGGTTAACATGTATGTCAATCAAGAGCCTCCTTATCCTTGAAAATAAAAACATTTTGATTATTTCGAGACGAATTTTTGATCTTGTTAGATTAATTTGGAATCTAATATTGGGCGGTAGATCTTATTTCACATAAGGGGTTATTTGCTAACAATGATAATTCTGATATTAGGTCTCAATGGTATTCTTTTATTCTGTTAAGGATTTTTAGAATAATAATATACAGAAACACGTGTCTTATTTTTTCTTTGAAAAATTATAAAAATCTGCTTTTATGGTCATAATAATGGGGAACATTACTTATTTGACTAATTCATCAAGTAAGTGACGGTATTAACCCTCACATAATTGGTATCAATTAAAGTAAAAAATATATATTTGAAATAATAAAAATTCTCATAAAATTACAAGGACTCCTCAAAGAGTAATGCTACTATTTGGACCTAAAAATCTGATCTAATTTGTTGACATAATGATGTGGCTTAATAGGAATCATTGGATCAACACCAAGATCCAATGTTTGATTGGACCTATAAGCAATCCAAAAATCATAATAAATTAGGTCAAATTTTTAAGTCCTAATAGCGTTGTTCTTCCTCAAAACACTTGTGCGCCTAAATAAAGGAGTAAACATTGCCAGACAAAAATTTTAATTGTGTACAAAGTTAGCTAAGTAATAAAATATTCACAGGGTAACAACCATCAAGTTAGCTTGTATGAAAAGATTTTATGAATATTATCTTTAGCTTGTAAGTTGAAACAAAAAATTTCTTGATACACATGGATTGCAATTGAATGCGTGCATCCTAAATACGAAATGTAGGCGTGATGAGCTCAAAAGGGATGTGTTTAGGACAATTCTCAGTTACAAAAGATTCATAATGTCCCTCGTCGAGTTAGCTTAAATAAGAAGATTTCATGGCTATTATTTTTAACTCTTAAGTTTAAAAATGTCTTGATATATCCGACAAACATATATTATAAGTGATTGTGTGCATTCTAAATGTCTAATGAGTTCAAATGAAAATAGTTATGACGTTTTTAACTTCAAATCTTATACAAACTTTATAAAATCTCACTTGAAGCAAATGGATTTTTTCAAAATATAATGATTATAATACAAATAAATTAAACCAAGTAAAGTAGGTACATTATAATGATGAATCATTTGAACCAAACTTTAAGTTTTATTAAATGGTTGGCCCTGGGCATAGGTCACTTAGGTGGCCTTTTGTTATTGGGAGATTTGAACTCAAATGGCCAATTAAAATTAAAAAACCCGGACCATAAATTGAAACTAAGAGATTCCTATTACATTACACAATGGCCCATGCGAAAAAAAAGGCCCAACAACTGTTCTATTACTTTTAATAATCTCTCATACAGTTAAATCGAGTCTTTTTCAATGTGTCAGACATCTGGAAAAAAAAATGTGTCGGGCACACAAAAATTCTCTTTTTCTCTCTCACACATACATAGACGTGCACGTGCGCACGTATATAATGCAAGTGATTGTTAATGTTAAAGAAGAAATAACTAGAGCACTAAAATAAAAATAAAACATTATCAGCATGAAAAATATTCTTCAATAGAGATCATGCTATTCCTTTAATCTAATATAGGTTCAAAATATTAAAAATAGATAAAGTGTTTGACTCTTAATTTAGTTTTAGAAAATTAAATTCTTTATGTGATGAAAGTTTTAAAAAAATATGAATTTGACCTTGGTTTTTTTTTTTTAAACGTATTATTTTTTCAATTTTGGCCACCAACGGTACTAAGGAAATTAATGACTGAAGTACCCTTCGACTTTTAATGTTAGTATGAGATTTGACCACTAACGATTTTTTTTAATTTTTTTAATTTTGTTTAAAAAATTCTTATTTTGAATTTGCTTCTTGTATGATGTTGAAGCGTACAGTGTCACCAGTTTTTTTTTACAAATTTTTGATGTACATACATCTGGAACATCCATAGGTACCTGTTAATTTTTTTGTACACTGATTTCTAGCGCCAAATTTTTTAGTTTTCATGTGAATTTTTTACATTATTCGAAATTTTCTGAGTATGGATTGTCATACAATGTATTATACTAAATATTGTGCAAAAGCGTTAAACAAATAAAATAATAGAATAAATAATGTTAAGAGTAAAATTGTATATTTATTATATAAGATGTAATAGAACAAATGGTTATTTGTGAAACTCATTATAATAACTACTAAACTAACAAAAATAAGAGAAGATTAAAATAATTTTTATTATCAATACTAATTTCTACGAATATTAGAAATATAAAGAATACATTCCTCAATCTCGTTCATAACAATTCTCAAAACAAAGATACCCTTGTGAACCCACTAAATCCAACAACTGTCATATGTAGGGATCTCCTTAGAGTTTCCTACCACATACAATAATATATTATATTAGTGGCTGATACTAACTATCGATAATAACGTGGTATTAGGCTTTTAGCCAAAAAAAAAAAGGTAAAAAGAGAAAATGTGGAGGAGGCGATGGTTTCTTTGCTTGCCAGTTTTACTGATTATAGTTTGTGTGTGTAACGGATAATCTTTGTCCAAACCCGCAAGAAAAGAATTTCTCGGCTTCTTCAACACAAGATGGCAACCCATCACCGACCTACGACCACCCACTCCTTACGTCTCTCTTCCTCTCGGGTTTAACTATAATATTAAAAAATTAATTTTTAGTATTATAATTTTTTTTTAATAAAAAGGTTGTCCATATAAAACTTTTTTATTTTATTATTTTACTATACTCAATTCCTCTCTCTCTCTCTCCTGATACCCACCGCCTACCAACCATGGCCACCCCCTCTCCCTTGCACTCCTCAAAACAGACTTTTGCCTTATAAATTCCAATTCCAGCAAACTGATAAAAAATCGCAAGATAATCAATCAGAACAAGTGCAGAAGCCGAGAGTGGCTACACGGACGATAAACAACCAGAAGCTGAATTCTAAAGGTTTGGAAGGCGGTGAAATTTCAATGGGTCTTATGCTTTCTCCGAAATCCGGCATCGAGCTTATGCAGAACTGTGATTTGCCTCCACCCCTCAAAGTCTTTTCCGGCCCGGATAAGAAAGTCATACCACCCATGAATAGTTTGATAGGCCAGGAAGAGGAGGCGGTGGCATTTCCGATGTCGAGAAGTGGGTCCGAGGGGGAGAATTTGGAGCTTTTAAGGGCCTTGCGGCTATCACAAACAAGAGCAAGAGAAGCAGAGAGGAAAGCTCAAGTGCTGGTTAAGGAGAGAGATACTCTTTCCAATGGTCTGATAAAAGAATCGGCTCAATTGTTTGCTTACAGGCAATGGGTGAAATTGCTTGAAGTTCAAGTGTCTGTATTACAATGGCAGCAGCAGCAGCAAAAGCTATTTGGCAGTTGTTATGAAGATTCAACGGAGGAAGATGATGCTAATGAAGAAGGCAAGGGCAGGATGAGATGGTTCGTGGCTTTGGCCTTTTGTTTGGGTATTGCTGGTTTTGGCCTTATGTTTAATTGGAGATACCTGTTTTGATGTTGCCCTTTTCACTTTCACACATATACAGTCGATTTTCCGACTCGCCAAAAACAATCTCTGTGTACACGGGATAAGATCTGTAAATCTGGCAGGAAATCCCAATGGACTGGTCTTTTCTCTCTCTTTTACATGGCTCAGAAAAGTGAACCAGCTGTTTATATGATCATATCTGTCAATATTCTGCTCTCTTAAATGAAAACCATGGGCAAGAGCACATTTTCAGTTGTACAATGGATTACTGAATATTTTTTCTTTTCTTGTAAAAGAAAATCGTCCTAGTATATGCACATAATCAACCACAAACTAAGCACATTAATTAAATTCCAGTTTTTACAACTCAAACATGCTCATACTCGAAGCATATAAATTTACGTCTCGCTCTTGTTGACGACAGAAACAATTCGTGCAGAGTGTCAATGGATTTTAGTGGCATAAACTATATATTATCTCCACCCAATTGGATTAATTGTGCTATAAACACATCGTTTCAAGCCATGCAGCAGGCCAACTCTTCAACCCGAGAGAGAGAGAGAGAGAGAGAGAGAGAGAGAGAGCACTTAACTGCATTCACTGAACATATGCGCAGAGATAACTCTCTCCGCACCTACTTGTAAGCTGTTCTGTGTACATGTTCTAATATATACATCCGATAGATATCTATATGTACACACACACCTAAATAAGAACTATATGTACAAGTCTTTATTCCAGTACGCTACTTCAGATCTAAATAATAGCAAGGTGTACGGACCTTAAATGGCTATAGCAATCATCACTGCTGTCAAAGAACTCCAAGCAGGCCCAGCAAATGTGCCGTCCACACTTGCATTGGACATGGTTGCACCCATCCACCTTCTCAATCGTAAACCCACAGATAGGACACTTCTTTACATGCTCTTTCCCATGGCACCACTCCTTCAGAGAGGAATCTGGATCTTCCTTGAACTCCCGGTACTTCTCGCACGATAGGTATGGATGATACTCCATGTGACACCGAGTACACGTCTCAGCATAACATGCACCACAGAGAAATGGCGTACCATCGGTCCCTGAATCAGCCACTCTATAAACTGAAGGACAGTCAGGCGATGGACAAAACCTGTAAGTGCCCCCACTTGCGGCCACAAATGCCCCTAATGAAGCCCGGAAAAGTTCCTCCAGCTTCTCACTCGACAAAAGTGATCTCAAGTCAGCGAGCAAAATAAGAGCACCACAACCCTGATGGGTACAACGCATAGGAAAACCTCCCTGGCTTCTGATTGCAGACTCGCACTGCTCCACTAAGCACAACCGACAGAACTCATGTCCACAGTCTTCAAGTCGGTAACCATCCTCCAGTTCACACAAGCAAATAGGACAGGCAGTTTCAACATCGACACTCTGAGCCGGTGAGCCACATGTCTGTGCCACCTCGTACAGTATAGCTTCCACTTTTTGTTTCAACTCCTTGCTACCATGAACAGAGATGATATGTCGCCGGGTATTTAGAGTGAATTCTGCATCAGGAACCCTCTCTTTGAGCCCGTGAAGATCTGGACCAAACTTTGCAACCACTTCCTTCATGAGATCAGGAGGCAGAACTCCACCTCGAAGATAGATTTCAAGTTGCTTATTTTCATGCATTGCGAGAAGGGATTGAACTAATCTTTGCTGTGCCATGTTAATCTTGTTTGAAGAACCGAAGACCCTTAAATTGAGGTTATGCCTGTCAAAAAGAATAAAAGTTCCAGTATCTTGCTGAATTGACTTCATGAGCCCGATCCCATCTCTGGAAAATAGAACTTGTAGAACTGTGGGAGTGAGACCGGCATGGTCTATGATGTTGCCTTTCATGAGCTGCTCTAAAGGTGATCTCAATTCAGCCACAGTTTTTGTAGCATTGGCAGATATCCTCACACGATAGGAACCATTCTCCGTCCTGTCAAGATTGCACTCTGCACCTGTGAACAAGACATGCCTGTCAGCACCACAATGCCACATCACAGTGTTACGGTTACCAATATTATATATATGTATATAGATGACACTGTTTTGGGGGGCCCATACTTCCGTGACTGCAAGTAGAATGTAGAAATAAAGATGAGGGTTACAAACAAACTGCACAAAACAGGGGTCATAAACTCCCTTTTGCATACGAAAGCTCCTTAATTGCAACCTTGGTTAATTGTTGAGATCTGCTGAGATACAATGTATTGTATTTCAGTACTATCCAGCATTCACAAACCACATATATCATTCCTTCTTTCCTTTCTGTGTGTTGAGCAGTTCAAAAGTTTCTTAAGGTGAGTTAGGGAAAAGTGAAATGATAGGTTCAAATCTGAGTCACTTTGTGCACAACTTGCCAAAAGTTTGGCTTGTAATACCTATCCCAACACCCTAAAATGACAAGGACCAAACTGTGGCCACCTTTCTACCTCTGCTATGGATTTATCTCACTCAGCATGAAATATGAAGTTTTTTAGGCAGAGGGGGTAAGAAGCGATCACCTGCATATAGGTGGAGACCAACTTGAATATAAGGGGTCCCACCTACCTAAATACAAACTAGATGATTTCTTCAAAAGTAATGGCTAGAGAATAGGAACTAGAGAAAATCTGCACCCTATTTTCAGATCTCAGAGTCTGTTTGGTATATCGACTAGGGACCTACACCCACCACCATCCCTCCCTCTGCACCACTGACCACCACCACCCTCCTCCATCGAGCAAGCCATTATCATCACCTCCAAGAAAACCAGAACCATGTCACCTCCATCAAGGAGAAATAAGCATTAAAAACAACACGAAATAAGTAAAAACCAGTAACTGTTCACCACCAATTTTTTTTTGGGAAGGTATTCACCACCCCTTCTTCCATGCAGAGACTTAATACTCTTTAACCCAACTAAGAATAAATAGTAGAGTTCTGTGATAATTTTCATGTGATTGTATATCCGAATTAACAGGGTTATGGAGTTTTCCTTACCAAGTAATAAACAATCAAATCAAAAAAGGAGGGTAGATTCATAGATGTGAACCCCACAACCTTAATATATGGGTAAAAAGTCAATGTGACTCGAGAAGGCATACAAGGATGGTAGTTATATGATTGACATCAGAGGGATCAACTATCAGGACCTCACATGACAACATTAAAAAAATCCAACAGAAAAAAAGGCCCCAGGCATATAATCCATAACTATCAACCTTGAGAACAAAAGGATAAAACACAAAAAGAAGAATCTAATTTTTTGCAGGAAATCAAATGATTAAGCAAAGTGATATACCTTTTCGATGCCGGAGGCTTGTAAGTAAAGAATGTAGCTGCTCCCTAATAACAGAATAGACAGGAGCAGGGCATGATACCGAGCTATGAAACATCTGCTGGCACTTTATCTTCTGCCACATTAGACATCCAGGCAATACTTTCCCTTCAAGTTGCTCCAAAGCTTTTGCAGCCTCCAAGTGTAGACTTCCATCAAACATGATCAAGGCTTTCATGAAAGAATCCTTCGGTTCTGGTGGGAAGACCTGGACCTGGATACAATTACCCAGAAGATTCCCTTTAGGCATGAAGGATGAAATTTCTTTGAGAAGTGCTTCTTCACAAGCATCATGTGGAGGCTTATCTACAGCTTCTCCTCTCACCAAGAAAAAATCCTTGATGTTCCTGTTTGTTGCAGTCCTTAATACCTCAAAAATTTCAGCTTCAGAAAGTTCCCTATCTAGTCCATATACTACAACACTGTCATTGTACTTTTTGCTAACTTCACAGCGCAGATATTTTCCCCCAATTAGCAAGTTGGAGAGATCATCAACCATGAAATTAACATCCTGCAGATCACACTTCAGAATTGCTAATCCCTTACTGTACCTACGAGGCCAATAAACTCTGGCTTTGACAGCAGAAAAGGATAACATTTTATGATCGCCTCCATGAGTGCCCTGTGAAGGAACTATCTTCAGTGAGGCACCACCGAATTCAACAGGATTCATCTCAGTAGATTTCTTAGCAGCATCAGGTGTCAGAAATGTTACTCTTCCCCACTTCTCCTTGTCCCCTCTATCCTGTCCAATGCCTGTGAACTTTTGCAACGCACAAATACTACTCAAGGTGCTTCTCTCCAGAAACATCACAAGCTCTTTATCATCAACAGCAGTTACACCCGAAAGATATACATCAACAGTCAAGTATTTTTTTTCAAGCTCCAGATGCTTAATCTCGGCACCAGCTCCAAACAGAGCTATAGAAGGCAAGACACCAAGTCCGCCATGATACAAGTATTTCTCCAGACATTCATTCTGCAACCATTTTCTTTCACACTCCAATGCATCATGTACAAGGCTACAAACCTTCTCCATGTCTTGTGAAGAGGCAAATACCCTAACTTCATTCGGATCAACATTAACTTCAATGCCAATCCTTTCATCCATACAAACCGTTCTCACATGTGAGACGAGATGAAGCAGGCCAGTCCTATACCTCCCACAGAGCTTTTTCAGTTGCATACGGCCAATAACAGTCAAAACCCTAGCTTGCAACCTCCGATTATCCATCTTAAAGACATCAAACGAAGGAGGCGGGGAAAGGGTAGACAGAGTGTCAAAGTCAAAAGCAGTTACACAGACTAAATATTGGTTAGATATTGAGAGGATTTCACCAAAAACTACCCAACCAGGTCTTTGACTGAAGATTAACAGAGAACATGAAGGATGTAGCTGAACATGTTTTCCAGTTGCCGCTACTTCATAACCTAGGTGATCATATCCAGAGTACAGAGCAACATTTTCAGCAAGGCATGAGAGGATAACATTTTGCAATGTTCTATCATGCTCGGAATGCACCAATGGGTTCCAATACCAGTAAGTAGGAATAATGATATTAAGTTCATTTTGAAGACAAGAAACCAGTTCTTGGACCATATCTTGGCATCTCCGCATGGATTTGGCATTGATGCTATTCTCCCAACACCACTTATTCCTCCTATCTAGAGGCACACCCTCCCACTCCTTGTAGACAGAGAGCAAAGTGAACAGATCACCATTACGGTGGCAAAATTGCACCTTGAGGCAATCAGATTTTAGCTTGTCTTCTTCATTACCTACTCTGCAGAATATGCTACTGGCATTGGCCATAACAGCAGCAAGAACAACTCCCTCTTTTCCTAACTGATGGTCATAGCATTTCAGAATTATTTTACCAAGCCGAGGTTCAATACCCAATCTAACTAAATTCCATCCGTCCTTGGTTAATTCATAAACATCATTTTTCAATTTAACAGCACCTAACTGAATAAGATTCCTGATGGCCATCTCAATAGCTTTTGCACTAGGTGCGTCAACAAAATCAAAACCCAGGACATTTGTGATGCCCAATGCAAGAATCCTCAGAACCGCAACACCAAGATGAACCCTACGAATCTCAGGTTCCTGATGAGGAGTCATCAGCTGAAAATCATCTTCCGAGTAGAGCCTATAACATGTCCCGGGCTCAGTTCTCCCAGCACGGCCAGCCCTTTGATTAGCAGAACTCTGACTAATCCAGCAAACTTTGAGGACATTCATTCCGGTGCCAGGTTCAAACCTGCACTCTTTCACCATTCCAGAATCAACCACATACTTAACCCCTGGAATTGTTAATGATGTCTCAGCAAGATTTGTGGTAAATATAACTTTCCTTTTTCTTGGGTAATTGAGGAAAACTCGAAGTTGATCTTCATGAGATAGTTTTCCATGTAAAACTAATGGAACTGCAGAGGGAGCCTGGAAATTCTCACAAGCCCACTCTACTTCCATCTGAGAAGTCAAGAAGGCAAGTATAGTCCCTTCTCTCTCAGTTCTATGGATTTCTGTTACCATCCTGACTACATCAGAAGCATATGAAGCCACGATACCAGAACCAGCACCACTTTCAGACACAGAAGGGACATATCTGATATCAACCGGAAAATTTCTGCCCACCACATTGAAGGTGCCACAACCAAAAAAGAACTCAGCAAGCTGCTTTGCATCTGCTGTCGCAGACATTATGATAAGCCTCAGATCAAGCCTCCGACAAAGTAACTTTTTAAGCAACGCTAAAAGAATATCAGTATTTATGCTTCTTTCATGTGCCTCATCAACAATGATGCACGAAATCCCGGATAAACTCTTATCATTCATGTAGTGCTGCAGTAAGCAGTGGTCTGTCATATATATTACCTTGGAATCAAACTGCTGAGCAGAGGAATATGTTGGATAACAGATGATTGAAGTATCTTGATAGCATCCAAAACTTTCCTCTTTAACCCTTTGTGCCAATGAGATGGCAGCAAGCTTGCGGGGCTGAGTGCATATTATAGACTCATTTCCAGCCACTCCTGAATCAGCAAGGAACTGAACCAACTGTGTACTCTTCCCTGAACCAGTCTCCCCAATCAACACCATTATCTGCGGAAATGTTGAACAACAAAAAACCGAAAAAAAAGAAGAGATTTAAAGGGAAAATCAATACATTCAACATTAAAGAATTTAAAAATCAACTTAAATTATGAAGATCATAGTTTGGAGAAAGAAAAAAAAATTGCAGTATTATTTATACATGGTAAGCCTTCCTGTTGCATCTTTCAGTCTTATTCACAACCTGATGTGTCATTTTACCATATAGAATGCTGCTATACATGCATGGCAAAGAAGATGAATTAACAGAAAAGTTTAATCATGCAAAGCAGATAGCAAGATCCAAAAAAGGCTTATGACAGAATGAGAGACCTATTAAAATGAGGTTCTTAAGGATGATATAAAATTCAACTGCCCTGACAAAATGCCAGGGATTCTCCACAACCTTCATCCCTTTCTTCCTTCTTGTCCAAGTATAAATGTGTAAAGTGAACCCCCTCATATTACATGAACGAAAAGGTACTTGACGTCACACAGGTTTCTTCAAACGCTTCCAAATCTCGGTGCAAAATTGATCCTGCTGAGTTTTCTGTGTCTTATGAGACAACGATACAAATGGATGGAAAACCACGAAGACATCTCAAAAACCATAAGGTTACTACTTGTATGATCCCTAAGATCCTGGAAGAAATTTAAGTTTCTGACATGAACTTAGAAGAGGTATTTTTTGATAGTCATTCATCTTATCTGCAATCACTAGTTCATTAGATTTTACCTCCCAAATTCAATGAATATCCACAGGATGATTCTCTCAACACCAAAAAAGATGATTTTATGATTCCTCGATACATGAAGAATATCAAGAAGATGATTCTTTGATCACCATGAAAGATAATAGTGACGTCCCTATATACAATGAATATTCGAAAGAAGATAACATAATCTCCACCACATAGCCCACCTTACAAGATCGAACAGACGGGCTGATTGGGAAGGGGTAATAGATTCTACTATTGGGTCAGGATGAACAAGTGGCTATGAAGCATGCTCCGTAAGAGATTGACCCTTCCCCGAATCAGTCCAGTCAGAAAGGGCCCTGTTGTCTAGACTACATTTCGGGAGTTTGAACACCATCCTATTTTCACACAATGAATTGATCCTATGCCCTCGAGCTCTTTTTGAAGATACATTTTAGATTGGTCAATGTGTAATGGGTGCGCTCATTAGAGTGAGCCAATTCCGACAAATAAGGGGCATAACGCAACAAAGATATCGTCATCAAGTCGTTGTTGCTAAAAAAACCTTGGTATGGTATTGACAGAGTAAACCTTGGTACAAAAGGTTGTCAAGTGGCCTATTAGGTGGCCAATTGAATGTTATACTGGTGTGAATGTTGCCGATAAAGTCTCTGGGTGTGATCTCCTTAACACCAATTACAAGGCATTCCTTGTGTGAGTATTAACATAATTGGTATTAATAAAGAAAGTGATGTTGGAACTACATGAGTTGAGGATCAAGTTTACATGGCCCGTATTAAAGCATTGCATGAATATCTTGTCAAGTTGCAAACAATAATGAGATTTTGGTGGCCAGAATCCTAAATCTAGGCGAAGACTCCAATATAGACAATATACTGACTTTCAGTGCGTATTCTTTTCATCCCATGGAGAATGATGAGCAAGATTGGCAAGAATCTGGGCATTTCTCATGCTAGAAGATTTTGATTTATTTTGTTTCTTAGTTTAATTATGAACCTTCTATTTATTTTATTTTCAAATTCAATTAGCATTTAAAATTATTTCGTTACCTTATTTGATTAGTGCTCTGCTATTATAAATAGCAAACAATATGAGCTCTTTTGGGGCTTCGATATTTTGGCAATAATATTGCAGAGAATGTTTTCTCTCTTTTTCCAATTGTTTTCATATTCTTAGGAATCAACAAAACTATTAAAGACCTCTAGCCTGCGAGGATAATAAACAAGTCTAAGATTTTTGTGTTACTCTGGTTCATCCAATCGTGCTCCCTGTATCACCTAGGAAAGGAACAGGAAATTTAGTTGGTAGGCACACTGAGAACAAGAACAAAATCAAACGTTGTCAACAGATATGATATGCCTAACTCCCACTCAAAAGATGGGCCAAAAAGAAATGAAACATCCAATGAACCATGGATTTGATTTCATGATCCACTTATGCCAATGAATAGAATATGGCTGGTCTTCAACATCAACATATACCAATGTTGAGTGTGAGAAGAGACAAACGCTACCAAACCATTGTTAACAAATCAAATAACTGGAATAATTTATTTTGAGTAGCGGAATCATGACAGAGACAAAACTTAAGGGGTTAAAGAAGAAAAGTAATAGCAAATCATTCAAATACTGTGGGGTTCCCTCGTCAGGGCCAAGCTACCCAGCACCCAAGGGAACTAAGTATGAAAAATTTTTCATTGAAAGAAAATAATAATAGTATTCCACGTAGATCAACATGTTAATTAATAGTTACTAATGTTTGTATGCTTTCTGCCTTTTGGTGATGCCGGGGAATCTTATCATTTATATTGATCAGAAGAGCATTCCTTGGAAATGAAAGGGGATAATTTTAAACATTACCTCACTGATAGACTTTTTCCTTCGCTCAGCACATAGGTAGGATATGGTCTAGAACTAATAGCACAACCATGTGGAGCAAGCATTTATGAATACGTGGCTTCAAAAGTAAAGTTTATATAAGATAGATTGTAAAGAAGAATGCCATTAATTATGGCGTACACAAGAAGGACATGTGTAGAAACCCCTCTTCCAAAGAAACTTTCTACATTGGTTGGTATTGCCAATTTGCCATTAACGCGAGCTAATGTGCATTCTCAAAATAATGGCACAACTCATAAATGGCTTTTTAGTTTTCCAAAATTGCCATATGGCTCATTCATATAGATAAAAATCGGTATGGAATTGTAAGGAGCGCCATCCTTGAACACAGAGCCTCATAGCACATAGCTTGAAGCTTTGAATACTATAGTGCTTTTAACTCGCATTGTAGGTTAAAATTAATGTGTGCTACTATAAATCGCCGTTTTCTCAATGTTCCAATCATCAACCCTTATTCTTCTATAAATGAAGTTGAGTGCTTAATTTCCAGCAGTCAGAAAGCAAGAGTAATAAGTAGCAGAACATATCCTAGAGATAAAAAAACACATAAGCAAGCAAAAATATAATGAAAATCACCTGCTGGCAGTGTACTTGTGTAAGAATCTCCTGTCGGGACGCATAAATCGGCAACCCATCATCCAGTCTTCGACACTCCCTCATCATGAGACCGTGAATTTTCCCCCAATCAAACTCGCCACCGAACCTAAATACCTCCACCTCCTCCTCCACCTTCCCCTCCAAATGCCTAAGTATACAATTCATCCCAGACATAAACTCCTCAATCCTCTTCGCAATCAAATCCCTCTCGGACACGAGCCCTCCTTGCTTCTTCAGAAGTTCATTGCACTTACTCAGTTTGTTTGGCTTCCTTACCATCGCCGACACTTTATCAATCTCATCCGTCACAGCCCGGAGCTTTTTTTGCCAATTCTCAACGACATTTCCTTCCATAAACCCCTTCACTCGCTCTATAAACAGCGTTTTCAGTCGATCCCTAAGCTCATCCAAGTCGGACGGTACACGAACATTCGGTGTAAGCCTCGGCGTCAACAAGTGCCCACCGTCAAGTCTTGTTTCCCATAAAGAAACCATTGTCGCAAGCGCTTCACTCCATTGCTGGTAACACAAGGTCCCAGCTCTGAAACCCGTATCATAAACAAAAGAATTCTGGGGTTGATACTTGAATTTCGAGATCAAATTCTCCACATCGGCCTTTCTAGAACTCCGACTATCAGAACAAAGCTCGATAACGAAATTAGGGCGTTTGTGAGGTTTGACACTGTTCGGAGACCGGTCTGGAGGGCGGTCTCGCCGGTAATTCTGCGAAAATTGGGCCTTCCACTCCTGGTACGGCTGACTTACAGACCGGTAATTATTCCTGCCTGTTGTCGACATCTGCGAGCCGGTCATCGGCGCCTCAGGTTTATGCATTGTAGTGATTATACGGACAGATATGTAAAAAAAAAAAAAAAAGGAAAGCCCTAGAAAAAGTCGGACACTGAAGAGTGAGATGAGAGAGAGGAAGAAAGTGTTTAAGACGGTGAGAACAAGAGAGAGAGAGAGAGAAGAGAGCTGAAAAAGATCGGGGAAGAACGAAGGGTCGTGTTGGGGAAGGGTTCGGATTTTGCAATTCTTTTCTGGGTTTTTAATATTTCGAGGTTTTCCGGTAGATTTAATATTTATATAAAATTGGGTCTGGCGCGCTTTTAGAAACATTGGGTTGTTTGGGGCCAAAGTTTTCATCGTAGTGAGAGTGAGGTGTGAATGTGACGTATGTGAGACCCCACAAGCTTTTTTTTAACATGGACCCCACAAGCTCCCGGACCTGTTTTAGTCATTTTTATGAATTAAATTACATTTTTACCTTTTTAACTATGGACTTGATTTTTTTTTTTTGTCGAATTATTAAATTTTTCATGCTGACTCCTTAACTACTTATGTTATTTCACATTATCCCAAATAGAAAGGTCCGCTATTTTTTTAGATGAAAATTACTTACGGTTAAAAAAAAATCACATAGTTTGTAGGTAAAATACTAAAATGAAACATTTTCATTCATTCAAATTTATAAGTGGACTTTAATAATTGCAATAGTGTGAAACTAATCATTAGTGTAATATAAAAAATATAATAATTGATAAAATAATGCAAAAATAATCATAATTGAGGGGCCAAAATATAATTTGTCTCATCTGAATACAATGTTATTGGTCAATAGCGTGTATTCTAAGCAAAGCCTACCAAACCCCTAATGTAAAACTAATACCATATAAACAGATTTAAGCTTAATCTAAGTAAAGTTAGATAGTAAATAAATAATTGATATGACTCTAATTAAACGCGGCGTGAATTTAGTACGATATAAATCTAACTTCGACAATTATGAATGAATCAGAGTGTAACTAAACAAATTCTTCCATGAACCAATATGACGTAGTCTATTGTTAGTCTTAGTTTTAAAACATATTTTTGATGATATTTTCAAAATTATACGATTAATTATGCAGTATCTATTCACAAAAATATTAGGTGGGTATTCTAACAATGGAAATGTGAGGTTTAGAGAAAAACTAAGAAAAAAGTTTAAGGACATGATAGAAAAGAAGACCCAAAGAAAATTGGTACAAGTCAAAAAGTGACGACTGGTGACTGATGAACCTGCCCAGGAAAATGTTCAGAAACAAAACATAAATCTGGAAAGTTCGTGATAAAAGTAAACATATATAACTTTTTTTCATTAATTTTGGCATTAAAGTACAATTTTTTTATAAGGTACTATCATGTGTTTTGGACACTATGCTCCTTCTACTTTTAAATAGAAGTGTTATGGTTATCTACTGATCAAAAAAAAAAAAAAAACTTGAAACAATGATCAAGGAGAGAAATCAATTGAAATTCAAGTATATATATGAGATATTCTTGAATAATAACTTGTAAACGAAAAAAAAAAAAAGAACATAATTTAATCAAATTGCAGCCCATTGTCTAGTTAACGGAAAGAGAAAAAAAAATACCTTTTTTCAACTTGCAATTGCAAAGAACCGACTTGCCTGCAGTTGCAAAGAGTCGTCAAAGATGACTAATGATAGAGTAAATATAAAAGATAGGTGGAATGACAAACCTAGCAAACGAGAGAGAGAGAGAGAGAGAGAGAGAGAGAGAGAGAGACCAACTTACCTGAACAGAAGCAGCAAGTTGAGTGATGTGGGAGAAGTGTTAGTGTAGGTGGCTCATATTTTATATATGGAAAGGTCTATCAAATTTGAAGATAATAAGTTGGTTTATCAGAGCCTGAATGAACGTGCTTTCTATATTTGTCCTAATTAGGGTTTTAACCTATATAAATTAAGTTATAACCTTACTTTTGGTGTGGAATAATAACAAGGGAGCAGCTTTTTCGTAGACGTAAACAAATTGTCAAAGCACGTAAAATTTTATGTTCTTTCTTCTAATTAATTCTATTTTTTTGATTGTTTAGCACACACACAAACCACCACAAGAAGAAACGAAGCAACTACCGAAAAGATGAAGTGATGTAACCTAATAAGGGTAGCACAACAAGGTAATTTAGTAACTTAAATTAGTTATCATGAGTGTTCTCCTGAGTTTTATTTAAACTATATAAATAAGTTAAAGTTGACTTTTTAAATCGGATCGAGATAAATCCGAGTGAAATTTACTATGTTTTTTTAATAACCAAACGTGGGATATATGAGTTCCACATACTTTTTAATCTTATCCTACTAGAATTATCTCCTTTTAACCTGCAATTCAAACATAGTTACATATTAAACAATTGCCATAAATCATATTTTCCTTTAAAAAATATTAAATCATATTCTATTTGGGAGCGGGTGGTGGGTGAGTAACATAAAAGAAAAGAGTGATAATTTTTTTCCTAATTGGAAATTAGCTTTTATGTAAATTCGGAAATAAAACAATACAATAATGTTGTTGATTTAATTTATTAGATTTAATCAATTATTATTGTTAAATTGATAGTAAATCTTATCCAATATCAAGACCCACACCTAATACACCGGCATTCAATGCTCTACCAATTGAGCTGCATACACAAAGAAAAAGATGTAATAGTAAATAACGGGGTGTAAGCAAATTAAGTCGAAATGTCAAAACAAATAGCTGATGAAGCTGCCTAGGAAAATAACACATCTAGAATGAGCAAAAAGTCTCCTCCTGCCGTGGTATCACCGCTATAATAAATATTTTTTCATCCTATTAGGCCCTTTGATGGTTACGTATTATGCAATTATCATAAATTTATACTTTCCTTTAAAAAAATATTAAATCATATTCTATTACACCAATTCATTCTCTTCCCTTTGCTTAGGAGTTGGTGGTGGTTGAATAATAGAAAGGAAAAGAGTGATAATTTTTTTTCTAGTTGGAAATCAGTTTTTACACAACTCAGAAATAAACACTATAATAATGTGGTGTTGATCGAATTTATTGATTCAATCAATTATTATTGTTAGATTGATAATAAATCTTATCCAACATAAGCCGGTAGCTAATACAACTCTACTAAATGAGCTGCACACACAAAGAAAAAGATGTAATTTATAATATAAAATTGGGCGCATTTTAATAAGTCAATCCGACGATCTCAAATATACTCATCAAACAATCACCAACATCTCTCTCAAAACTATTCACATTAAATTTTCCCCTCAAAATTCATTACTTCTCACTTATACTGCATCGTGCCTTCAGACACAAGTTACCCCGTAAATAATGAGTAAATCGGATAAGCATATTTTACTTTGTCCCCATAATTATAAAAATTTCCACGCTGATCCCTTAACTACCTGCATTATTTCACATTATTCCAAATAAAAAAGTCATCTATTTTTTTTGGATGAAAATTGCTAACAGTAACAAAAAAAATCACATAATTTGTGGGTAAAATGAAACAACTTTCATTCAAATTTGTAATGAATATTAATAATTAGGACGAGGTAAAACTAATCACGAGTCTACTATAAAAAATATAAAAATTAAGGAAATAATGTAAAAATAATCATAATTAAAGGGGTCAAAATATAATTTGTCCCATCTGAATACAAGGTTTTGGTCAATAGCGTGTCTTCTAAGCAAGGCTTACCAACCCCCTAATATAAAATTAATACTATATGATTCTAATAAATAGATCTTTAGATCCGTCTAATAATTGATTGATACGAATCTAATTAAACACGACATGAATTCAATACAATTCAGATCTAGTTTAGACAACTATGAATAGATCAAAGTGTAACTAAACAAATTCTGCTATGAACCAATATGGCATAGTCTATTGTCGATCCAAGTATTAAATCATATTTTTTGTGTATATTTTCAAAATTATATGATTAATTATGCAGTATCTATTCAAAAAAATATTAGTTGGGTATTCTAACAATGGATCTGTGAGGTTAAGAGAAAAAGAAAGAAAAAAATTAAAGGACATTATAGAAAAGAAGACCCAACAAAAATTGGCAAAAGTCAAACACTGATGGCTGATGTAGCTTTCCAGGAAAATAAGACACCATGCATGAGCAAGACTGCAAGAGGTCTCATATTGGGCCCTTTGATGGTTATATATTCAGTAAAATTACCATAAATCATAATTTCCTTTAAAAAATATTAAACCATATTCTATTTGGGAGTGGGTTGAGGGTCAATAACAGAAAAGAAAAGAGTGATAATTTTTTTCCTAATTGAAAATTAGCTTTTATGTAAACTCGGCAATAAAACAATACAATAATGTCGTTGATTTAAATAATAAATTATATCCAATATCAAGACTCACAGCTAATACACCGTCATTAAAAGCCCAATGCTTTACCAAATGAGCCACACAAAAAAAACAGATGTAATTATAAATAACAAACATAAGTAAATTAGATCGAAATAGTATTATTCCAAAAAAAAAATTCAGGACATGATAGAAAAGAAGATCCAAAGAAAATTGGCACGAGTCAAACAGTGATGATGACTGATGACCTGGGGCCTTTGATGGTTACATATTAAGCAATTGACCATAAATTATACTTTCCTTTACAAAAATATTAAATCATATTCTATTACATCAATTTAATCTCTTCCTTTTGCTTAGGAGTATGTGGTGGTTGAATAACAGAAAAGAAAAGAGTGAAAATTTTTTCTTCTTGGAAATCAGTTTTTACACGAATTAGATATAATAATGTCGCTGATCGAATTTATTGACTTAATCAATTATTATTGTTAGATTGATAATAAATTATATTTAACATAAGACCGGTAGCTAAAACACCAAATTAAAAAGCCCCCTGCTCTACCCAATGAGCTGCACATACAAAGAAAGAGATTTAATAGTAAATAAGGAGCGAACTGGGTTAGCAAATTAAGTCGAAATAGTATTATTCCACAAAAAAACCCTCTGGATCTTCCAACAAATACGATTAATTAAGCAGAATAGCTAAATTTACAAATGGAATGTTCATCTACACTACAAGAAAGAACCTGCTTGTTATACATTCTCTTTCTTCAACATATGAAAGAATAACTTGCTTCAAAAATTATGTCCCTTCTATAAGATAAGAGTAATAACATCTCACAATCAATGTCCCAAAAAGACTTGCTCATGTCTCTCGGACAATATCAGTATCAGTTGGTTGGTTGTTGCTTACTCTGCCATTCTCACACATGGTGCCATTTACATGGCCACTGGAACCCAAACCATAAATATTCTCCATTTTTGCATGTTTGGTCTCTAAATATCTTCTATTTTCACTAGCTATTGGAGTTAGCAACGACACCCAGCCGGAGATTGTCAGACAATAACCTTTGAGTCCAACGTATTTTGTAGGATTGTTTGTTATCAACTTCATTGTACGTACACCCAAATCTCGTAGAATCTGTAATTAGTTGAATAATATATATTAAACTATCAAATTGTGCATTTTCTTCATCCAAAAAATTCTGATAAGAACATCGAGTGGGGGAAAGAAAGACAACAGGTGATTTTTGTTGGGGGTGTGAGAGTGAGGTGTGGAGGAGCAAAGACACTGTGCCTCTTGTCATCACTACAATAACAAAAATTAATATTACAAGTCTTATCAAAAGTACAAGGGGAAGGAAGGAGAATGGGCATTTTTTTCTTTTTTTTGGGGGGGGTGTGGGGGTGGGGGAGAGAGAGGGGGGTGGAAAGGTACTGAAAAACAAAAAGGACCACCATGTTTCTCCAAAAAATGGAAGATAAGTTGTGTCACTTAGCAGTTGTGTGCAAACTTCTGATATGAAGACTGAAAGGTATCAATTCCCAGGAAAAATTCCAAAATTTAGTTATATGTGGTGAGATATGGCTTCAAAAGAATTTCACTCAAACCAGAGGTCCATCAACCTTTAACACCAACACATCTCAACCCTTTTGCTTACTATAATAGGCAATTAGACCCATGGACCAAAATATCGTTTCGAAATAGTCGAAACATCCGAAGTGTTTTCATTTTCGAGGGGATTGAAACGAATCAGTGATGAAATTAAAATTATAATATTTTAAGGTATTCTATAATGTTTCGAAATATTTTGTAATATTTCAATGCATTTGCATAATTATTTTAAAATATTTCAAGGTATTTCAAAATATTTTGGTATATTTTGACCAATATTTTAAAAAAGTAATTCTTAAATTTTTTATTTTTTTTCATTCTTTTTTCAAAATGGATTAAAACGTTTTCGAAACATGCCGAAATGTTTCCATTTCATGGGTGAGCGATATAATATATAATGTACCGAAACGAAATTTTGATCCTTGATTAGACCCGTTCACTACGATAATTAACCTTTCCTACCCTCTTTCACAGTGCAGCAAAATCTGGGTTCAGCCTCCTGTTGGCATAGGACAAGCATTTTGACTGGCTATGTCTCTGCTTAGGCAAAGTGCTCAAAAGATTCGTGACATAGATGCCGTTGATAAAAGAATGAAAGAAAGAAATGACAAATAAACAAGTTATCTACTGACAAGTAAGGAAGTACTTCCACAGAATATTGATCTACACTTAAAGAAGAGTAAAGATCGTCCATACTAGATTTTGAAACTATCAGAGAAAAATGGAAATTTAGCCCTCAATATACCAGAACAGAGCCAGCTGCATATAATTTTAGAAACTAAGACATTGTTATAAAACTAGTACATACCTGAGCACTAATGCCATACTCCATGGAATCGACAGGTAACCCCAGCTCTTCACTGGCTTCAACAGTGTCGCGTCCATCATCTTGCAGGTTGTAAGCCACGAAACTTGCGACACAAACCAGTTTCTCTTCCCTCGTGTTTACCGAGATACACCAGCACACCCCTGCCAGCTACCTCAATTTGCTGCATTGCAAGTGCCAGCTGATTACCACAGTCACATCTAGCTAACCCAAACATGTCACCGGTGAGGCACTCTGAATATACCCTTACAAGAATGTCTTGGCCATCTCCTATTTCCTCCTGTGCTCAGATCATAGTTCCGACAACATTTCTCAAAAAAGGCAGAAAGAAAAGATCTGACCACTAGAAGAAATGTGAATTGAAATGCGGAAGTGCGTTGCTTGTACTATAAATGTGCAACACTTCCACGATGTTAAGTAAGGGAAGAAGCATCATCTACCATAACTGTATCCCAACTATCTGACGCAAACAACTTAATTCATGTCAACAGACCAAAAGACAATACCATAACCTACAAACTGGCTCAGAGGACCCTAATAGCGTCAACGTCATGCATCAAGTTTGGTATCAAAGCTTGTAGAAGAGCAGTCCCCACTTGCTTGACATCAAGCGCATCTCACTGTTGACCTATCAAGAAAAGAGTTACAGATCAACTGAAATTTTTTTGTTTTCTATTTTCTGCGTGCAGGGTAAAATGAGTTCGGAAATATTAAAACAACTCGCACGTTATTGGCAGGTCTAAATGCCCTCCAATAAGTACTTCTTGGAAGAATTTACTTGGACTCAAAGCTTTCAATGTACATACTACATGGATGGAACCAATTTTAAAGAGGTGACAACAAAACATGAAATATATTGTTTTCAAATTTAAGCTTCTCTTGCCTCCTTGTACAATGTATTATTATTCTCTACAATGTAGAACTTGGTGTTATTTTAATCACCATCCAACCCGAATGACTTGGGTCAATAGACAAAATACAGATTCTTTCTGTCTTCATTACCATCTGCAAGATCCTTTCCAGTTAGTTTAAATTTTGGAATAAAACTGTCTCACTACACATAAATCACCAAAGGAATGACCAACCTTGCCTTGCCGAATGTCTTCAGGTGATTCTGGCTGTCTAATCGAGAGCAAAATTGATGGGTAGTAATTTGCTATGACCAATTCACGAAACACAAACCACTTTAATATCTACCGAAAAAATAAAAGAAAAGGAGAAATTATACCAAAGTTTGATATCATTAAATACAGTGCATAAGCCTTAGGAATTCAAATCATGTAAAATTATCTACATACATTCTAAAAAAAATACAAAAAACAAACCCTCCCTCCCTCAACTACACCTATACTCCATTCCTCTGCAACACATATATCTGAGGAATTTAGTGGACTTAGGAATTTGGTGAACATGTAATAAAAAACAACAATCAATAATGAAAATGATCTGCATACATTCTAAAAAAATAGAAAAAACAAACCCTACATCCCTCTCTCCCCCAACTACACCTACACTCTCCTCAATTGTCAGCAAATTTTTGAATTCCTGCCAACACATCCGCAGGAACTTTTGCAGTCATGTGAATTTACCCAGCCCAGCCATATCGGTGCACATAGATCATGACATGCATCTCCTCTAAATTTGACACATACTTAATCCTCTTCTTCATTTTCTTGACATCCTGAATTTCACACAGGTTTTCCCAACCCAACCATTCCCATACACAGAGAACATAGCATGCATGTCCTCCAAATTTAACACAAACACAGATCATACCCAAGCAAGTTTTTTTAATAAGTAACACAATTTTATTTATTAAAAATCAAAAACATCACAATGAAACTCAAAACACCGTCCAAATAGAAAGGAATCCATCTACATTTGTCTTTTTGGACTATTGAGACCTCATGACTAATCAATGTAAAGGTTGTGACATTTGTTGTCATGACTTATTTGTGCTTCAACAGACTTATTTTCCTATAAAGCTTCGTTTGAAGCTAATATTGCTTTATTTTTTGTTGTTTACATGCAATTACCTTGCGTTTGAAGAGAAATTAGATTGATCTAAAGATAGAGAAATATGAGATATTGGAGAATACCAAAGTTAGTTTTATACAACCTACGTAATCTCCTTTATCCAAACACTAATGAAAAGGGTGAGGGCATTATTGGATGCTGGAATTCATTTGATATTGATTATAAATATTTGATTTTGTCAATCAAATACAAGCAGTGCATGAACAGCTTGAAGTTTCTCGTGATGTTGTAGAATTTTGTATTGGAAATAACATATTATCACTCAATATGTCCAACAAGCAAGAGTGCCTGTTTCAAGGGCAGAGAAAGTATCCAGGTGAAATAATTTTTTTGTTTTATGACCCACCTATGTTATGCATCTTCATATTGTATGAACCTGTGCGGGCATGATCCTGCACGATATATAAAATATTGGGAACAGATCTCTCCCCTGGTGAACTTTGAGTGAGCCGGTTGAGTGGCCAAACACGCTGCTTGAAACAGCCTACAAGGTACGGTGGCAACCTGGAACGGCAAAGGAAGATCCTGGGAAAGGAAGAACGATCCTGTACGTGTGAAAGGTATTTCCTGGAACAAAGGAGAACAAGTTAGAAGGGCGCCGGAGTGTTTTTCGGCGTATCCCCTCCGACGGTCTAGTCAGTCTTTGAATGAGAGAGAGGAAGGAGAAAACACTGAGAAGGATCTTTTGTAGTAGAGAGTTTTTGATTGCATACCCGCTTTGCCTTTTGGGAGGAGTATTTATACCTTAGAAGCTCATGATTGCTGTCAGTGTGGTCAGTAGGTGATCATCAGGCACAGGTAGCGTGTGTATTGATTTGATGAGGAATGTCTTCTCTAATTGACTGCTCGGGGTCCCGAGTAATCAATGCTGAGTCGTCGGGACGCCGACGGTACAATATGCTCCTTTCGGGAAGGATGCAATAAATGCTCTGTAATAGGAGCATTTATTGCCTTTCATATCCGAACCTTACCGCATTGAATGCGGTCTCGTCAACAGAAGGGTGCAATTAATTGTTTGCTTTCCCAAGTCGCGTGTCAGCAACGGCATGCGGTTTGTCTGCTTCTGATGTGACATTATTTGCCGCGCGTCCATCCCTTATTGGCTGTGACGTCGGTATTCCAGCACGTTCTGACATTACTTGTGTAAGACGAGGTCATGATGAATAGTCTAGACTGGCATAGGCTGATGTCCCGTACGTCAGTAGCTTTATCCGGGAGTAGAGGAAGCCTCCAGGATGGAGTGACCCTCGGCACCGAGGAAAGGCTCGCCTCGGGGACCGAGGGTGGTGTGTTCCCGAGCTACACGGCGACCGAGGACACGTTGTATAATGCACCGAATGTGTGATCCTATATGAGAGGTACCTCGGGGGATATGACACTTTTGCCGATGGTGCTTAAACCCGAGCAACACTGTTCTAGAAACCCAGAGGACACGTGTCTTCATCATAGGACTTTTCAGAAGAGTCCCATCAGAACCCACCATATGCATCTTCGTCTTCATTATACTATTGTAGTGTTACGTTCAGTTGATATCTAAGAGCCTCACCACACAATTAGGACACAAAATTAGAGGGAGAAAAAAGAAATACTAGGAGAAGAATAAATGGCGACAATAAATACGGCAGTCCACCTCCAAATGTAAAGTGGGACACAAAATTAGAGGGAGAAAAAAGAAACATCAGGAGAACAATAAATAGCGACAATAAATATGACACTCCACCTCCTAATATAAAAACTCATCGAGATTAATTTAAAATGATTTTCTCACCTTTTGTATAGGCTTGTAATTAGTTTTTTTTTTTTTTGTTATTTTCTATTTTTTACGTTATGCTCATTGATTTTGGCATTCTATCTTTATTGAATTTTCAATATCAAACATGTTGTAATTAAACATAAACATAAATATGCATATCATATTTATTGATTGCAAGGAAAAAACTAAAGCTTGTTAAGGCATCGAGTGCCCACCCAATAACAATTTTTTGGCTTTACCCATGACAAGCTAAGTTGAGGCCACTCATACGGGTCATTTTTCAAAAACCGAACAGAATGTGTCATTGGTCTTTGCCATTATGTCATTATGTTATATATATCTGTGTGAGTTAGAACGGATAGGAATTGGGCCTCGTTTGCAGCCATTCAAAGTTCAAATCCGTGTGGTGGGAAGTAAAACTACCACATCAGCCAAGAATAATCCAGATAATCTTCAGAAAGTGATAGCCCGAGGCCCATCACATACTTCAAAAGCTTAACCACTAAGGCAGGTCAAATATTACTCTTATACATAGGAAATACTTGGGATCGGATCCTCAATGGGTGTCGAGATCTTTAGATTAATGGATCTTATTAAAAAAATTTAACAGGATCTATTAATCCAGAGGTCCATTCTAATTTAAAATTTATAGCATTACTCTTATAATAATTCTATCAAAATTGAATTATTATTACTTATTCTCTTAAAATTTAGATATCATGATTTTGAAATTTAATAACCGAATTTATCTTAAAAACATGAATTCCTTATCTTCAATATGTACAATTTGCTTTTGATCTGATGAAAAAAAAAGATTAATTGAATTACGTGTAAAATGATTCAGACATCCCAACTCAATTCAATGCCAAGACACCCTCAAGAGATTGTGACGGCTCACCTTTAAAATTGTCAAATTAGCAAAGAATAACTTTAGGTTTTTTGGGTTTGACTTTTGAAATCTAACATTTTCTCTAATTCTTTCCAATCTAATATATCATCATGGGTTTGTACTTTATAGAATATCCATGTAACTCGCGAGCCACTCAATTTTAGCTCGGTCTGAGCTAGCTTATATTATAAAATGAGCAAAATATAAATAAATTATTAGACTCATTTAGTATTCGAGCCGAGCTAAACTCGAGCTATTCGCAAGCCGACTCGTTTTTTCTATTTGTATATAATGTACGTGTAAATTATTATAGATCTTAAGGTTAATTCAGTAAAATTAGCAAAAATGTTTAGTTTGTATGTTATACATATAAATTTATAATATACATATAAGTTTAAAGTTTATATATTTTTGTTGTGATTTAGAAGTATTTGATGCTCAGATTTGTGTTTAAATTTAGATTTATGTGCATTTTTGTGAGTTTTTTTAATTAGGAATTTGAAATTTATGGATTTAAAATTATTATTTTTTGAATGACTTGTTTTTCGCTTGAGTTTGGCTCAAATTCGATATGAACCACACAGTTAAACAATATTTTGAGCCAAACTTAAGCAATCATTGAATAAAATGAGCCGAGCCGAGCCGGGCATACCCAAAATATTCATTCCATCTTTATTTTAGTGGACCTGTGGCCCTTGCCAAACTAAACCCAAATTTCTTCTTAACAAGGTCCAAAACAAAATAGAAATGTGGGCCACTTATCCAGTAACAATTAGAGTATTAATCCAGTTGTATTATGTTAATATTTATTAAGTCGTGTTATTATGAATTGTGTCAATTTTGTATCTTATTATTTAAAATATTATTTTCTTTGTATTGTTTGTTTTCAGTCGTATTATATTCGTATAGTAATTAAAAAAATTATTTAATTTTAAAATAAGTTATATAAAACTTATTTTTTTCTACTAAAACAAGTTAATTATTTTTAACATTAATCAGATCCATTTTATTACTATTCTGTGTTAATTGATAAACCTGACCTCAGAAACAACTTTGAAGGTATAGTTTCTGACCAATTTACATTGCAACTCGCATAAGCAACTAATTCACAGCAAAAAAAAAAAAAACCTTGTCTGATATCTTCTTCTACAATTTATCTTTTTGATGTTCTTTGGGTCAATTGAGATGCAATTCTAGACTGCACAAACAGACCAAATGGGAAAATGAAAAATGGCAAGCTACCCACATTCAGAACCTCCATTTTCTCATCAACCCATCATTCAAAACCCTCGGTGCCACACAATCCTACTTCCCCGCCAGCAGCAACTAGTTACCTTTTGCACCCACCCAATGCCTATTGTCTCTCCTCAGCTTTGCAACACTATATCAACTCAGACAACCCTTGCCATGGACAGAAGATCCATTCACACATTCTCAAAACTGGGTTTAGCCCCAATACCAACATCTCCATCAAACTCCTCATTCTGTATGTTAAATCTTCTTGCTTGTCATATGCACGCCAGTTGTTCGATAAGTTGTCTCAACCAACTCTTTCTGCTTATAATTACATGATTTCTGGATATATTAAACATGGATTTGTTGGAGAATCGTTTGATTTGGTCCATAGACTGGTTTTATCCAATGAAAAGCCTGATGGCTATACGTTTTCCATGATTTTGAAAGCATCTACTGGTGATAATGTGTCGTTAATTCGTATAGGGAGGGAGGTTCATGCGCAGATAGTGAAATTTGATGTGGAGACTGATGATATCCTTTACACGGCGCTGGTTGACTCGTATGTTAAGGGTGGCAGGGTTGGTTATGCAAGGAGAGTGTTTGAGATGATGTTGGAAAAGAATGTTGTTTGTTCTACATCAATGATCACTGGATACCTGAAACAAGGCAGTGTTGAAGATGCTGAGGATGTATTCAAGAAAACGGTTGAAAAAGATGTGGTGGTTTTTAATGCTATGATTGAAGGTTATAGCAAATCAATTGACACTGCTAAGAGGGCGCTTGAGGTTTATATTGACATGCAACGTTTGGATTTTAGTCCTACGATATCAACTTTTGCGAGTATCATTGGGGCTTGTTCTGTATTGTCGGCATTTGAAATCGGTCAGCAAGTTCAAGGACAACTTATGAAGACTGAATTTTTTACTGACATAAAAATGGGAAGCGCTCTATTAGATATGTACTCGAAATGTGGGAGAACTGAGGATGCAAGAAGAGTTTTTGACCACATGCCTGAAAAGAATGTGTTTTCGTGGACTTCCATGATTGATGGTTATGGAAAGAATGGAAATCCCAATGAAGCACTCGAGCTGTTCAGCAGAATGCAAGGATATCATCCCATTGAGCCCAATTATGTAACATTCCTTAGTGCTCTCTCGGCTTGTGCACATGCGGGCCTAATTGCTAGAGGGAGAGAGATCTTTGAGAGCATGCAGAGAGATTACTCAGTAAAACCAAGGATGGAGCATTATGCTTGCATGACTGATCTCTTGGGCCGTTCAGGAGGTTTAAATGAGGCACTGGAGTTCATAATGGAAATGCCCGAAAGACCTAATTCTGATGTTTGGGCGGCTCTGCTAAGTTCTTGTAGAATTCATGGTGATGTAGAGATTGCAAATATAGCAGCCAATGAACTTTTCAAATTAAGTAGTGATAGCAGGCCAGGCGCATATGTTGCGCTATCCAATACTTTAGCGGAGGCTGGGAGATGGGACAATGTAAGTGAAATCAGGGAGTTAATGAAGGGAAGAGGGATATCTAAAGATACTGGCTTCAGTTGGATCGGGACCGATGATGGTTTAGAAGCTTTCCATTTTGGACAAAGATCTAATTAATTTATGTTCGAGATCAGGGGGGTAAAATCCATCCTAATTTGTTGTACAATTCATTTCTAAGAATTGGTTGCAAAGGCATCTTATTTAATTTATTTCTTGGCTTATTCACTTCATCTTGCTTGGGTTATCTGTTGAAGTCTAATGATCTACAACAGCATTAGGGTCACATGAAATGGAGGGGTACATGAGGGTCCCCATTATGTGATCAACCATCATCTATCAAATGGAGGGCCAGCTCTAGAGGTTTGTAAAGATGGTCAATCTCGTTACTAGAAATGCAACCCGGGTGAGTTGAGACGTCAATCTGCACTCGCACACGTTATAATAATCATAACCTCTGAATTTAGTATGAACCATTCAATCTGAGTACTGCTAATGCTTAAAACTTTGAACTTGGTTTGAACAACCTGGGTTGAAAATTGAGTTCGATTTTGCAATTGAAATCTAGGTTCACTTCGAGTTTGATAATAGGGTTATGCAACTCGGGTAGCCATTCAAGTTGAATTCATCAATTCATGTCAAACCCGAATGTACTAGTTTAGGTGAGTGTAATACGTCTCAAAAATCTGAATCTTAACTCAAGTACTCTCCGAATTTAAATTGGGTTGAGATTTTTTTTTTGCAAAAACTCAACCTAAATACTAAAAATCTTTGCCCAAGTATTGAACATTCCGGGTTACATACGGGTTGATCTTTTCAAGTTGCAACCCTAGTAGAGAAATGGGTCTTTATGAAATATAAAATAAGAAAAATTAGTTTGCTCAGTGTCAGTCAGTACAAGCAGCCTGCATCCATCTGTATGTCAAAATAATCTTTGGTATCATGAAAATCCTCTTAGTTAATTTGTGCAACTGTTTTTTTTTTAATTGCCGAGGACGAGTTCTGAACACTTGACATAGACAAAAAAGAGGGATAATTTTTTCCTAGTTGAAAAGTAGCTTTTACACAAACTCAAAAATAAAACAATACAATAACGTCGTTGATTAGATTTATTAGACTCAATCAATTATTGTTGTTAGATTGATAATAAATCCTATCCAATATCAAAACTCACAGCTAATACACCGGTATTAAAAGCCCAATGCTCTACCAAATGAGCAACACACAAAGAAAAAGATGTAATGGTAAATAAGGAGCAGATTGGCTAAGCAAATTAGGTCGCCGTAGTATTATTTGAAAAAAAAAATAACCATGCAACATGAAAATGCTGATTCTCAGTATCTTACACCTTTTTTACCCTGCTGGATCTTCCAACATCTAGATGAGCTGAATTTACAAACAGAAGGTTCATCTACACTTTAAGAAAGAAACTGCTTGTTATACATTCTCTTTCTTCAACATATGAAAGAATAACTTGCTTCAGAAATTATGTCCCTTCTACAAGATAATAAGAGTAATAACACTTCACAATCAATGTCCCAGAAAGACCTGTTCATGTCTCTCAGACAATATCAGTTGGTTGGTTGTTGCTTGCTCTGCCATTCTCACTCATCATAACATTTAGATGGCCATTGGGATTGGAACTCAAATCATATGCATGCCCCATTTTTGCATGTTTGGTCTCTAAATATCTTCGATTTTCCTTAGTTATTGGAGTTACCAGTGGCACCCTGCCGGAGATTGCCAGAGCATAACCTTTGAGCCCGATGTATTTTGCAGGGTTGTTGGTCATCAGCTTCATTGTACACACGCCCAGATCTCGTAGTATCTGCAATTAGTTTAATCATACGTATTCAACTATCAAATTGTACATTTTTCATTCAAGAATTATAGTAAAAAATATCAAGTTGGGGAACGAAGACAACATTAAAGGGGATTTTTATTTATTTAATTTTTTTATTTTTTTGGGGGCGGCGTGGGGTTGGGGGGAGGAACAAAGACACTATGTTGCTTGCCATCACTACAAAAACAAAAATTAAAATCACCGGTCTTATTCAAAAGTACAACGGGAAGGAATGAGAAGGGGTAATGGGGGGTTTTTTTTTTTTCGGAAACAAATGTACTGAAAAAAAAAAAAGGAACACCATTTTTCTCCAAAAAAACAAGGATAAGTTGTTTCACTTTGCAGTTGTATGCATAACTTCTAGTACAATTACTAAAAGGTATCAACTCCCAGGAAAGATTCCAAAATTTTCAGTTATATGCAGTGAGATATGACTTCAAAAGAATTTCACTCAAACCATAGATCCATCAATCTTTCACACCAACACAGATCAACTCTTTTGCTTATTATAACAGGCAATTAGACCCATTCACTAGGATAATCAACCTTTCCTACCCTCTCTAGCTAACACTCTTTCACAATGTAGCAAAATCTGGGTTCAGTTTCCTGTTGGCATAGGACAAGCATTTTGACTGGCTCAGAAGATTAGTGACAGAAATGCTGTTAATAAAAGATTGAAAGAAAGAAATGACAAATAAACAAGTATATACACGACAAATGTGGAAGTACTTCCAATTCAAGATAAAGAGAGAGAAAAGTGATCTATACTTGAGGAAGCGCAAGATGTTCCATACTAGATTGTTTCAGTGAAGACAAAAATTTAGTGAGTTAAGGCAGTCGAGGAAATATACCATCATATAACTCAATGGAAATTTAGCCCTCAATAAACTAGAACATAGGCAACTGTAATGAATATGGAGAGTCCTTGGACGAATCAAGTTGAGCTATGTTCCATATCTACCATGAATCATATACTAGAAGCCAACATTGATAAAATGCAATGAGCCAATGCATACTGTCAAACTGCTAGTTTTAGAAACAAGAAAATTGTTATATAGTACCTGTGCACCAATGCCATACTCTCGGGAATCAACAGGTAATCCCAGCTCCTCATTGGCTTCAACTGTGTCACGTCCATCATCTTGCAGGTTGTAAGCACGAAGCTTGTGACCCAAACCAATTCCCCTTCCCTCGTGTCCACGGAGATATACCAACACACCCCTGCCAGCGGCCTCAATTTGCTGCATTGCAAGTGCCAGCTGATTACCACAGTCACATCTAGCTGACCCAAATATGTCACCAGTGAGGCACTCCGAATGTACCCTTACAAGAATATCTTGGCCATCTCCTATTTCCCCCTGCTCAGATCATAGTTCCAACATGATTACTCGAAAAAGGCAGAAAGAAAAGATTTGACTATTTGAAGGAATGTTAATTGAAATATGAAGTGCATTGCTAATAATCTGGACAAACCTTGGTATCTAGTGCTAGTAACTAGAATACAGAATGCATATTCTAGAAAATGAACAGACATGAAGATCTGGTAATGGAAAATAGGCAATATTTCTACCCAACACACTAAAGCAGAAATTTCTACAGGCAGATTAAAGAAATGCAAAGGCCGAGCGCCCTTAATGTTGAGTGATCCTATTATATCACATACTTTGACCATAGCAATATGCTCCATCCCATCCAATACAGATTTATAGCAGTATGCATTGAAAGGACCCCACATTGTTGGTATTGGTGCAGCAGAAGCTTTCTCTACTAGTTTATCTCTTTTCCTTCTATACCTGCCAATGAAATGTGAATACATTAGCACATATTTCTATCATCAATTTGGAAACACAAAAAGAATTCAGAAGGCAACTCCCCCATTAGGACAAATGCAAAAACCATATAACATTTAACTTAGAAGTTTATATATTAATCTAGAAGTTTATATATTTTTCCTTTGAAGGGGGAATACTTGAGCACCCAAATAGTTTTGGGTGACAAACAGAACTGAATTTGCACTCATTGTTTACACGAGTTTGAGATCAGATATCAGCATGAATAAGCTCTAAAGCTGAGATATATCTATCCCTTTTTCAATGGTTTATTGGGAAATGGAATACACTCTACCAAATGACACTGGAAAAGGGAAAAAGGAAAGAATAATTCTTAAAGCATCATATGTGCAAAGGCACACAATTGAAGCATCTGCACAGAATCAAGCTGCTTTTTTTTTTTGTCAAGTAATTTAGATAGTTAAATTCAAACTCGTGCCATACCATCCTAAATTTGTAATTGCGATGGAGATAATTGCACAAGCAGTGGATATGTTTTTTGACTGAGTCAAATGTTTTCTTACATATGTTTCATATTAATATAACTAACCCCGGTTATGTCCTATTTTCATATTTTTCTTGGGTATACCACTTTTTTGTGTGCTTAGTTGTACATGTTTTACTTTGCTAACAGTTTATTAATTATAATTCCTGGCTCTTAATAGAAAAACTTGAGATTGGAACAAAACCAATCATTGCCCACAACCCCTTGAATTTCAGACCTTAATCCTGAGACTCTTATACTTAGGCGGAGCTACATATAACTAAATGGGGTCAGCTGTTCCTTATACTCTAGTTGAAATAGTTAGCGCTCCATACAATCCAACCACGCAATGCAAATATGAGTTTCATATAAAACATCTACCTGATCAAATCAGCAATAGAGATTATCTTCAAGTTCTCCGCCTGTGCAAATTGACGGAGCTTTGGTAATCTAGCCATGGAACCATCATCATCCACAATCTCGCATAGAACTGCAACAGGGTCAAAGCCGGCCAATACAGCAAGATCTACAGAAGCTTCCGTATGTCCAGCTCTTTTTAAGACTCCTCCTTCCCTGTACTTCAGAGGAAAAATATGACCTGGGCGGTTAAAATCCCCTGGTTTTGAATCTCTAGATGCAAGAGCCAATATTGTCTGTGCCCTGTCACGAGCTGAGACCCCTGTTGTTGTACCATACTTTGCATCCTATGAAATGCAGTATGCAATTGCAGTTAGGAGAGTAAATATGACTCAAGGAAATCATGCACTGATTAGAAAAATTATTCGTGGAAAGCACGCAATTTGTCGATGTAACATCAAAATCTCATTGACTAAACATAGAAACTCGGATAATTACAAAAGGAAACTAAAAAGGGAACAAGAAATCATTAAACTTTCTCACATAGCATGCCGAAAGGAAATTCGAATAGTCAACACCAACTTTCATTTTCCTCAAAGGCTTGCATTGTATATTTTATTAAACACAAGACTCTGATATCTTTTAATGATGCTCATGTGCATATAATATACCCACGAGATATGGGATCACAATTTGATCACCTACTATATTGTGGCCACCTGACACCCAATTGACTCCAGAGTGCAAAATTTATTCATGAGTCTCGTCTCGTGTGAATATTCAACAAGAGTGTAGATTGTGCCAAATTTGCCACAGCAGTTTCAAACCTTTAAAGACGGCAATCAGATGTGATCAACCTTTGTTCATCAAATCTTCAGTAAGCCTGACCAATTTTCTCCTCAAACTCAACTTAAAACCTTATAGCTTTTAAATCAGAACATAAAGCCAACACACAGAATAGCCCTTAACTCATCAAATTTTAATATCGATACCCTACAAGCTGGCTCAGAGGACATACTGGGTGTCATACATCAAGTTTGACATCCAAGCTTGTAGAAGAGTGGCCACATACTTGTCCTACATCAAAGGCATCCCACAATTGACTTATCAAGAAAAAGTTCTAGAACAACTAAATTTAGTTTGTGTTATTTTCTGTGCGTAGGGGAAAGTAGGTTAGGAAAGATTGACACAACCTAGCTATAAGTATATCTACATAGCTCTTTTTTTACCGTTGAACTAATTTTAAAGAGGTGACAGATCATGAAATAGATTGTTTTTCCGAGGTAACCTTTTCTTCCTCCGTATATTGGTCGAAAGATATAATACAACACATTATTCTGCATTAGTAGTACCCTGGTGTTATTTTAATCACCATTCAAGCTGAATGACTATGGTCACTAGACCAACTACAGATTCTTAAAATTAGATGTATGAATATGCTCCGAGCAAAAGGAGGACTGACCCAGTGCCTTTCCAACCTTGCCCCTATATACAAGGTTCGAGTCTCGCCAGCCCCCTCCCCTGTATATATTGTGACCAAAAACAAAACATGATCCCAAAAATCCTTCAATCCCAAAAATGATTGTTCGAATGTATCAAAAAAAGTTAGGAAAGTAAGAACTAGATAGGTTTTTATGGTGGAACAAATCCATCTCATTTCTCCCTTGAATCAATGTACTCAACAAAGAAGATGAAAGAAAAGAGAGAAAAAAGCTGCAACTGCTATGTACTCAACATTAGCAAGGGGTGACCTTTTTTTTTTGGGATGGGGTAAGGTATGCACTTCACAGATGCATTCTACTCATGTAGGTCTGCACAAATTTTGTGCTGAAAAGATCTGTTTCATGTTAGATGGCACGAGAAACTTTTTGTTATTTTTGGATGCAAGTCTCTCAAATGAGAAAATAATAGCTTCTGAATTTTGTAAGACCAGTAATTCACATACCACTGAGACTGTGAACGCCGTACAAAGTTTCTCCTCATTCTCCTTCTGCAATACCATCAATGGAAGTTGCAATCTCTCTAAGTCTTCTCCTCTCATGCTCACGCACACTATTCCAGTTCCATACCTTACAATAAAGGCCATATCTTCCGGGGTCACCAATGATGCTGCCATTATTAAATCCCCCTCATTTTCTCTGTCTTCATCATCTACAACAATTACCATCTGCAATATCCTCCCAAATTAGTTTCAATTTTGTAACAAAGCTTTCTCACTGCACATAAATCACCAACAAAATGACCAACCTTGCCTTGGCGAATGTCTCCAATGGCCTCCATGATGGAAGAGAACCCTTCCGTAGGATGATCCAAGTCAAATTCATCGTCAGAGTTAGAAAAGCCAGTAGGTGGAGTTATTTCTGCTGCATGTGTTCCAAAAGCTATTGCATCAGGTTGTCTCTCAATCCCAGTCAGTGGGTCTGCCCGTTCATTAATAAAGAATCTTTGTCCTGCATTTATATTGGGTCTAGGATCACCCTCTCCAAATACCAGTGCAGCTCTAGCTCTACCATCACACTTGAAACTAAAGCACAATTTTCTAGTGAGACCAATTGAGATCAAACCTGATGTGTAGCAATTTGCTTTGACCGGATTCACAGAGCGCAGACCACTGTGATATCTAACAAAAAAGAAGAAGAAAAAATTATACCAACATATTATGGAAAATGGAAAGGGAATTTCGGCATCACATAAAGTAGGTATATATTATGAATTCGGTCATGTCCACATTGCATTCAATGCTTATAGATCAACAGTATCACGTACTAATGAGCTCTATGTTATTGAGCCTGTTTGACCTAAAACAAGAAACTGTGATCAACTCAACTACACTTTCATAATATTACAGGCAACCAGGACATGATAACATGCCCACCAACCATTACTGTGTTGCATAGGTGGAGTTTCCTCTGTCTCTCACATGCCCAGCCAAATAGAAAAGAAGGGCATTTCACAATGTGTCCTTTAGATCATCCATGTCAAAGATCCTCTACTTGGCGAGAAAATATTCAATATAATGATGACACCACAACGTCACCGCCACATGGTGTCACCATCCAATGAGATAGCAACAACGAAGCAAACTAAGCTAGTGGATCCCACACAATTCCATTTAATTGTTTTCTATTGAATGTGACATTGATAATATGGTACCACCTGTGCATTGAATATTTAGTCATTGCAACACTTGGCTAGTATGCAATTTTAACCCTTGCCACTTCTAAGAGGACTTCTTAAATGAAGCATATTAAGGTGAATGAATCATATTCAACAGTTCTCTCCCTCTAATCTCAAACCAAAACTACCATTTTTACGCAATGTGATATGGGTGTGCCCTGCTACAAATTACACCTGAATTCTTCCCTAGATCCATAAGAAATATGAAAAGAAGGGGGAGCACAAATAACTATAAAGGATTACAAACTCAAAAGCATAGAACACTCTGAAAAACAAAAGTTCAGGTAAGTTTTCCCCAAACCCAAAACTCCAAAGAGAACAACGCATCCAACCGAATTGCACAGGATGACTCCCAATTCCATCTCCAAAAGGGCAGCATATATCTGTATATGGTATATAGAGAGAGACAGATACATATATATAAATAAAGAGAGATAGAGGGTTCGATGAAGACTTACCGCAAACGGGCAAGAGTCAGTGAAGGGTAATACAGGTGTGTCGAAGCCATTCGTGGAGGCTACGTTTTTCTGAACCTTCAGGGTAGGAATTGAACTGATTCGAGAAATACAGCGAAAAGGCATAAAAATGGGAATGGTGTTTGGATAAAGCGGAAATAGGACAAAATGAAATGAGGTAGGTAGATAAACCAGTTAAACCCTCTCCACCACCGCCAAACGTTGGTGGGATCGAAGAGACATGAACAGAGAGTTGGATCCTCTGCACTACGTCTACGTGTGCGAATTTTCTTTGACACCACCAAAAGGGTTACGAGGACTAATATTACGTTGGGATTACGAGGATTAATACTATGTTGATCAAATTTTAAGATTAAATTTAGAGTTTAAATAGTATGGTAGTTGACTTGGGTTTCTTTATTTGATGTTATGTCATTTGAACTCCAATAAATACTCTAAATAATATACTGTCAAATCATTTAGATTCTAAATTTGATCTCAAAATTTAATCAATATAGTATTACGGATAATTTAATGCTATCCAAACTTTTAAAAAAAATTGATTTATGTGATTAGTGGTGACGTAGTTCAATAATATTTTATTCAAACTTTATTAGATATTATTCAACAAATAAGATAATTTTTTAGATTATTACTTATAATTAAATACTATTTAGCCAAATATACTTAAATGAAATTTATTAGCAGTACCTCGTATGATATACGATATTTTTAATCTTTTTTATCACAATTCTACCATCTCTATCACTATCATTAATCCCACCACTCACCCCTTATTATCACACCATTTTAACCGCAACCCTATTATTTTTTGAAAATTATCTATTATTGTGCTAAATTAAGAAGAATAAAATAGGGTAATTTGATGGGAATAGTTACATAAGTTAGATGAAATGATTTATTTTAATGAGATCAATGCATTGTTAACCGTTGAGAAATTTTAGAAATTATCGCTATAATTAAAATTTAAGTTATTCAAGAAAAAAAAATCAAATTTGATAATTTTAAAAAAAAAATTCAAAAAAATTAAGATGGAGTTTTGGAACTCATTCAAGCCAACTACGTTACTATATACTATGTATAGATAGGTAGATAGATTATTATTAATAGTGATACTTTGTTCTATGTCTAAATGAAGTATCCATTTTACCCGATTTTTTTACTCAACTTAAAAATGTTTTTCTCTGTATCTTTTTCCACTCATCTCTCTCTCTCTCTCCCCATGTCCATGTGCCCATCTCCCTCTCCTCCCACCACCACCAGGTCCACCACCTTATCTCACTGTTTCGCAAGGTGGTCTTGTACAAGACCCTGATATTTGATTTTGAGATCTAAGTACACTACTCTTAGTTAAAAAAAAAAAGAGTACGCTACTCTTTGGTTCCAACCTTTTATAAAGTACTTTTGGGAAAATAAAATATTTAATAAGTCTCCTGTCTGTTAGAAAAAACAGATGCTGAATGCTATAAACAAAGTAAATTATACTTCGACGCACGCAAAATTACTTTCTTTTAAGTGATAGTAAGGGTCGGTTTCACCTCAGGACAATTGAGGTGGTGGCAGGGCCGGCTCAACATAAATTGAGGTCTAAAACGGTAATATTAAATAAGATTTTTTTATTTTTAATATTATTTTTTAAAAAAAAATTTAATTATTTTAAATGAGAGAGGAGGATGTAATACTTTGTTTTTGTTTTTTAAGAGAGAGAGATAGATGGGATGAGTAAATATGAGTTGATTTTTGAAATTTTTTTATTTATCTTTTAAATTTTTGATTTTTTGAGTCTCTAATATTATGGATTGAATTGTAGGCCTAAATTATTGAAATTATAATTTTTTGATTGAATTTAAATTTTTTGGGCCTTTTTATATGACCTAAAATTTTCATGGATTTAAAATTTTTATATGGACTCATTATATACCTATAATTATGGGACCTTCTAAAAATTTAGAATTTAAAACCCATGCTCTTTTTTTTAAATACTATTGGGCGAGCCCTGGGTGGTGGCCTAGGGACTCTTCTTGGTCTCATTCTTGTACATCTCTTAAAATCATATGATTAAATTTTAAAAAATATATATATAAAAAATTCAGGATGTCATATTAAAAAAAAAAATTCACCACACTCTTTATAGTTTATCATATCTTTAGAGACATCATCTCTATTATTAAAAAAGATTATTACACCATTTTTAGTTTATATTTAATTGACATCCCTTATCATTAAACCATCATTTATATAAAAAAAATATATTTAAAATATCAAAATTGCCCCTACATACACCTCAAACAATATTTATATATAAAATTTGGTTAAAATTTATTTTTTTTACATATGAAAATTCAAACTGCTTAAAATTCGCTATACTGCATATTAAAATTTGAGGGGATTAAAATTCGATTCAACCTGATTAAAATTTTTTTTTTTACGCATTAACATTTGAGCCTATTAATTTTTTTTTACTTATTAAAATTCAAGTCGATTTGAGCTTAACCTAAGCTATTAGCACATATTAAAATTTAGTTCGAATCGATTAGAATTTATATTTTTTTACTTATTCAAATTTGTGCTAATTAAAATTCAATTCAAATTAATGAAATTTTATTTTTTACTTATTAAAATTTGAGTCGCTTACAATTTTTTTTTTTACCTATCAAAATTCTGGTTGATTAAAATTCAAGGAGAGTTAATTAAAATTTGATTCCAACCGATTAAAAACAAATTTTAGTCGCCTTGAATTTTAATACATAAAAAAATCATAAAACTTTAAAATTGCATTCTAGTTAAGACCTTTAATTTTATAGGGAGTGTTAATGAAGATTTAGAAACTAAAAAAGATGTCGTTGAAGATATGATGATAAATTAATAGGGATGTAACTGAAAGTTTTCATTATTGAATGATCTAAAATTTAAAAAAGATTTTTCTTTAAATCATAAATATATGCACATTGAAAATGAAAGGAAAAAAAATGGCACCATGTTGTTGTAAAAAAAAAAAGACTTTTACTTTCTCATTTTATATAAATTCTCAATAACTCTGGTCTATTTATTCAATTTAATTTTTTTGAATTATTATTTTTAACATAATTTTGATCTTCATATAATCATTCACATAGTGTGTTCAGTTTGCAAGTTGTTTTCAACCTTAACCATACCTACTAAAAGATATAAATCTAAATAATTAAAATTAAAAACAAAAATTACTAAATTATTCATCTAAAAATAATTTAGGCCCTATATAAAACTTTTGCCCAAGACCTCAAGTATTTTTGAGTTGACTTGATGATATTTGCCCCCACTCAAAAAATTTGCTAAAGGGTTACAAGCAAATCCCTTTCGATATACAGCGAAGTCTAAATCAATTCTGCAGATAACAATTCTATCTCAAAAAATTTGCTGAAGGGTTATAAGCAAATCAGTTGCGGTATACATTTGCAAAACACTTTCACTATTGAATCTGGGTTCGGTTTTTTTGAGTTTGAATTTGATTTATCTACACATCTATATCTCTGTTACATATAAATGCCAATCACTTCCTTTTGAAGTTTACTATAATGAAGGTAGTAAATTCATGTGTGTGAATTTGTTTATTTTATTTACGGTAAATTATATTCAAGTCCACTGGGCTTTGTAACTATAACACGTGGACCCCCCTCCAGTTTGATATAGTACCCTTATTGGTGGTAACAGAAAGCTAACACAGATAACTGAGCTTAATGAAATGACTATTTTGCCATTTGTTGAAAATTGATAAGATCAATCTAATCTAACCCAACCTCAAATACTATACCCTAATCTGATATAGCCAGGCCACACCAAACTGACTCCAAAAGTAACTCTGAAATATCTTCCTTTATTTCTATTCTCTCCACCACCACCATAAACTCTTGTGATTTTTCTTCCTTTATTTCTATTCTCTCCACCACCACCATATACTCTTGTGATTTTTCTAATTGGATGGTGATATTACGTGGCGGTGATGATATGGTGTCATCATTGCATCGAATATTTTCTCCCCTACCCACAACTCCTCACTCCTCACTCCATAATCACCGATCACCATTCTCTTTCACACCTTACTTGAAAAACCTGTTTCATCTCTCACTTTCTTTATCTGTGCACGCTACTACTAACCATCCCAACCACCCCTCATGCACTACCAAGACCACCATAGACCCATCATAGCACCATAAAATCTTAATAAAAAAAACTGTCATCAAGCTGTAGTGAAGAAGAGGGTGAGAAAAAAGGTGAAAGATGGAAACTAAGTTGGGTATAATTTTATTTTTTCCTTTCTTTATATCACTCTGTTAGTCTATGTATAAGTTTGGGTCTTTATTTCTTTGCAATTGGCTATGTGCTGCTTGGATTTAAATTTGATTTAGTGAGAAAAAATCGATTTAATGGAGATGGAGGTAACTTTTTGATGTGGAAGTTTCAGATGGATGTGTTGGGAGTGTGGTTTTGCTAGTGGGTCGCGATTTTAGGGGGTACCTGGTGGTTATGAGAGTGTTGTCTTTCTTTCTCCTTCCCCCTCTTTCTTTTTCAATTCTTGCAATTGACCGAGTTACTCACTCAATTAATGTATGGATAGGGTAATAGAGGTGATTGTGGTTGTTTGCTTCAATAACTTTGTGCTTTTGGGCTTGACAGTGTCAAAAATGTTTGTGTGGTTTTGTACTTTAGAGAATGTGTACTATAGCCATGGTAGTAGTGGGTGGTTGCGGCGGGACAGCCATGTTGAAGTGAGTTTAGTTTTGGTATTTATGTTTTGGCCCCATCAGAGAAAGGATAGATTGGGGATTGTGTTTAAATATTGTGATAACAACATCAAATTCTAACAGCTATATTAACAGAATAAGTTTTATGTGGGTCTAGATGGAATATTTCAAAGGCGAGGAGGTCTATTTTAGGAAGTGACAAATATCAAGGGAGTTCGAATGGAATTTACCCTTGCAGAATTTGCCTTCCAAAAAAGACGGCGTCCTCGCCCTCGCTCAAAGATAAAATCTATCCGTTCGAAATGGCAAGCCCCACATCTCAATTTCAACGATGCAGACCTCCACAAATACCTCCACTTCCCCTGTCCCCCACGACCACCAGTACCACCACCACCTTCACCATCACCACCACTACCACTTCTTCTCAAATATCACCCACCCACCACTCATCTCCTTACCTCCAACACTATCTCCAACTACATTTCCCCAACAATGTCCCATCCCCCCTCACCCTCCTACATTCCCCCACGCCCCACGCCCCACCACCGTTTCCTCCTCCGCCTCCCTCCATGGAAAGGCGCCAAACTCATCCCACTCGCAATCTCCATCTCCGTTGGCCTAATCTTCCGCTTCGCAGTCCCAAAACCGCACCAAGTCTCGAACAAAGCATGGCAACTACTCTCCATCTTCCTCACCACACTCACCGGCCTCATATTGGCCCCATTACCGATCGGCGCATGGGCTTTCGTTTGCCTAACCCTCACAGTCATCACCAAAACCCTAACATTCGCCGCCGCGTTCTCGGCATTCACGAATGAAGTCATATGGCTGATCGTCGTTTCGTTCTTTTTCTCGAGGGGGTTTGTGAAGACGGGGCTTGGGGATCGAATTGCACTGTACTTTGTGAGGTGGCTTGGGAAGAGTACAATTGGGTTGGCCTACGGGTTGGTGTTGAGTGAGGTGCTGATTTCTCCGGCGATGCCGAGCACGACGGCGAGGGCCGGTGGGATTTTTTTGCCGATCATTAAGTCATTGTCGACGTCTGCTGATAGTCGGCCCAAGGATGAATCGGCCAGGAAGCTTGGGGCTTATCTGATCCAATCTCAGTGTCAGGTCAGGATAATTCTATCATGTTGAGTATCTATCTAATTGTTTATATTTTTGATTACTTCAATTGTTAGCAATGATGAGTTCTTCATTGAGAGAGGGGCTCAACTTAGTGGTAACTGTGCGTGCAAGATCCTGCACAATATAAAAAACGAGAACAGATCTATCCCTTGGTGAACTCGAGTGAGCCAGTTGAGTGACCAACCACGCTGCTTGGAACAGCCTGCGAGGTCCGGTGGTAACCTGGAACGGCAACGGGAGACCCTGAGGGAGCGGAAGAACGATCCAGTAAGGCTGAAAGAGGTTCCTGGAACAAAGAAGAACAAGTTAGAAGGGCGCCGGAGTGTTTTTCGGCGTATCCCCTCCGACGATCTAGTTAGTCTTTGAGAAAAAGAGAGGAAGGAGAAAACACTGAGTGTGTATTGTAGTAAAGAGTTTTTTGTTGCATACCCGTCTTGTCTTTTTGCAAGGAGTATTTATACCTCAAAAGCTCATGATTGCTGTCAGTGTAATCAGTAGGTGATCATTAGGTACAGGCAGTGTGCGCACTGATTCTGATGAGGAATGTCTTCTCTTCTTAACTGCTCGGTATCCCGAGCAATCAATGCTGCGTCATCGGGATGCCGACGGTACAATATACTCCTCTCGGGGAGGATGCAATAAATGCTCTGTATTAGGAGCATTTATTGCCTTTCATTTCCGAGCCTTACCGCATTGAATGCAGTCTCGTCAAGGGAGTGGTGCAATTAATCGTTTGTGTTCCCAAGTTGCGTGTCAGCAACGGCATGCGGCTTTTCTGTTTTTGATGTGATATCGTATGCCACGCGTCCATCCCCCATTGGCTGTGGCCCCTGCATTCCAGTACGTTCTGACACTAATTGTGTAAGACGAGGTCATGATGAATAACCTAGATTAGCCTAGGCTAATGACCTGTACGTCAATAGCTTATCCTGGAGTAGAGGAAGCGTCCAGGACGGGGTACCTCTCGGCACCGAGGAAAGGCCATCTCGGAACCGAGGGAGGTATACCGACCGAGGTACCATATCAGACCGAGACTACGTGTTGGTTGTAACTCGTACTGAATGCCATGATCCTATATGACGAGTACCTCGGGGGCGAGGACCTTTATGCGCCGATGGTGCTTGATCTTAGCAACAGTGTTTTGGTAAATACCGAGGATACGTGTCTTCATCATGGAGTATTTCAGAAAAGTCCCATCAGTAACATTGTTCTACTGAGATGTGACTTGAGCATTAAGAGTTAGAGTTGTAAAAATACTCTTTAGCATGCTGTAGGCAAGAGTATCGTGCACCGGATCTCATAGGCGGTTTTTTTACTGGCAATGATAATCTCTTTTCCCCGCCTACTGATGATGAGATTTGAACAGTGATTCATTCTGTCAGTAGTCCTGCCTTTATCACTTAGGTTAGACAGCATTTGAGTTGAACTGAATTTATAGTAGACATATAATCTATGAAAGATGAAGTGGTGTTATGACAATTTATTAAAAATGAACACAATGACCATCTATTCTAGTGTATATAACAATCAGATTCCATGGAAAATGGCTTGATAAACCTTTCATCTCAAAATACTAAAATCCTTCTAATTTTGAACTTTTTAAATAACATCCTCCAACTGAACACTTCCGTGAGACCTATTTAACTACTTCTACCATGTTTTTTAAATGCCCCCACATTTGAAATTTTCACTATCTTAACTACCTACTTCATATTTAATTTTTTTTAAAAAATCAATTTAGCACAATAATGGATGTTTTTCAATAATGTTGGGGTTGGGTGGGTGTAGGGGTGATGACGGAGCGGTGTGGCTACTAGTAATTAAGTATAATTAAGATGTGTGCTGAATGAATTGACTGCTTTACGGGGAGTTACAATTTTATCATTTTGATTTCAGCTGATCTTGATAAGGCCATCTTTTTAACTTGTTCCATCCATATTGATGACTTTTAAAAGGTACCATGTATTAATGTTACAGGGAAATTTGAGATACATGGGAGATGCGAAGTCACTGTACGAAGGAAATGCACTTCTTTATTTTGATTCTTTCTTTTTAAATTTTTTTTTTTGGTGGTCAGTCATTTATTCAGTCTGGATATGTCGAGAATTGGCTGAGAGCTATAGGATCTATTTATTACTGGAAGTCAGAGTCCTTTTTGAGGTGGTGTTTGGGGTTAGCCTTTGGATCTTGGATCATTCATTGATATTGCTAATTGAATTTAGTTACTTTCCCTCCTACCCAAAAACAAAGAAGTGGAAGTTAAGCATGATTTTGACAAAAAGGTATTAATTCAAGTTTAGAAAGTTTATTAAATATTCAGAGGATACACTGCCAAAAATGGTTTGTCCTGTGCTTTTTAATGGTATTAGAACTCAATTTTGCTCCAATTTTAGCTAGTTAATGAAGAGAACAATAATATTATGCAACTAGAAGTGCATGATGCTTAATCATATCTTAATTTACTTAGGTTCGGAGCTATGATTCGTCTCATACATGCTTTGAGGTGCCCTTTCTTTAACTTAAATAAAGAAAAGAAGAGAAAAAAAGGAAAAGAAAGATATTGTATGTTGAGTCTAATGAAAATATTAAATGCCATTCTATTCCTGTTCATCGATCAACTAATTATCCAATGGTTTTGTTATCTGATCCTATAATACATATTAATCCAATTTTTGTGGCTTCCATTACATGATTCTATTGGATTTTTCATTCCATATGTTGTTTTTTTCATTAATCCTCCCATTGTGGTGATAATATTTGTTATTGCTAATACATTTCACTTGTTGATGTGTGATAGGCTGCTAGTAACTCGGGCAATCTTTTCTTGACTGCAGCCGCTCAAAACCTGCTATGTGTCAAATTAGCTGAGGCACTTGGGGTTAAAGTTTCAAATCGATGGGTTACTTGGCTCAAGGCTGCCAGCTTACCTGCAATTATATGTCTTCTGGCAACTCCATTGATCCTATACAAGATATTCCCTCCTACAACCAAGAACACACCTGATGCTCCTGCCATGGCCAAGAGGAAACTGGAGCAGATGGGTACTGTTAAAAGGGATGAATGGGTGATGGTTGGTACCATGCTTGTGACGGTGGCATTGTGGATCTCTGGGTATGCACAAGATTTCTCTTTTTACCATACTAACTCACTTATCTTTTTGATGAGCAATTGTAAGTACCTTATCAATCCTTGTAACGTTGCTACTTCATTTTCATTAAATCTTTCAAGTAAAAAGATGAGTTAATTTTGACATGGTGGTCATTTATCCTGTAATGCAGTGATATTTATCTCCCTCTCTTTTTATTTTTTCAACCAAAGTAAGTATTTCATGGATACTTGATATCTTACTTCTCACTTTGAGATGGTTGATTGGAGGTCTAGTTGTCTTGTTTGACTATTTGTCGATTGAACCGATTTGGGTAGTAACCAACTTAAGGTTTTAATCTTGGTTCAAAAAGGCAAGTTTCTTAGAACACTGGAAAACTGCTGTGTGGGAAGAAGGTCTCTCCAAATAGTGAAAACTTTGAACTTATTCTTACCTGACCATGGTTTTTAGGTCTTCTAAACATCTACTTTGATTTGGCTGATTTACTTATTGTTGACATGACAAATTAACCTAGTGCTCAATGACGGGATGGACCCCTTCCAAATTGTCATATGCTTATGAGGCATGTGGTCTCCTAGTAACATTGCACTAATGGCAACCTTGTGCGCACCTGGTGGGCTGAGTTGGCCCAAGGTGTCACTAACAACTATACGCTGAATGAAACTTCAGGTGTCTCCTTTACCATATATTTGGGATTAAGGTTCAAGACTTCTCGATGGCTAAGATTAGGTTAAGGTTATTGGTCTGATGCCTAAGACAAAAATTCTATCTTGCTAAGACAACAGGCCTTCTCATGGACTTGGCTAGCTGCACCTAGGCATGGACTTGTGTTCACTTAGCATGTATCGCGTGTGAGTACTCATTACACTATATAAAGGTACTGACCACCGTTTATTCCAAGCTTGCATTAGTGGGCATTCTATGAGCAATTCATATGGGCAGGCCTGATCTTAGGCCCTGAACGTGGCCCAGGAGGAGTCCTAATTCTAGCCAGTCATCAATCAAATTTGTCCATTTTGGAACGTTTAATGATCATATCCGGTTATTGTTTCCATGGTAGTCTTGGTTAATAGATACTGGTGGGAGCTGTAAGGATATTGGTGTCCTTGACTCCTTGTATCTATCTTATTTTAGTGGAAGGGTAAAGTGATGTCAACCAAGTGAAATTCCTTGCTTAAAGTGTCTTAAGAAAGCCAATGCTAAAGGTTTCATGTGGCATGATGCAGCTAATATCTTTTATTTGAAACTAAGCAGAGAAGTAATAAACTTGGTTAAACTCATAGTTACCAAAATTTACTAAACTCTTGACGATCCACAATTTGCATACAATACATCGATCCCAAATGGGGTAGATTCGAGATTCAGATCACTAAAATGTACAATTCCAAATTGTACTAGTAGCACAAATATAAAATAAATATTAATTAACTATGTGAATGTAGATTTATAATTATATATTATTTTAGATAATAGAAAATCGAGCACAAATGTTATATAAATGGTAACTGATTTAGTGACTATGGATTTTCTATTATATGTAATGTTGTATATTGGTAAAAACGATTTAGATAAGAGTTCCAAAATAAATTACGACTTAAAATAGCACACCGGCTAAGCCTACTCGCATCGTACCGGTTACCTAAGAAAGTGCCGTACTGCATACCGTACCCGTATTACATACCAAAGCGATTCATAGTCCAGGTAACATTGAACTTAAACTGCTGCTTACCCCTAGCTCTGTGGTCAACAAAACTAGGAAACAGATGTTGGTATTGAGCCACAAGAAGTTCAGTGTGTTTTTTTCATCGTATACTTTTGTGGGGTGTCTTCTTTCTCTGCTTGCTTCCTTTTTTTCCCTTTTCCTTCCCCCTTATTAAACTTTAACCTTCTATTTTTTGGAAAATCTTCAATTGTATTCCTTTCTTCCAATGAATGAATCCTGTGTATCTGTTACCGAAGAGCTATTATTATGCCTTTCTTTTATTTTAATCCTGTAACAAAAGTCGATGCAATAAATGCTGTCTTTTCTTTGGTGATCTGTATATTATGTTGTGGTTGTAGAATGCTGAAAGAAGTTGATATGTGTGCAGAGAGGCTCTTGGAATGGCAAGTGTTGTTGCAGCAATGCTGGGATTGTCAATACTTCTGCTGTTGGGAGTGCTTGATTGGGATGATTGCTTAAGTGAAAAGTCAGCATGGGATACCCTGGCTTGGTTTGGGGTTCTAGTGGGCATGGCAGGCCAACTGAACGCCCTTGGGATTGTACCCTGGATGTCTAACAGTGTGGCCAATTCTCTTAAATCCCTTTCACTGGGCTGGCATACTGCATTTGTTATCCTTCAGGCAGCATATTTCTTTATCCACTATCTATTTGCAAGTCAAACTGCCCATGTTGGAGCTCTGTACTCAGCATTTCTTGCGATGCACCTGGCATCTAAAGTGCCTGGTTTGTTGGCAGCGCTGGCTTTGGGATACAGTACCAACTTGTTTGGTGCATTAACACATTATAGCAGTGGTCAGGCTGCTGTATACTATGGAGGTACACTATTTTCCTTCTTCATGAAACATTTGTTTTTTTGTTCATTTCATTTATTTTATTATTCATTTGACTCGCATATTTTTTTTAATGGGTCTACACTGAAAAGAGCCATTTAGAGCTGAGAGATTCCAAGAAAAGGGAAAAAAGAATAGTTTCCTTTTTTTTTTTTATGAATACAAAACTTACCAACTTGCAGCAAAGCATAGCTGTGAGAACACAAAATGAACCCATTGCAAAACAATATGGAATGGTCTCACGGGATCATGCATGACTGTTTCAGTTTGTATATAGCTACCAGATATGTGGAATTAGAGACGTCTTCTATAGGTTCTGTGTTAATTGACAAAATTAGTTGAAAAGACACACTTGTTTACTAGATTTATCTGTTATGAAAGTCTGTTTTTGGGTTAGGTTTTCAGATTTCCGTTGAACCTGTAGATTGTGTTTGCCTTCTTATCATTTTCCATCACAATTTGGAATGTGATTAAACTATTACCATGTATTCCAGATTTCTGTTTTTTTATTGTTTAATTTTCCTTGTTTCTTCTAAACCTCAGATATCAGATTTTGTTTCAATCAAAACTACATTTTCTGGGGATAGAATCGATAAATATTTTTGTTTTGTTTTGTTTGACAGCTGGTTATGTAGAACTTCCTGATGTTTTCAAACTGGGAATTGTAATGGCTCTTATTAACATTGTGATATGGGCATTGGTTGGAGCTCTTTGGTGGAAGATTTTGGGCCTTTATTGAGGTCAAATATGTAAGTTAATGTTATTCTTTCTTATGTTTTATGAATATTCTCCTGTTACAAGAAAGAATAAAAGGTTTCAACTAAAATTGCTTAATTTACGAGTGATAATCTTTTTAGAATATTGTACTAATCTGATAATGCAGATTAGATTCTGATGACTAAATTTGCATTGAGTACCCAATTTTTTCCACCTGATAATATTGCCGTCGTATACTCTAATTTAATGTCCTAAAATCATCTGATTGGTGTTTAGCTCATACATTTAGTAGAATTTTATTAGCGCTAGTTATTTACCGGGCTTAAAACCTTGAAATGTCCTCATCATCAAAGGTGGTGATAGGTGCATATATAATTTTAAAAGAATTAAAGAAAGAATGAAAGAAAAAGAGGAGATGATCCATCATTTGTAACCAGGTTCTTGAATGGAGATCTTTTAAAAGCCTTGTTCCTGGCATTAGGAGAGGAAAAAAGGCCTCAGTGAACTTAATGGAACTGTTACAGATTTTACTTTCCATCTTACCTGCAGGTCATGCGAAGGACACACTGTCATTCAGTGTAGTGATCGTTGTGTCCATCAATTCCTTAGGGCATGAATCATTTTCTTTGCTATTAATCTTTAATCATATCGGAATAATTGTAGTTGCATCACATTGATTTGTGTTCCTTTTTGTTCTACTGAACGTGTACACATGTTTGCTCATTGGGGGATATGTTTTAGGCAATAATCAGGCAAAAAATTCCATTTGGTGCACTACTATGCCGGACCTTATGACCTAATAATGCTTTTTATCGATGGATAAATTATCACACACCATGTGCCATTACCCAAGCCTTATTATGCTTCACATGCTCAGAAGCCACAATTTTGCATCAGTTTTCTTGAAGTTTGATGTATTTTTCAAAACCTTCTCACTGCTTATAAAATTTATGCAATTGTTCCAAACTCATACCAAAAGTTGAGGAAGTAGAGTTATCAAGAAGACACTTTTATATGATACTAGATCGTGCATATGTGCTTTGCACGCAGATTTTTTAAGTTATGGTTTTGTTTTTGAAATAATTAAATAAATATAATAGCAAATACCTACTAATAAATATAACCCTTTGAATATTCCTATTATATAATTTGTGAAATTTGTAATGGCCATAACACTACATATTTGCAGAGCGAATATTAATTTTTATTGTTTTATTTTCTCGTAAGTTTTGATGAATTACATTCTTGTAAACCTTTACACTTAAAGTTTAGAACTTTTCACAGGAAGTTAATTATTTAGATTAATTTTATTTGCAACATCATAGTAATGGTACAAATATATAGTATGTGGGCATATATAACTAAAAAATATCACAGACATTTATTAAATTATGAAAAATATGGAAGCAAACTATTTTAAGTTATGATGGTCATTTAATTATAAAAAATTGGTTGAAAAAATTTATAAAGTTAAGTTGTGATAAGTAATTTAATGTGAGACTGAACATATTTGTACCATTGCTAATCGATACAAATAAAATGGTTTATAGTATTGCCAATAAACATAATTAAAGAGGATTTATTAAAATTAAAACATAAAAGAGAAGAAAATGAAAAGTTCGGGTTTGATAATATTGTTCAAATTATATTAAAATAATCTTATATTAAATAAGACTGTAGTGCATTTATGCAATTTTATTTGAAAATTTAGAAACTTGTCATCAACTAATGAAAATATATAGACATGAGTAAAATAAATTTAATTATTTTAATAATTAATTTTTGTCTTTTAAAAGAAAGAATATGAAAAGTTTGAATATGTGTAATATTAATAAAATTTTATTGATATGAATTTCATATTAATAATATTAGTATTGTGAGAGTAAAATTGTCTAATTAAAAGTTTATCATCAATCAAGTCTTATTAATATGAGTTCTAAATTAAGTAGGGTTAGTATTGTTTTTATATATTGGGTTAAAGTAGTCAATCAAAAGTTTTTCTTGATAGTATGCTTTTATTAGTAGTATAGATATAGATATAGATTTATTAGTAGTATAGATAGATAAGGGACCTTCTGCATTTCCCTTGATTTTCAACCAAGGGTTCTCTGACACAGGCTCTTAGATCTTTAGTTACCATCTTGCTAACAGTTCTGGAGTTTGTTCATATCATGGCTACTGATGTTTCTATGCAGTGCAACTTAATTGTGAATATAGAGCACAGAATGTAATGGATTGAGAAGTAATTGGATAAGCAATATTTTAGACACCTAGTGCCAATTTTCTGTGTCTCTTTGTGTAAAATAGGCCCACAAGTGGTAGCTTATGGTCTAGAGTCTAGATTGGGAGTGCAAGGTAATATAAAACATGAACTCAGCACATGAAGACTAAAATCCCCATGCTAATAAAACTTATCAACAGCCAAACTTTCTGAGTTCACTATGTTATAGGTGAAGCTGTATGGTGCATAGGGGTGTAACTTGGGAGGGTTAACTTGAACTAAACTCGAACCTAGCACGAAAAAAATTAGTATTTAGGTTGAATTTTTTAAAATTTGGGTTGGGTTTGGGTCAAAATTTTCTCCCTCCTCTTGTATATAAAGAAGACAAACTCGATGTGACTTGTGTCTTTAAAATGAGCTTGGTTTTTATTAGGTCTATTTGAGTTTAATAAAAAAGGTAAATGTATTTACATTTAGGAACCCGAATTTAACCCCAAAAATTAAATGTGATTTAATAACTTGGGCTTAACCAAGAGTTCAATCCGAGCCTGAGCGGGTAGTATTCTGATTGAGGTCGGGTTCAGGTTAAGAGTTTTATAACTCCAACCAGCTCAAGTTGCAATCCTAATGGTGCAACAACTTGGGGAGAAATCTAAAGAGAGCACATAAATTCCAAATCTTAAAGAGTTTTTTTTAGTGCAAATGTCATGGCAATGATTAAGGTATTTTTGGTTGATTAAGGATGTGGTCATGTGTTTGATGGAACTTGAACTAGTACTACTTTTTTTTTCCCTTCTTTTTTGTGGGGGAATACAAACGTCAATGCCTGGGAGAAAGCCACTCTATTATGAATAATGAGTGGATAGCTTAGTTTCCTTCTTGAATCTAGCAAGTATTGATATAAACAAGTATATGAGAAATTAAAGCCACTGTATTATGAATAATGAGTTTCCATTTGTATAGATAGCTTACTTGTCCATGTCAACCCCCTCAAGAACCACAGCATTTCAACTAGGGATGTCAATGGACCGAAAAAATTCAATGTCTATCCCTGGTCCACCCCCGCTAACGGGTATAATTTTCATTCTTATCATCGTCCGCGAGTAAATTTATAATCTCCGTCCCCGTTCCCGCTTCCCCCATACCCGCCTAAGCCCAAGCTAAGCATAATCATTAATGCATTTGACGACCCCTAGTTGTTTGCCCACATAACTTGCAGAACACCACAAATATCTATAACAACTCTAAAACATATAGTTTGTCTTTTGAAGGTAGCAGCCAGCTGGTTGAAGGCTAGAACAATGTTTATTTCAAACATTCTCACCTTGGAAATGCTTTACTAAAATATTTCGGTACACTTTAGTGGTTGATGATCTAAACTTGTCACCATCACAAATGAATGATATCCACTATATATATATATATATAACGGGTAACGGGGACGAGGACGGGGACAGGGAGGGGGCAGGACGGGAGTAAGGGTAAGTCTATTCCTGTCTTTATTTTTGTACGAGTTTATACGGGTATTTTCGTATACATCTATCGTCTAATACATATAGTCTATCCCCGGTACAAACGAGACAAATTTGAACGAATACTAATTTTTTTTTGATCTACTGTCATCCCTAATTTCAACGCTTCTCCACCCAAACCCTTTGCTCAATTATACACATATTTTTTAAAATATAAGAAAAGATATTTCTTCACTATTAAAAGATGTGAAAACAAAGTTTTTCCTCTCAAGATTCTACTTTCTCACACTTTTTAAAGTTGGTCTTTGGATAGCACTCACCACAATAGAAAAAGAAAACAAAAAAGAAAAGCTGCCTACCATTAGGGGATCTACACTCTACAATACCCACTCACCTAACCCAATCTTTTTCACCATTTGTTGCTTTTGATTAATTTAGACTTACTTTGCTTTCTACCAGTGCAGGATTCTATGCACTCCCCATTCATAGGCACTAGGGTAGCCCCAGGACAAAAAGTTCACTCTCTTTCCTACTTTTTAAAGCATGGAAAGTCATGGGTTGGCCTCTGGATCGGATTTTAATCCACACCTAATTTTGATTAATTGGGCAGTTAGTTGGTTTTTTTTTTTAATCTATTATTCAAATCCGTTATATTTATATCATGTTTAATGAATTTGGATTAGAATATACTAATATCCAATCTGATCTAAATTATAATGCATAAATTATGATGAACTTAGATGAGTGTTTGGTAGGATTTAATTTGCTAAAATTCATTTCCAACTAATTTATTCAGATCTGATTTTTTATTTTTAATGAATTCGGATATGAGTTGCGAAAATAAAATCTGTCGAATAATTGTACCAAATTTAAATCAAAGATTTCAATGCGAATTGGGCTAGGATGAAATCCGTTCAAAATTCAATCACTTGACAGGCGTAGTCATGAGAACTGCCATTATCTAGGTCTCTTATCCTTTCCTTTCTTCTGGAAATAAACTGGGCTTTGAATAGAAGCTATGAATAGATTACCATTATATTTTCAGCCATTATAGTTTGTTAGTTTTCTTAACCTTTTTATGCTAATATAAAGAAAATCTGTAACCATATAAACTCTCCATTCTTCTCATGTAATTAGACTAGTTATTGTCTGTGCTTAAAGGTATAGAGTAATAAATAATAAACATATTTGTATTAATATCTAAAATCAAATTACAAACATAAAAGAAAAATAAATGAATTTATGAATCGGTTGTAATGGGAGTGAGAGGTGGTGGTGATGGTAGAAGACGGTGATGGTTGTGGTGGGCGACAATGACCGTGACGGTGGTGATGGTGGTGAAACTACCAGTGGCGGCGGTGGCCTCGGCGGTGGTAGAGGTAATAGTGAGACGGTTTCAAACATTATTTTTTTTTAAGTACTTATGAGAAATAATTCTTAAAAGTACTTTTAAAAAATCATTTTAAACACACCTTTAGGGCCTTATTTTTCCTATTAAATTTAGGGTGTTAATATTAG